TGGGCTAAAGGAGAAGGTCTGTTGGGCTAAAGGAGAAGGTCTGTTGGGCTAGCTAAAGGAGAAGGTCTGTTGGGCTAAAGGAGAAGGTCTGTTGGGATAAAGGAGAAGGTCTGTTGGGCTAGCTAAAGGAGAAGGTCTGTTGGGCTAAAGGAGAAGGTCTGTTGGGCTAAAGGAGAAGGTCTGTTGGGCTAGCTAAAGGAGAAGGTCTGTTGGGCTAAAGGAGAAGGTCTGTTGGGATAAAGGAGAAGGTCTGTTGGGCAAGCTAAAGGAGAAGGTCTGTTGGGCTAAAGGAGAAGGTCTGTTGGGCTAAAGGAGAAGGTCTGTTGGGCTAAAGGAGAAGGTCTGTTGGGCTAGCTAAAGGAGAAGGTCTGTTGGGCTAAAGGAGAAGGTCTGTTGGGCTAAAGGAGAAGGTCTGTTGGGCTAGCTAAAGGAGAAGGTCTGTTGGGCTAAAGGAGAAGGTCTGTTGGGCTAGCTAAAGGAGAAGGTCTGTTGGGCTAAAGGAGAAGGTCTGTTGGGCTAGCTAAAGGAGAAGGTCTGTTGGGCTAAAGGAGAAGGTCTGTTGTGCTAAAGGAGAAGGTCTGTTGGGCTAAAGGAGAAGGTCTGTTGGGCTAAAGGAGAAGGTCTGTTGGGCTAGCTAAAGGAGAAGGTCTGTTGGACTAAAGGAGAAGGTCTGTTGGGCTAAAGGAGAAGGTCTGTTGGGCTAAAGGAGAAGGTCTGTTGGGCTAGCTAAAGGAGAAGGTCTGTTTGGCTAAAGGAGAAGGTCTGTTGGGCTTGCTAAAGTAGAAGGTCTGTTGGGCTAGCTAAAGGAGAAGGTCTGTTGGGCTAGCTAAAGGAGAAGGTCTGTTGGGCTAGCTAAAGGAGAAGGTCTGTTGGGCTAGCTAAAGGAGAAGGTCTGTTGGGCTAAAGGAGAAGGTCTGTTGGGCTAAAGGAGAAGGTCTGTTGGGCTAAAGGAGAAGGTCTGTTGGGCTAAAGGAGAAGGTCTGTTGGGCTAAAGGAGAAGGTCTGTTGGGCTAAAGGAGAAGGTCTGTTGGGCTAGCTAAAGGAGAAGGTCTGTTAGGCTAAAGGAGAAGGTCTGTTGGGCTAGCTAAAGGAGAAGGTCTGTTGGGCTAGCTAAAGGAGAAGGTCTGTTGTGCTAAAGGAGAAGGTCTGTTGGGCTAAAGGAGAAGGTCTGTTGGGCTAGCTAAAGGAGAAGGTCTGTTGGGCTAAAGGAGAAGGTCTGTTGGGCTAAAGGAGAAGGTATGTTGGGCTAAAGGAGAAGGTCTGTTGGGCTAAAGGAGAAGGTCTGTTGGGCTAGCTAAAGGAGAAGGTCTGTTGGGCTAAAGGAGAAGGTCTGTTGGGCTAAAGGAGAAGGTCTGTTGGGCTAAAGGAGAAGGTCTGTTGGGCTAAAGGAGAAGGTCTGTTGGGCTAGCTAAAGGAGAAGGTCTGTTGGGCTAAAGGAGAAGGTCTGTTGGGCTAGCTAAAGGAGAAGGTCTGTTGGGCTAGCTAAAGGAGAAGGTCTGTTGTGCTAAAGGAGAAGGTCTGTTGGGCTAAAGGAGAAGGTCTGTTGGGCTAGCTAAAGGAGAAGGTCTGTTGGGCTAGCTAAAGGAGAAGGTCTGTTGGGCTAAAGGAGAAGGTCTGTTGGGCTAAAGGAGAAGGTCTGTTGGGCTAAAGGAGAAGGTCTGTTGGGCTAAAGGAGAAGGTCTGTTGGGCTAGCTAAAGGAGAAGGTCTGTTGGGCTAAAGGAGAAGGTCTGTTGGGCTAAAGGAGAAGGTCTGTTGGGCTAGCTAAAGGAGAAGGTCTGTTGGGCTAGCTAAAGGAGAAGGTCTGTTGGGCTAGCTAAAGGAGAAGGTCTGTTGGGCTAAAGGAGGAGGTCTGTTGGGCTAGCTAAAGGAGAAGGTCTGTTGGGCTAGCTAAAGGAGAAGGTCTGTTGGGCTAAAGGAGGAGGTCTGTTGGGCTAAAGGAGGAGGTCTGTTGGGCTAAAGGAGAAGGTCTGTTGGGCTAGCTAAAGGAGAAGGTCTGTTGGGCTAGCTAAAGGAGAAGGTCTGTTGGGCTAAAGGAGAAGGTCTGTTGGGCTAGCTAAAGGAGAAGGTCTGTTGGGCTAAAGGAGAAGGTCTGTTGGGCTAAAGGAGGAGGTCTGTTGGGCTAAAGGAGAAGGTCTGTTGGGCTAGCTAAAGGAGAAGGTCTGTTGGGCTAGCTAAAGGAGAAGGTCTGTTGGGCTAGCTGAAGGAGAAGGTCTGTTGGGCTAAAGGAGAAGGTCTGTTGGGCTAAAGGAGAAGGTCTGTTGGGCTAAAGGAGAAGGTCTGTTGGGCTAGCTAAAGGAGAAGGTCTGTTAAGCTAAAGGAGAAGGTCTGTTGGGCTAAAGGAGAAGGTCTGTTGGGCTAAAGGAGAAGGTCTGTTGGGCTAAAGGAGAAGGTCTGTTGGGCTAGCTAAAGGAGAAGGTCTGTTGGGCTAAAGGAGAAGGTCTGTTGGGCTAGCTAAAGGAGAAGGTCTGTTGGGCTAAAGGAGAAGGTCTGTTGGGCTAAAGGAGAAGGTCTGTTGGGCTAAAGGAGAAGGTCTGTTGGGCTAAAGGAGAAGGTCTGTTGGGTTACCTACCCCACTGACTAAATGAGTTACCTACCCTAAAGACTGAATGAGTTACCTACCCTAGTGACTGAATGAGTTACCTACCCTAATGACTGAATGAGTTACCTACCCTAATGACTGAATGAGTTAGTTACCCTAGTGAATGGACTGAATGAGTTACCTACCCTAATGACTGAATGAGTTACCTACCCTAATGACTGAATGAGTTACCTACCCTAATGACTGAATGAGTTACCTACCCTAATGACTGAATTAGTTACCTACCCTAATGACTGAATGAGTTAGTTACCCTATTGACTGAATGAGTTACCTACCCTAATGACTGAATGAGTTACCTACCCTACTGATTGAATGAGTTACCTACCCTAATGACTGAATGAGTAACCTACCCTAATGAGTGAATGAGTTAGTTACCCTAATGACTGAATGAGTTATCTACCCTAGTGACTGAATGAGTTACCTACCCTAATGACTGAATGAGTTAGTTACCCTAGTGAATGGACTGAATGAGTTACCTACCCTAATGACTGAATGAGTTACCTACCCTAATGACTGAATGAGTTACCTACCCTAATGACTGAATTAGTTACCTACCCTAATGACTGAATGAGTTAGTTACCCTATTGACTGAATGAGTTACCTACCCTAATGACTGAATGAGTTAGCTACCCTACTGATTGAATGAGTTACCTACCCTAATGACTGAATGAGTAACCTACCCTAATGAGTGAATGAGTTACTTACCCTAATGACTGAATGAGTTACCTACCCTAATGACTGAATGAGTTAGTTACCCTAATGACTGAATGAGTTATCTACCCTAGTGACTGAATGAGTTACCTACCCTAATTACTGAGTGAGTTACCTACCCTAATGACTGAATGAGTTACCTACCCTAATGACTGAGTGAGTTACCTACAATAATGACTGAATGAGTTACCTACCCTAATGACTGAATGAGTTACCTACCCTAATGACTGAATGAGTTACCTACCCTAATGACTGAATGAGTTACTTACCCTAATGACTGAATGAGTTACCTACCCTAATGACTGAATGAGTTACTTACCATAATGACTGCATGAGTTACCTACCCTAGTCACTGAATGAGTTACCTACCCTAGATAATGGACTGAATAAGTTACCTACCCTAATGACTGAATGAGTTACTTACCTTAATGACTGAATGAGTTACCTACCCTAGTGACTGAATGAGTTACCTACCCTAATGACTGAATGAGTTACAGATTCTAGTGACTGAATGAGTTACCTACCATAATGACTGAATGAGTTACCGATTCTAGTGACTGAATGAGTTACCTACCATAATGACTGAATGAGTTACCTACCCTAATGACTGAATGAGTTACCTATTCTAGTCACTGAATGAGTTACCTACCATAATGACTGAATGAGTTACCTACCATAATGACTGAATGAGTTACCTACCCTAATGACTGAATGAGTTACCTACCCTAATGACTGAATGAGTTACCTACCCTAGTGATTGAATGAGTTACCTACCCTAATGGCAGAATAAGTTACCTACCGTAATGACTGAGTGAGTTACCTACCCTAATGACTGAATGAGTTACCTACCCTAATGACTGAATGAGTTACTTACCCTAGTGAATGGACTGCATGAGTTACCTACCCTAATGACTGAATGAGTTACCTATTCTAGTCACTGGATGAGTTACCTACCCTACTGACTGAATGAGTTACCTACCCTAATGACTGAATGAGTTACTTACCCTAATGACTGAATGAGTTACATACCCTAATGACTGAATGAGTTACCTACCCTAATGACTGAATGAGTTAGTTACCCTAATGGCAGAATAAGTTACCTACCGTAATGACTGAGTGAGTTACCTACCCTAATGACTGAATGAGTTACCTACCCTAATGACTGAATGAGTTACTTACACTAGTGAATGGACTGCATGAGTTACCTACCCTAATGACTGAATGAGTTACCTATTCTAGTCACTGAATGAGTTACCTACCCTACTGACTGAATGAGTTACCTACCCTAATGACTGAATGAGTTACTTACCCTACTGACTGAATGAGTTACCTACCCTAATGACTGAATGAGTTACTTACCCTAATGACTGAATGAGTTACATACCCTAATGACTGAATGAGTTACCTACCCTAATGACTGAATGAGTTACCTACCCTAATGACTGAATGAGTTAGTTACCCTAATGACTGAATGAGTTACTTACCCTAGTGAATGGACTGAATGAGTTACTTACCCTAGTGACTGAGTGAGTTACCTACCCTAATGACTGAATGAGTTAGTTACCTTAATGACTGAATGAGTTACCTACCCTGATGACTGAATGAGTTACCAACCCTGATGACTGAATGAGTTAGTTACCCTAATGACTGAATAAGTTACCTACCATAATGACTGAATGAGTTACCTACCCTTGTTGTTGGACTTAAACTTTTCATCTTCATTTGGAACACGGGGTTTTGTAGAAGTACCTCCATGGTGTCAACCGATGGTGTCACCCGATGGCGTCACCCTAAGGTGTCTTCTGATGGTGTATCCAAAAGGTGTCTAAATGTTGATCACTAAAAAATTCTCCAGCACAGCCTGTGTGTGTAGCACAAGATCTCTACACGACGTCAACGAAATTTGTTTCTGTATTGGAAAACGCTGTAGACGCAGGCGATGGCCATGTAGGAAGATAGACCTGGTGTTAGGAGTGGGGGGACAAACACCGGGAGCATCTTGATGTCATGTGACCTTCACATCCAAGTCTAGTTGCTGGCCAGTGTCATGTGACCTTCACATCCAAGTCTAGTTGCTGGCCAGTGTCATGTGACCTTCACATCCAAGTCTAGTTGCTAGCCAGTGTCATGTGACCTTCACATCCAAGTCTAGTTGCTAGCCAGTGACTAGAACTTAAAACGGACGAAGCGAGCTGTGAGCACGACCCAAACAATTTCTATCCATGGAACACACCAGACAGCGGGTTGTGACCACGACACAAGACACACAGAGAACACACCAGTGGCAGGCCGAGTTGATGGTTGCCTAGCAACTGTCAGCCGACGACACAGCAGCTGACAAGAGAAGCATAAGTCCAGCAGAGAAAGGTCCTCTGTCCAGCGTCCTGCAAACACTGGATGTTGGACGGGACTGTCCTGTCGACTGGCGGACCCTGGGTGCCGCTCTCGCGCCGCTCTCGCGCCCTCTCGCGCCGTCTCACAGCCGGATGTTGTTCAGTCGTGCGTCACCGAGTGCACACACTGCGATATAGATAGCTGATGTAGCCAGTAGCTATTGATAGTTAATGTAGTCAGTAGCTTTGACTACCTGAAGTAGCCAACAGCTAGCTGATGTAGCCAACAGCTAGCTGGTGTAGACAGCAGCTAGCATATAACTAACAGCTAGCTGATGTAGAGAGCAGCTACCATATAACCATTAGCTAGCTGATGTAGAGAGCAGCTAGCATATAACCATTAGCTAGCTGATGTAGAGAGCAGCTAGCATATAACCAACAGCTAGCTGATGTAGAGAGCAGCTAGCATATAACCATTAGCTAGCTGATGTAGAGAGCAGCTAGCATATAACTAACAGCTAGCTGATGTAGAGAGCAGCTAGCATATAACCATTAGCTAGCTGATGTAGAGAGCAGCTACCAAATAACCATTAGCTAGCTGATGTAGAGAGCAGCTACCATATAACCATTAGCTAGCTGATGTAGAGAGCAGCTAGCATATAACCATTAGCTAGCTGATGTAGAGAGCAGCTACCATATAACCATTAGCTAGCTGATGTAGAGAGCAGCTACCATATAACCATTAGCTAGCTGATGTAGAGAGCAGCTAGCATATAACCATTAGCTAGCTGATGTAGAGAGCAGCTAGCATATAACTAACAGCTAGCTGATGTAGAGAGCAGCTAGCATATAACCATTAGCTAGCTGATGTAGAGAGCAGCTACCATATAACCATTAGCTAGCTGATAAATCCAACGGGGGGCGGGTGCTACAAGATTCTGAAATCGATAATGTGACGTCACTAGTATTGAAATGAAACTTCGATTTTCTCTGTGATTGATTTGCCTGCGATCGTCAGGTGACTCGATGAGACAAAAAAAGAGAAAAATTGACTTGATGAAAAACATTCATAAAAAATTGTTTTAAGCTTTTATGTAATTAAAAGACCACCTTTTAGCCCTTGGACGACTGAGGGGTCATTCATAAATAACGTCACGCTTGTTTGACAAGTTTTATCTTTCTCCACTGTTAACATCGACACTAAAAGTCAGTCCACTAAGACACATCACACCTCAGTCAAAAGGTTTTTGTCTTCTAAAAACACTGATTTCTACCGAGCTGTAGTTGTTCTTCATACAAAAATAAAACTTTTCTCGCGAGGGAATTATGATGGCTTTCATGGGGAAACAAGTTTATGGTAACTAAAATGCAAATTTTGAAACTTTTGCATACTAAAAAGGGTGCGATTTTTCAGACCTTGTAGAATTCTGACCAGTAGCTCTTCCAAAAAGTTGTTGTGACAAAAGTTTCAATACATACTGAAATATAACCTTTTAAATGTGATTGCCATATGTGCATAAACACACAAAAAAGCCTTAGCGTTTTTAAAAGTACCAAAAAGTTCAAAATGGCGGATGTTTTTTCGGGTTTCCATGACAACCAAAATTGTTTTCAACCCTTTTTTTGGCTGTTTAATACTTACTTTTATATGCCAAAAACATGGTAACATTATTCAAAGGGCTTTAGATTCTACATTGTAAAAAAAATATAGAAATAAACTGAGCATATCCCTTAACTTGCTTCCGCTGTCTTAATCCAGTCTGTCTAGATGGAAACAGGAGAGGGAAATTTCGGGTACATCTGCTATTGTATTAAAATTTTTAAAGTACTGAAAAGAATACAAAAAAACGTTTAAATAACAAGGTTTTATGTAATAAATGTTTTTCTTTAAACAGTTAAATACACTACTTTTTAAATAACTATAAAGAAAAGCGTGGGTCGCTTCCTAAACATTAGTAAAAGTATACAATAGATAATTTAGCGACCCATGCTTGACTGTCTGTTTGTCTGTCTGTTGCATTTTGGACTTGGCGTGATATGGGGCCGGTGAAGTAGGGCAGTAGAGTTCACCTGTTTCTGTGACCTCAGCTTATGAGCGCATAGAGTCAGACCCAAGCTCCGCTGAAATCGGTGATTTTAAAAGACAAAATTTGTTGGCTGAGGTGTGACGTTTTTTTCAATGTGGGGTCTAACTTTTTGTCTAACTTTTTGTCTAACTTTTTGTCTAACTTTTTGTGACGATGTGTGACAGTGGCGAGAGGAGGGGAAAGATAAAAATCGTCAAACAAACGTGACCTCATTTATGGATGACCCCCGAAACCTTCAGTTATCCGAAGATGACGGGTAGTCTAGTAATTATATAAAAAGCTTGTTATTATGGATGTTTGCAATGCTCTAAAATATTTAATACAATAGGCTTGAAAAGCTGGTTCCAAATGGTTCCAAATGGTTTCAAATGGTTTCAAATGGTTTCAAATGGTTTCAAATGGTTTCAAATGGTTCCAAATGGTTTCAAATGGTTGTTGCCATAAAGTATTTTTAACGAAAATTGATCATTTTATAACATTGGTGAAATGCGTACAAAATGTCTTCCTGCTTATTACGGCTAGATATATTCAAACAATTTCTAGTAATGTACTAGACATTTTGTTAACACTTTTGTTTATTAATTTGGATAAGTATAATCAGGGGTTTGTGCAGTGGCGAAGCTAGGATTTTTGGGCCCCTATGCAAAAAGTGTTAGTGGGCCCCTCAGAGGCGTAGCGACCCTTCCCGGCGACCGGGGACAAACTTTCGATTTGCACCCCCCCCCTCAGACTTTCGACTTGCACCCCCCCTCAGACTTTCGATTTGCACCCCCACCCCCTCAGACTTTCGATTTGCACACCCCCCCTCCCTTAGACTTTCGATTTGCACCCCCCCTCTCAGACTTTCGATTTGCACACCACCCCCCCCCCCCCTTAGACTTTCGATTTGCACCCCTCCCCCTCAAACTTTCGAAAAAGGGCCCCTATTTGCCTTGGGCCCCTATGCCTTGCTTACGCTAGCTTTACGGTAGCTACGACACTGGGTTTGTGGTGACAGTGGATATCATATTATTTGATAGAAATAAATTACTGTGGACCGCTATTGTGTATTTTATCATGGAAAACATTTATTATGAATTTCGTTGTTTTACTTTCCCTGGCCATTCCAATTGAGGACGTATTTCTAAAAATATTTAAATAAAATAATAGTAAACGACTTTTCAATGGCTTATATTCAATACAATAATAGTAAACGACTTTTCAATGGCTTATATTCAATACAATAATAGTAAACGACCTTTCAATGGCTTATATTCATGGTTCTCAAACAGCTTTCATTTTAAAAAATGCAGCCATAATTTAATCGATTGCCATATTTAAAAAAAAAATTAGTATGATAACATAGACTTTTCAAGTCTTATTTAATTGCTTGACTAAAAACAATTGCACACAAATTGAAAATATGCTGGGGGTCGGCGTGGTCGAGTTGGTAAAGCTCATGGTTGCTAAACCGAAAAGTCTCGAGTTCGAACCCTCGGGCAGATGAGGCTCGTTGGCTGGGGACAGCCATTCTTCTAGGAGATACAACTCCAAAATCAAACAACTGCTGCCTTGTAGTTTGTTCTTGGTTGGACAAAGGCTATGGAAGCAAATCCAAAAAGAAAAGCAGGCTGAAATCGGAGTCAATTGCCTCAATGGCGCATAACCAGTTGACACGTAATCCTTAATTGTGATGGAAGCATGGTCGAGTCGGCAAAAAGCTCATATTTGATAAATTCGCAAAAAGTCTCGAGTTCAAACCCTCTGGCAGATAAAGCTCGATCCCTCTCAACACTAAAAATTAAGAACGAAGAAGAAGAAGAAAATATGCTTATAAAAGTACTTTGTATTGGAAACTGTAATTGTTTCTTTAAGAATTAATTAGTCATCCAATCAAGCCAAATTTTAGATCAGATTGCGTTGCCATCGAGTCTTGACCCACATGCTAAATTTGAAACGAATCAGTCCGTTAGAAGTGGTCGAAATTTCGGTAGACAGTTTCGATTCATGACGAAGCACGAAGAGGAAGCAAGATAAATTAAAGCTCGTAAAAATAGATTTGATATGAAAGAAAAATGGACTTGATATTAGAGAGAATTAGAACGATATTATAAAGTGAATTATGGGGTAAAAGTTTTGTTCCGGTGCTAGATCAAAAAGTTATAAAATGCTACAGCTCTCTTTCATACTGGCGCACAATATAGGGTTGGTCGGCTGGCTGCAAGCTTTTTACGCTTTTGTTTGTTCGGGGCGAAACAAAGTTCTAGTTTAATTAAGGTGAAAGTTAACAGTTGAACAAAAGAAAGTTCTAATTACAAGAGTCAAGAGTTTTACTAGCCGAGTTTAATAGCACCAACACCAAGTGTCCAGGACTGACCAACAGATGACGTCACTCGAGAGCTGACGTCACTAAATGAAATTGGTTCTCATGTTCTTATCAAAATAATAGAAGCGGTCCCCTGCGGTCCTGTAGATGGTCCGCATGACTTGTTGGCGGAGTGGGTCCTGGTGGAAGTCCTCGGTCCTGTGGGCCAGCTGGACCACGCTGGGTAGGACAGTCCTCTGGCCCAGGTACAGGGCCGGGTAGTAGGGGTAGATCTTATCCTTGACCTTCTCAGGGTCGATCGTGGTCTCTCTGGGAGAGGAGGGGCAGATATGTAAGGAGGGGCAGATATGTAAGGAGGGGCAGATATGTAAGGAGGGGCAGATATGTAAGGAGGGGCAGATATGTAAGGAGGGGCAGATATGTAAGGAGGGGCAGATATGTAAGGAGGGGCAGATATGTAAGGAGGGGCAGATATGTAAGGAGGGGCAGATATGTAAGGAGGCTCTCTGGGTGAGGAGTGGCAGATATGTAAGGAGGGGCAGATATGTAAGGAGGGGCAGATATGTAAGGAGGGGCAGATATGTAAGGAGGGGCAGATATGTAAGGAGGCTCTCTGGGTGAGGAGGGGCAGATATGTAAGGAGGGGCAGATATGTAAGGAGGCTCTCTGGGTGAGGAGGGGCAGATATGTAAGGAGGGGCAGATATGTAAGGAGGGGCAGATATGTAAGGAGGGGCAGATATGTAAGGAGGGGCAGATATGTAAGGAGGGGCAGATATGTAAGGAGGGGCAGATATGTAAGGAGGCACTCTGGGAGAGGAGGGGCAGATATGTAAGGAGGCTCTCTGGGAGAGGAGGGGCAGATATGTAAGGAGGCTCTCTGGGAGAGGAGGGGCAGATATGTAAGGAGGCTCTCTGGGAGAGGAGGGGCAGATATGTAAGGAGGCTCTCTGGGAGAGGAGGGGCAGATATGTAAGGAGGCTCTCTGGGAGAGGAGGGGCAGATATGTAAGGAGGCTCTCTGGGAGAGGAGGGGCAGATATGTAAGGAGGCTCTCTGGGAGAGGAGGGGCAGATATGTAAGGAGTCTCCCCCCACCACATCTGTCAGTCCCTCACCACCGCCACTACCCTCGCCCAAACACACCCACACACACCCACACACACCCACACACCTGCCAGTTAAAGACCGTGTGGACTCTTCAAGTTGAATGCAATCTTCCCAGTCCTTGACCCCCATCTGCCGGAAGTCGTGAGCGCCACTGGCGGCCAACTTTTTGCCGTCTATGTTCAACTGGCCAAACATGTTTTTAAACCTGCAGACAGCAAGATCGTGACGTAAGACGGCAGAATAATGACGTAACAGTACGATAGTGACGTAATGGTTCAGAAAGTTTCTGCCCTTGTCTCTGGTCTAGAGCATGAATTACCTGCCTTGTCTCTGGTCTAGAGCATGAATTACCTGCCTTGTCTCTGGTCTAGAGCATGAATTACCTGCCTTGTCTCTGGTCTAGAGCATGAATTACCTGCCTTGTCTCTGGTCTAGAGCATGAATTACCTGCCCTTGTCTCTAGCATGAATTACCTGCCTTGTCCACTCCTTTCAAGCCAATCACCAACCTCGGCCTTCGACCAACTCTCGCACTGGCTGGGACATATCGGTTCGTGCCCGCTCGACTGCTGGAAGTAGTTAAACTTGGGGATCACGTGATGTGTACCTTGTGTGCATGGTAATCTGAAATCAGTGGATACAACATTAAGGCGTGACAGATGTTACATAACATTCGAATACTCTTTAAATTGTACACACCAACCACCTCTAAAGCCCACCACTACCACCCCTAAAGCCCACCACTACCACCCCTAAAGCCCACCACCCCTAAAGCCCACCACCCCTAAAGCCCACCACTACCACCCCTAAAGCCCACCACTACCACCCCTAAAGCCCACCACTACCACCCCTAAAGCCCACCACTACCACCCCTAAAGCCCACCACTACCACCTCTAAAGCCCACCACTACCACCCCTAAAGCCCACCACTACCACCCCTAAAGCCCACCACTACCACCCCTAAAGCCCACCACTACCACCCCTAAAGCCCACCACCCCTAAAGCCCACCACTACCACCCCTAAAGCCCACCACTACCACCCCTAAAGCCCACCACTACCACCCCTAAAGCCCACCACTACCACCCCTAAAGCCCACCACTACCACCCCTAAAGCCCACCACTACCACCCCTAAAGCCCACCACCCCTAAAGCCCACCACTACCACCCCTAAAGCCCACCACTACCACCCCTAAAGCCCACCACTACCACCCCTAAAGCCCACCACTACCACCCCTAAAGCCCACCACTACCACCTCTAAAGCCCATCTTACTCTTGACTGTAGTGCTTGTCTTGCTAAAGCCCACCACTACCACCCCTAAAGCCCACCACCCCTAAAGCCCACCACTACCACCCCTAAAGCCCACCACTACCACCCCTAAAGCCCACCACTACCACCCCTAAAGCCCACCACTACCACCCCTAAAGCCCACCACTACCACCTCTAAAGCCCACCACTACCACCCCTAACGCCCACCACTACCACCCCTAACGCCCACCACTACCACCCCTAAAGCCCACCACTACCACCCCTAAAGCCCACCACTACCACCCCTAAAGCCCACCACTACCACCCCTAAAGCCCACCACTACCACCCCTAAAGCCCACCACTACCACCTCTAAAGCCCACCACTACCACCCCTAAAGCCCACCACTACCACCCCTAAAGCCCACCACTACCACCCCTAAAGCCCACCACTACCACCTCTAAAGCCCACCACTACCACCCCTAACGCCCACCACTACCACCCCTAACGCCCACCACTACCACCCCTAAAGCCCACCACTACCACCCCTAAAGCCCACCACTACCACCTCTAAAGCCCACCACTACCACCCCTAACGCCCACCACTACCACCCCTAAAGCCCACCACTACCACCCCTAAAGCCCACCACTACCACCCCTAAAGCCCACCACTACCACCTCTAAAGCCCATCTTACTCTTGACTGTAGTGCTTGTCTTGCTAAAGCCCACCACTACCACCCCTAAAGCCCACCACCCCTAAAGCCCACCACTACCACCCCTAAAGCCCACCACTACCACCCCTAAAGCCCACCACTACCACCCCTAAAGCCCACCACTACCACCCCTAAAGCCCACCACTACCACCTCTAAAGCCCATCTTACTCTTGACTGTAGTGCTTGTCTTGCTAAAGCCCACCACTACCACCCCTAAAGCCCACCACCCCTAAAGCCCACCACCTCTAAAGCCCATCTTACTCTTGACTGTAGTGCTTGTCTTGCTAAAGCCCACCACTACCACCCCTAAAGCCCACCACCTCTAAAGCCCATCTTACTCTTGACTGTAGCGCTTGTCTTGCTAAAGCCCACCACTACCACCCCTAAAGCCCACCACTACCACCTCTAAAGCCCACCACCACCACCACTACCACCCCTAAAGCCCACCACCCCTAAAGCCCACCACCTCTAAAGCCCACCACTACCACCCCTAAAGCCCACCACCCCTAAAGCCCACCACCTCTAAAGCCCACCACTACCACCCCTAAAGCCCACCACCACCACTACCACCCCTAAAGCCCACCACCTCTAAAGCCCACCACCTCTAAAGCCCACCACTACCACCCCTAAAGCCCACCACCCCTAAAGCCCACCACCTCTAAAGCCCATCTTACTCTTGACTGTAGTGCTTGTCTTGAAGCTCATGAAGTTTTGCTGCCAACCTTTTAGGCGGGTCTTGACAGAAGCAATGGCTCGACATGGTGGCACAAAGATGGCGACTAGCAGGACGTGACGTCACTCACTGCTGAAAAAACATTTTCTATTTTTAAGGAAAATAAAATCTTTGATAAAAGGATAAAATAAATAAACCGGGGGTGATCTCCCCTAAACTTTCTCGAATATTCTTATATAAAACTATAGGGGATGGCAACTTGGGATATAGACATGATTTTTAATCCATTTTAAATACTTAAACTTTTAAAAATAGAATAAAATCTCGTAGAAAAATGAATTGCACCTCAAGTGAGCGCCTAATAAAAAGTGCATAATATTGCGGAATATTATTAGTACTTTAAAAATTCACATGCGTTTTTTTTTTGAGAAATCAGAAATAGCGTAAATTACTACTTCCGGTCAACGGAAATTACTCAAAATTTGACAGAAGGCAGAGAATTAGATCTTTTACTTTCTTGTGAAATTTCATTCATCTATCTGAAAGAGTATTCAAGTTATAGGCTTTTGAAAAATTGAAAGTAGAAAAAGTTCCGCTGAAAAGTTGAAACTTATCTACAAATTTGATATAATACTTAAATATGAAATTTCATCAACCTAGCTGTACCGGTACTCAAGTTATCGTGTTTACAGACACACACACACACACACACACACAGACAGACACACATTCACACACAGACAGACACACATTCACACACAGACATACGGACAAGATTGCAAAACTATGTTTTTCCGACACAGGGAGCCCTAACGCGTCGAGATTTGTAAAAATCTCGAATTTTTTTCCCCCCACCATTACAACTTTCTCTATACTTTGTATATACGAGCAAGTAAAAAGGTATGATAAAAAAAGAAGAAAACTTTAATGGAATAATTAAAAACATTTATCTATTTTTATCTAGCTCTTTTTTTTACGATCCAAGCGTGCGCAAATTTCTACAACAGCTGAGTACACCGTTATGCACATCTAGAGATTACAAGTCTGGTACGGCAACATGTCCGCTAGTAGGTTTGTGTGTTTTCAAGTCAGATAGTAGGTTTGTGTGTTCAAGTCAGCTAGTAGGTTTGTGTGTTCAAGTCAGATAGTAGGTTTGTGTGTTCAAGTCAGATAGTAGGTTTGTGTGTTCAAGTCAGCTAGTAGGTTTGTGTGTTCAAGTCAGATAGTAGGTTTGTGTGTTCAAGTCAGATAGTAGGTTTGTGTGTTCAAGTCAGATAGTAGGTTTGTGTTTTCAAGTCAGCTAGTAGGTTTGTGTGTTCAAGTCAGATAGTAGGTTTGTGTGTTCAAGTCAGATAGTAGGTTTGTGTGTTCACGTCAGCTAGTAGGTTTGTGTGTTCAAGTCAGCTAGTAGGTTTGTGTGTTCAAGTCAGCTAGTAGGTTTGTGTGTTCAAGACAACAAAGAGGTTTGTGTGTTCAAGTCAGCTAGTAGGTTTGTATGTTCAAGTCAGCTAGTAGGTTTGTGTGTTCAAGTCAGCTAGTAGGTTTGTATGTTCAAGTCAGCTAGTAGGTTTGTGTGTTCAAGACAACAAAGAGGTTTGTGTGTTCAAGTCAGCTAGTAGGTTTGTATGTTCAAGTCAGATAGTAGGTTTGTGTGTTCAAGTCAGATAGTAGGTTTGTGTGTTCAAGTCAGCTAGTAGGTTTGTGTGTTCAAGACAACAAAGAGGTTTGTGTGTTCAAGTCAGCTAGTAGGTTTGTGTGTTCAAGTCAGCTAGTAGGTTTGTGTGTTCAAGTCAGATAGTAGGTTTGTGTGTTCAAGTCAGATAGTAGGTTTGTGTGTTCAAGTCAGATAGTAGGTTTGTGTGTTCAAGTCAGATAGTAGGTTTGTGTGTTCACGTCAGCTAGTAGGTTTGTGTGTTCAAGTCAGCTAGTAGGTTTGTGTGTTCAAGTCAGCTAGTAGGTTTGTGTGTTCAAGACAACAAAGAGGTTTGTGTGTTCAAGTCAGCTAGTAGGTTTGTATGTTCAAGTCAGCTAGTAGGTTTGTGTGTTCAAGACAACAAAGAGGTTTGTGTGTTCAAGTCAGCTAGTAGGTTTGTATGTTCAAGTCAGCTAGTAGGTTTGTGTGTTCAAGTCAGATAGTAGGTTTGTGTGTTCAAGTCAGATAGTAGGTTTGTGTGTTCAAGTCAGATAGTAGGTTTGTGTGTTCAAGTCAGATAGTAGGTTTGTGTGTTCAAGTCAGATAGTAGGTTTGTGTGTTCACGTCAGCTAGTAGGTTTGTGTGTTCAAGTCAGCTAGTAGGTTTGTGTGTTCAAGTCAGCTAGTAGGTTTGTATGTTCAAGTCAGCTAGTAGGTTTGTATGTTCAAGTCAGATAGTAGGTTTGTGTGTTCACGTCAGCTAGTAGGTTTGTGTGTTCAAGTCAGATAGTAGGTTTGTGTGTTCACGTCAGCTAGTAGGTTTGTATGTTCAAGTCAGCTAGTAGGTTTGTGTGTTCAAGACAACAAAGAGGTTTGTGTGTTCAAGTCAGCTAGTAGGTTTGTATGTTCAAGTCAGATAGTAGGTTTGTGTGTTCAAGTCAGATAGTAGGTTTGTGTGTTCAAGTCAGCTAGTAGGTTTGTGTGTTCAAGACAACAAAGAGGTTTGTGTGTTCAAGTCAGCTAGTAGGTTTGTATGTTCAAGTCAGCTAGTAGGTTTGTGTGTTCAAGACAACAAAGAGGTTTGTGTGTTCAAGTCAGCTAGTAGGTTTGTATGTTCAAGTCAGATAGTAGGTTTGTGTGTTCAAGTCAGATAGTAGGTTTGTGTGTTCAAGTCAGATAGTAGGTTTGTGTGTTCAAGTCAGCTAGTAGGTTTGTATGTTCAAGTCAGCTAGTAGGTTTGTGTGTTCAAGACAACAAAGAGGTTTGTGTGTTCAAGTCAGCTAGTAGGTTTGTATGTTCAAGTCAGATAGTAGGTTTGTGTGTTCAAGTCAGATAGTAGGTTTGTGTGTTCAAGTCAGCTAGTAGGTTTGTGTGTTCAAGACAACAAAGAGGTTTGTGTGTTCAAGTCAGCTAGTAGGTTTGTATGTTCAAGTCAGCTAGTAGGTTTGTGTGTTCAAGACAACAAAGAGGTTTGTGTGTTCAAGTCAGCTAGTAGGTTTGTATGTTCAAGTCAGATAGTAGGTTTGTGTGTTCAAGTCAGATAGTAGGTTTGTGTGTTCAAGTCAGATAGTAGGTTTGTGTGTTCACGTCAGCTAGTAGGTTTGTATGTTCAAGTCAGATAGTAGGTTTGTGTGTTCAAGTCAGATAGTAGGTTTGTGTGTTCAAGTCAGATAGTAGGTTTGTGTGTTCACGTCAGATAGTAGGTTTATGTGTTCACGTCAGCTAGTAGGTTTGTGTGTTCAAGTCAGATAGTAGGTTTGTGTGTTCACGTCAGATAGTAGGTTTGTGTGTTCACGTCAGATAGTAGGTTTGTGTGTTCAAGTTAACAAGGAGGTTTCAGTCGGATTAAGATGTACCCATAGATTTAAGTCAATAAGTTGTTGGTGTATGTCTTTTATATGTCCATCAGCAACCTACGTCACAGATGGATTCATGACATACACACCATGACATACACACTATGTAACTAAACAATGACATACACACTATGTAACTAAACAATGACATACACACTATGTAACTAAACAATGACATACACACTATGTAACTAAACATTTTTTTTTGTCCCCTGAAACCCTCCCCCCCCCCCCGCCAGATGTGCGGCGTATAGTTTCTCCACTGCGGTCTATACCCCCCCCCCCCCCCACCACTGCTAGAACTACTATCTCGTATTTCTATCCTATTATGACGTAGGTCACCTGTGGGCAGAAATCAGAAGTTGGACGGCAATGTTTTATTTTCTTCCAATCTGATTGGTCCAGTGTTGTGAGATCTGATTGGTCCAGTGTTGTGAGATCTGATTAATCCAGTGTTTAATATGGCCGGCCAACCCTTCCTACCCGTCTACCAGTCAGACAACGCCAGCCCAGTGGAGCTCAGGCTACTGGAACCTCCGTACTCAGAGGCCGTCTGCTACTCCTGGGGTGCTGACGTCATAGACAGCTGGTTGGTTGAGACAGGCTTTGGCAGGTAAGTGGTTGGCTTTTGGTGGTTGCTGCAGTGTAATTGGAACTGTAATTGGAACTGTAATTGGAACTGTATTTGGAACTAGGTGTCAAATGGACGTTTTTGAGTCCAGCTTAGAGGGGACTGGATACGCCATGTCTGTAGATGTATCGATACCTACAGGTATCGAGCGATGTTTCGCCATGTCTGTAGATGTATCGATACCTACAGGTATCGAGCGATGTTTCGCCATGTCTGTAGATGTATCGATACCTACAGGTATCGAGCGATGTTTCGCCATGTCTGTAGATGTATCGATACCTACAGGTACCGAGCGATGTTTCGCCATGTCTGTAGATGTATCGATACCTACAGGTATCGAGCGATGTTTCGCCATGTCTGTAGATGTATCGATACCTACAGGTACAGAGCGATGTTTCGCCATGTCTGTAGATGTATCGATACCTACAGGTACAGAGCGATGTTTCGCCATGTCTGTAGATGTATCGATACCTACAGGTACAGAGCGATGTTTCGCCATGTCTGTAGATGTATCGATACCTACAGGTACAGAGCGATGTTTCGCCATGTCTGTAGATGTATCGATACCTACAGGTACCGAGCGATGTTTCGCCATGTCTGTAGATGTATCGATACCTACAGGTACAGAGCGATGTTTCGCCATGTCTGTAGATGTATCGATACCTACAGGTACCTAGCGATGTTTCGCCATGTCTGTAGATGTATCGATACCTACAGGTATCGAGCGATGTTTCGCCATGTCTGTAGATGTATCGATACCTACAGGTACCGAGCGATGTTTCGCCATGTCTGTAGATGTATCGATACCTACAGGTATCGAGCGATGTTTCGCCATGTCTGTAGATGTATCGATACCTACAGGTACAGAGCGATGTTTCGCCATGTCTGTAGATGTATCGATACCTACAGGTACAGAGCGATGTTTCGCCATGTCTGTAGATGTATCGATACCTACAGGTACAGAGCGATGTTTCGCCATGTCTGTAGATGTATCGATACCTACAGGTACAGAGCGATGTTTCGCCATGTCTGTAGATGTATCGATACCTACAGGTACCGAGCGATGTTTCGCCATGTCTGTAGATGTATCGATACCTACAGGTACAGAGCGATGTTTCGCCATGTCTGTAGATGTATCGATACCTACAGGTACCTAGCGATGTTTCGCCATGTCTGTAGATGTATCGATACCTACAGGTACCGAGCGATGTTTCGCCATGTCTGTAGATGTATCGATACTTACAGGTACCGAGCAATGTTTCGACATGTCTGTAGATGTATCGATACTTACAGGTACCGAGCGATGTTTCGCCATGTCTGTAGATCTATCGATACCTACAGGTACCGAGCGATGTTTCGCCATGTCTGTAGATGTATCGATACCTACAGGTATCGAGCCATGTTTCGCCATGTCTGTAGATGTATCGATACCTACAGGTACCGAGCGATGTTTCGACATGTCTGTAGATGTATCGATACCTACAGGTACCGAGCGATGTTTCGCCATGTCTGTAGATGTATCGATACCTACAGGTACCGAGCGATGTTTCGCCATGTCTGTAGATGTATCGATACCTACAGGTACCGAGCGATGTTTCGCCATGTCTGTAGATGTATCGATACCTACAGGTATCGAGCCATGTTTCGACAGAACGGGATAGACGGACGCAAGCTGCTGACGCTGGACGAGGCGGGGCTCAGGAGGATGGGCGTATTCGACTCCCAGGACGCGCGTCAGATTGTCGCGAACATCAGCGTCATGCGTCACATTCACAGGCATCTGGAGTCTTCTGAGCTGCCCGGACTACCTTACACCTACTACAGGTTAGTGGTCTTACGTCTTCAGTAGGCTAGTGGTCTTACGTCTTCAGTAGGCTAGTGGTCTTACGTCTACAGTAGGCTAGTGGTCTTACGTCTACAGTAGGCTAGTGGTCTTACGTCTACAGTAGGCTAGTGGTCTTACGTCTACAGTAGGCTAGTGGTCTTACGTCTACAGTAGGCTAGTAGTCTTACGTCTACAGTAGGCTAGTGGTCTTACGTCTACAGTAGGCTAGTGGTCTTACGTCTACAGTAGGCTAGTGGTCTTACGTCTACAGTAGGCTAGTGGTAGTAGTCTTACGTCTACTTAAGGCTAGTGGTCTTACGTCTACTGTAGGCTAGTGGTGGTGGTCTTACGTCTACAGTAGGCTAGTGGTCTTACGTCTACAGTAGGCTAGTGGTCTTACGTCTACAGTAGGCTAGTGGTCTTACGTCTACAGTAGGCTAGTGGTCTTACGTCTACAGTAGGCTAGTGGTCTTACGTCTACAGTAGGCTAGTGGTAGTAGTCTTACGTCTACTTAAGGCTAGTGGTCTTACGTCTACTGTAGGCTAGTGGTCTTACGTCTACAGTAGGCTAGTGGTCTTACGTCTACAGTAGGCTAGTGGTCTTACGTCTACAGTAGGCTAGTGGTCTTACGTCTACAGTAGGCTAGTGGTCTTACGTCTACAGTAGGCTAATGGTCTTACGTCTACAGTAGGCTAGTGGTCTTACGTCTACAGTAGACTAGTGGTCTTACGTCTACAGTAGGCTAGTGGTCTTACGTCTACAGTAGGCTAGTGGTCTTACGTCTACAGTAGGCTAGTGGTCTTACGTCTACAGTAGGCTAGTGGTCTTACGTCTACAGTAGGCTAGTGGTCTTACGTCTACAGTAGGCTAGTGGTCTTACGTCTACAGTAGGCTAGTGGTCTTACGTCTACAGTAGGCTAGTGGTCTTACGTCTACAGTAGGCTAGTGGTCTTACGTCTACAGTAGGCTAGTGGTCTTACGTCTAAAGTAGGCTAGTGGTCTTACGTCTTCAGTAGGCTAGTGGTCTTACGTCTACTGTAGGCTACTGGTCTTACGTCTACAGTAGGCTAGTGGTCTTACGTCTACTACAGTTTATGACAAAGACTTAGTGACGTAGAATTAGACGTAGTTTGTGTTTTAGACTGTGATGTAGACTTTCAATCGTAGATTGTGACGAAAACTTTGAGACGTAGAGTGTGACCTTGACCCTTGTTCGGGTGACTCTCCCACCACAGGGCCCTCTGTTTCGGCAAAAAGTCGACCTTGACCTCGCCGTTGCTACAGGAGAACATGTGCTACACCACGTGGTCAGTGCCAGACCAAGTCACCCTCCGGCGTATCAACAGTCTGTCCGGTGGGGAGGACACTTTTGGCTGGTTCGCTCGAAATCGTCCCCACCCCACCATCTAGGGCTACGTGACCAGGCGGTGCCTAAATCTTTGGAAGTGTGGTGTCCGTCTTCAAGTTATGTCATAAAAATCTGGCTTGCATCAAATATGCCACAGGTGAAATTAGGGAGCAGGGCTAACACGGCAGCCGCCGAGGGTCCTAATTTTGGCATATTTCTTACAACCGCTTTTAATCTCTTATAATCTCTTACACGGTAAAACAAATTTCACAAGCATCGTGGGTGGTTTTTTTAAATAAAAGTCTGAGTGTTAAATTACAAGTTTGTTTTTAATTGGGATCAATTTTTGAAAAAAATTATTCTGTTATAATAGTTTTCAGATCTGATCCTTAGATGTATATAAATTCGGATATAAATATAAACTATCTTCTTTTTATTTTTAGACGCAAGTAAATGATAAAATAATTCACTTAGTTTGGTCAAATAAAAATGACGAGAAGAAATTTCTTTTTACCAACTTTATTTTTTTCAAACAATAGATTTTTTTTTGTAAACTAAAATAAAATTATTTCTCACGAGCTTAGGTATTATTCTTCTTATTTTTTTCTGAGTAAATAATAATGGTATTTTGGACAAGTATAAATTATTATTTTTGACATTGTAAGCTTTCAGAGAAAATGAAAGGCAAGATTAAATTTTCGAAACAAAAATTAAGACAAGTAACACATTTTTGCAGATTACCTTAGCAGCTTTACCTTTTTGTTCTACACAATAGCTATCAAATAGTTGCAACCATATTGCTTGCCATATTGCCATATACAGTTAATTCTTATAAATTTATATATATATATATATATATATATATATATATATATATATATATATATATATATATATATATATATATTCTATATATATAATTCTCTTCTTAGATACCCTAGAAAACACCAAGCTGTAAGCGCGCCTAGCAGCTCCCTCTCTTCCTCTCTATCACTATCCCTACCACTCCCACCCCACATGATCTGGTGAGCTATGGTTCACGCTAAATGTTTACAATCGTAGAGCCGGGTTTAGTAACGCTATTAGGGGCAGGTAATTTAGTTTAAACGATTTTAAACTTAGGGGAGGTAACTAAGAGGAGGCTGCTTTCACGGGGGGGGGGTGTAGGGTAGGGGTTAGAGTTGGGGGAAAGGAGGGCAGGGGGTGGGGTTATCGTCCTTAACGAACTACTGATAGTGTTTTAAAGCAAATATTTTCAGTGGCAGCATTGGTACTGTCGAATTCACTAATTATGAATTACTGAAAAGTAGAAAATAAAACAACTAAATAGCGGCATATGATACGCCGCGGGTCGGCTTATATAAATATAAATTTGATATAGCGACCTCTAAATTTGATATAGCGACCTCTAAATTTGATATGGCAACCTCTAAATTTGATATTTTCTCCCCATATTTTGATTGGAAGGTTTTTATACTAAAAAGGAATAAAAAAAAAACAAAAGAAACTAACAGAACACAAGCGTATGTTAGAAAACTAGAATGTAAATATTTCTAGAACGTTCTGGGATTTTATTTTTAAGATATTTAATATTTTTAACATGGATTGAGATTTTTAAGAACAAAATTTTCTCTTGAAATGTCACTTATGTAATCTGTCACACGGTTAAATCTGTCACAGATGTAAATCTGTCAAAGTGTTGACGTCACCGACGGCGAACCCGCAGGTAAAAATGGTCGTGTAGGCCGCCTGGGTCAGCTGCTTGTACTGGACCAAGTCTGGATCGGTGCGGAAAGCTTGCCTGTACTGGACGCTGTCTTGCACGCTTGGCCACTGGACGTAAACCATCGTCAGCTCCTCACTTTTGGCGGGAAACTCCGACCAATCTCCGCTGAGGAAGGTCACGTTAGCAGACGATAACACAGTTTTCCCGCCAAATCTTTTTTTGGTCGGGTTCAAACTTTGTTTGAGCAGACGTTGCCTGAGTTCCGTGTAGTTCCTGTCTGGCCTGAAGGCAAGATGGCGCCGCATGAGCACCAGAGAGGCCGCGGTGTAGTCCTGCAGGCGACCCGGCGAGCCAAGGTCAAGCTTGTTCTCTCCCAACATGACCCACCAGCGCGAGGTCAAGGCCGGGTCATACAGCTTCATGTTCTGAAACCAGCTTAAACCGGTCGGCGCAGATTGGAAGTGCAGGAAGATGGCAGACGTAGATGAGGGCGGGAGAACCTGCAACTAAAGACCGAGCTTACGGTCAGAGGTCATCTATTTATAACGTCCACACATAACATGAGGACGGTAAGGGGGGGGCATCTTTTTATAACGTCCATACATAATATGAGGACGGTAAGGGGGGGGCATCTATTTATAACGTCCATACATCATATGAGGACGGTAGGGGGGCATCTATTTATAACGTCCATACATAATATGAGGACGGTAGGGGGGGGCATCTATTTATAACGTCCACACATAATATGAGGACGGTAGGGGGGGCATCTATTTATAACGTCCACACATAACATGAGGGGGGGGCATCTATTTATAACGTCCACACATAATATGAGGACGGTAGGGGGGGGGGCATCTATTTATAACGTCCACACATAACATGAGGGGGGGGCATCTATTTATAACGTCCACACATAATTCGAGGGCGGTAGGGGGGGGGGAGCATCTATTGATAACGTCCACACATAATATGAGGACGGTAGGGTGGGGGGCATCTATTTATAACGTCCACACATAACATGAGGGGGGGCATCTATAACGTCCACACATAATATGAGGACGGTAGGGGGGGGGGGGCATCTATTTATAACGTCCACACATAACATGAGGGGGGGGGCATCTATTTATAACGTCCACACATAATATGAGGACGGTAGGGGGGGCATCTATTTATAACGTCCACACATAACATGAGGACGGTAAGGGGGGGGGGCATCTATTTATAACATCCACACATAACATGAGGACGGTAGGGGGGGGGGGCATCTATTTATAACATCCACACATAACATGAGGACGGTAGGGGGGGGGGGGCATCTATTTATAACATCCACACATAACATGAGGACGGTAGGGGGGCATCTATTTATAACGTCCACACATAACATGAGGGGGGGGGCATCTATTTATAACATCCACACATAACATGAGGACGGTAGGGGGGCATCTATTTATAACATCCACACATAATATGAGGACGGTAGGGGGGCATCTATTTATAACGTCCACACATAACATGAGGACGGTAGGGGGGGGGGGGGCATCTATTTATAACGTCCACACATAACATGAGGACGGTAGGGGGGGGGGGCATCTATTTATAACGTCCACACATAATATGAGGACGGTAGGGGGGCATCTATTTATAACGTCCACACATAACATGAGGACGGTAGGGGGGGGCATCTATTTATAACATCCACACATAACATGAGGACGGTAGGGGGGGGGGGCATCTATTTATAACGTCCACACATAACATGAGGACGGTAGGGGGGGGAGCATCTACCTGTAGGCTGTAGGAAAGAATTGTCCCCTTGTGCAGCATCAAGTTCGGGAGGTTCTGTCTGAAACATTGCCTGACCTGCTCGGCGTCCGTCTCCTGGAAGACAAGCATCAACACGCACCCCTTTCCGGGCTGGTGTAAGTAGGGCGTCAGGGCGCTGGCTACTGCCTGCTCGTAGGTCGGGGGAGCCGCACCTCCGTTGTTTAAAGGCGGTGCTGTTGGACAAAGGTTCGTTGTGGCGGCTTCAGCGCCTTTAGTTGTGGCGGCTTCATCTCTAGCTGCAGCTAAAAGGCTGTCACTTGTGTTCATGTTATGGGGAGGTGCACAACTGGGCGTGGTCTGGAGAGCAGCTGCGCCCCCCCTAGCGGCGGATTTCTGGTCGACATACACTGTCATGGGAGCGTGACGACTGAGGTAAACAAACGGCCCGTGGCTCTGGTCAAATGTCTGGAACAATCAAAGCTCAAGTCTCATTGTTGGGAGGGGGGGGGATGAAGGGGGTGGTGGGGAGAGAATCAAGATTGTGTGGGGATGGTTGGGGAGAGAATCAAGATTGTGTGGGGGGGGGGGGGGTGGTGGGGAGAGAATCAAGATTGTGTGGGGATGGTTGGGGAGAGAATCAAGATTGTGTGGGGATGGTGGGGAGAGAATCAAGATTGTGTGGGGGTGGTGGGGAGAGAATCAAGATTGTGTGGGGGTGGTGGGGAGAGAATCAAGATTGTGTGGGGATGGTTGGGGAGAGAATCAAGATTGTGTGGGGGTGGTGGGGAGAGAATCAAGATTGTGTGGGGATGGTTGGGGAGAGAATCAAGATTGTGTGGGGGGGGGGGGGGGGGTGGTGGGGAGAGAATCAAGATTGTGTGGGGATGGTTGGGGAGAGAATCAAGATTGTGTGGGGATGGTGGGGAGAGAATCAAGATTGTGTGGGGGTGGTGGGGAGAGAATCAAGATTGTGTGGGGGTGGTGGGGAGAGAATCAAGATTGTGTGTGGGGTGGTGGGGAGAGAATCAAGATTGTGTGGGGGTGGTGGGGAGAGAATCAAGATTGTGTGGGGGTGGTGGGGAGAGAATCAAGATTGTGTGTGGGTGGTGGGGAGAGAATCAAGATTGTGTGTGGGTGGTGGGGAGAGAATCAAGATTGTGTGGGGGGGGGGTGGTGGGGAGAGAATCAAGATTGTGTGTGGGTGGTGGGGAGAGAATCAAGATTGTGTGGGGGTGGTGGGGAGAGAATCAAGATCGTGTGTGTGTGGGGAGGGGGGGTAGGGAGAGAATCAAGATCGTGTGTGTGGGGGGGGGGGAGAATCAAGATTGTGGGGGGGGGGGGAATCAAGACTGTGTGGGGGTGGTGGGGAGAGAATCAAGATCGTGTGTGTGTGGGGAGGGGGGGTAGGGAGAGAATCAAGATTGTGTGTGTGTGGGGAGAGAATCAAGATTGTGTGTGTGTGGGGAGAGAATCAAGATTGTGTGGGGGTGGTGGGGAGAGAATCAAGATTGTGTGGGGGTGGTGGGGAGAGAATCAAGATCGTGTGTGTGTGGGGAGGGGGGGGTAGGGAGAGAATCAAGATTGTGTGTGTGTGTGGGGAGAGAATCAAGATTGTGTGTGTGTGGGGAGAGAATCAAGATTGTGTGGGGGTGGTGGGGAGAGAATCAAGATTGTGTGTGTGTGGGGAGAGAATCAAGATTGTGTGGGGGTGGTGGGGAGAGAATCAAGATTGTGTGTGTGTGTGGGGAGAGAATCAATATTGTGTGTGGGGGGGGGAGAGAATCAAGATTGTGTGTGTGGGGAGAGAATCAAGATTGTGTGGGGGTGGTGGGGAGAGAATCAAGATTGTGTGTGTGTGGGGAGAGAATCAAGATTGTGTGGGGGTGGTGGGGAGAGAATCAAGATTGTGTGGGGGTGGTGGGGAGAGAATCAAGATTGTGTGTGTGTGGGGAGAGAATCAAGATTGTGTGGGGGTGGTGGGGAGAGAATCAATATCGTGTGTGTGTGGGGAGAGAATCAATATTGTGTGTGGGGGGGAGAGAATCAAGATTGTGTGTGGGGAGAGAATCAAGATTGTGTGCAACTTGCCTGGAGGCCAGCCTGACAGGGGACGTAACACAGGGCCCTGGAGGGGGCGGCCTGGCGCTGCCCCGGGTCTCTGGGTGTGGTCGGGTCGGGGAGAGAGACTCCCAGTGGGACGGTTCCCAGTTTAATGGGCAGGGTCAAGGTCAGGTCCAGACCTAAGGGCACCTCAATACACACCACCAGGGCATAGGTCACCTGCAGAAATACACCACAAGTCACTCAAGTCACTCAAGTCACTCAAGTCACTCAAGTCACTCAAGTCACTCATCTCAAGTCACTCATCACAAGTCACTCATCTCAAGTCACTCATCACAAGTCACTCATCTCAAGTCACTCATCACAAGTCACTCATCTCAAGTCACTCATCACAAGTCACTCATCTCAAGTCACTCATCACAAGTCACTCATCTCAAGTCACTCATCACAAGTCACTCATCTCAAGTCACTCAAGTCACTCAAGTCACTCATCTCAAGTCACTCAAGTCACTCATCTCAAGTCACTCATCACAAGTCACTCATCACAAGTCACTCATCTCAAGTCACTCATCACAAGTCACTCATCTCATCATCACAAGTCACTCATCTCAAGTCACTCAAGTCACTCATCTCAAGTCACTCATCACAAGTCACTCATCACAAGTCACTCATCACAAGTCACTCATCACAAGTCACTCATCACAAGTCACTCATCTCAAGTCACTCATCACAAGTCACTCATCTCAAGTCACTCATCACAAGTCACTCATCTCAAGTCACTCAAGTCACTCATCTCAAGTCACTCAAGTCACTCAAGTCACTCATCTCAAGTCACTCATCACAAGTCACTCATCTCAAGTCACTCAAGTCACTCAAGTCACTCATCTCAAGTCACTCAAGTCACTCATCTCAAGTCATTCATCTCAAGTCACTCAAGTCACTCAAGTCACTCATCTCAAGTCACTCAAGTCACTCATCACAAGTCACTCATCACAAGTCACTCAAGTCACTCAAGTCACTCAAGTCACTCATCTCAAGTCACTCAAGTCACTCATCACAAGTCACTCATCACAAGTCACTCATCACAAGTCACTCATCACAAGTCACTCAAGTCACTCATCTCAAGTCACTCATCACAAGTCACTCATCACAAGTCACTCATCACAAGTCACTCATCACAAGTCACTCATCACAAGTCACTCATCACAAGTCACTCATCACAAGTCACTCATCACAAGTCACTCAAGTCACTCATCTCAAGTCACTCATCACAAGTCACTCATCACAAGTCACTCATCACAAGTCACTCAAGTCACTCATCTCAAGTCACTCATCTCATCATCTCAAGTCACTCATCACAAGTCACTCATCACAAGTCACTGATCACGTTAAGTTAAACATCACTTGACAACATCTAACAACTGAAGTGGAAACCTTCATATGAGTTTATACTTTATATTGTCACGTCACGTGAAAGGTGTCACGTTACAGGTCAGTAGATCACGTGATGAGGTTAAGCAGGTGACAACCAAGACTCACCTTGATGTTTTGACAGGTCAGCTGTTTGCTACTGGGTGGGACAGCATCAACAAACACCGGCTGTTGCTGCCACACAACTTTGCTGTCTTTTGCTGTCAAGTATTAGTCAGAGTTGAGACATTTGTGGGAGGTGTGGGATGGGAGGTGTGGGATGGGAGGTGTGGGGTGGGAGGTGTGGGGTAGGGTAGGAGGTATGGGGTGGGGTGGGAGGTGTGGGGTGGGGTGGGACGTGTGGGGTAGGGTGGGAGGTATGGGGTGGGGTGGGACGTGTGGGGTAGGGTGGGAGGTATGGGGTGGGGTGGGTGGGAGGTGTGGGGTGGGGTGGGGTGGGAGGTGTGGGGTGGGGTGGGAGGTGTGGGATGGGAGGTGTGGGGTGGGAGGTGTGGGATGGGAGGTGTGGGGTGGAAGGTGTGGGAGGGGTGGTGTGGGAGGTGTGGGGTGGGAAGTGTGGGATGGGAGGTGTAGGGTGGGGTGGGGTGGGGTGGAAGGTGTGGGGTGGGAGGTGTGGGGTGGACACCCCTGCCACTCACCAAGTCTGGCACCAAGAACGCAGCGTATGACCGTGGTGCTGGTCTTGCTCTCGCTGCTGGCTGTGAATCTGACCAACTGCACCAAACTGGCTTTCACTAGGCCGCAGTCTTTTGTACTTTCATTACTGGCTTCAAGATTGACAAAAATCTGGCCATAAAATGATGGAAACAATGGAGACAACCGACAAAAGCCTCGAAATTACTGGAAAGGCCCATAAAAATTTTTAAAATCATGTACAATGTACATATGAAATATGATTATAAAATCTGAATTTTGTTAGACTTTACTAAAGATTGGATACATTCGATGTTTTTGGTATTTTCGTTAGCTATAGAAAATAAAAAATAATAAGCCAAAATCAATTTGTTTATATTTTTATCACAGAAAATTTAAACAAAACTGGCAGAATTAAATAATTTTATCAAAAACTTTATCGGCATAGTTTTTAGAACAAATTACTAAGAAGTGGGGTTTTCAGAATATCTATCACGGAGTTCCTGTACAGCCAATCAATGTTTGTGACCCACCTATGACCCACCTATGACCCACCTGTGACCCACCTATGACCCACCTGTGACCCACCTATGACCCACCTATGACCCACCTGTGACCCACCTATGACCCACCTATGACCCACCTGTGACCCACCTGTGACCCACCTATGACCCACCTGTGACCCACCTGTGACCCACCTGTGACCCACCTGTGACCCACCTATGACCCACCTGTGACCCACCTGTGACCCACGTATGACCCACCTGTGACCCACCTGTGACCCACCTATGACCCACCTGTGACCCACCTGTGACCCACCTGTGACTCACCTGTGACCCACCTGTGACCCACCTGTGACCCACCTGTTCCCCGGGGCAGTAGCCCGACCTGTCCAGCGATGCAGCCAGACGGAGATGACCCGCGGTGCCGAGACCTAAAGCTTTGCTCAGACTTTTCTCTACTCGGCCACTCACGCTTTTCTGTTCTTGGGAGAAATTCAACACTATACAGACACACATACAGACACACATACAGACACACATACAGACACACATACAGACACACGTACAGACACACATACAGACACACGTACAGACACACGTACAGACACACATACAGACACACATACAGACACACATACAGACACACATACAGACACACATACAGACACACATACAGACACACATACAGACACACGTAGCAGACACACATACAGACACACATACAGACACACGTACAGACACACGTACAGACACACATACAGACACACATACAGACACACATACAGACACACGTAGCAGACACACATACAGACACACATACAGACACACATACAGACACACGTACAGACACACATACAGACACACATACAGACACACATACAGACACACATACAGACACACATACAGACACACATACAGACACACATACAGACACACGTACAGACACACATACAGACACACATACAGACACACGTACAGACACACGTACAGACACACGTACAGACACACGTACAGACACACATACAGACACACATACAGACACACATACAGACACACATACAGACACACGTAGCAGACACACATACAGACACACTTACAGACACACATACAGACACACATACAGACACACATACAGACACACATACAGACACACGTACAGACACACATACAGACACACATACAGACACACATACAGACACACATACAGACACACGTAGCAGACACACATACAGACACACATACAGACACACATACAGACACACGTACAGACACACATACAGACACACGTACAGACACACATACAGACACACATACAGACACACATACAGACACACATACAGACACACATACAGACACACGTAGCAGACACACATACAGACACACATACAGACACACATACAGACACACGTACAGACACACATACAGACACACATACAGACACACATACAGACACACATACAGACACACATACAGACACACATACAGACACACATACAGACACACATACAGACACACATACAGACACACATACAGACACACATACAGACACACGTAGCAGACACACATACAGACACACATACAGACACACATACAGACACACGTACAGACACACATACAGACACACATACAGACACACATACAGACACACATACAGACACACATACAGACACACGTAGCAGACACACATACAGACACACATACAGACACACATACAGACACACGTACAGACACACGTAGCAGACACACATACAGACACACATATAGACACACATACAGACACACGTACAGACACACAAACAGACACACATACAGACACACATACAGACACACATACAGACACACATACAGACACACATACAGACACACGTAGCAGACACACATACAGACACACGTAGCAGACACACATACAGACACACATACAGACACACATACAGACACACGTACAGACACACATAAAGACACACGTACAGACACACATACAGACACACATACAGACACACATACAGACACACTTACAGACACACATACAGACACACATACAGACACACATACAGACACACGTAGCAGACACACATACAGACACACATACAGACACACATACAGACACACGTACAGACACACATACAGACACACGTACAGACACACATACAGACACACATACAGACACACATACAGACACACATACAGACACACATACAGACACACGTAGCAGACACACATACAGACACACATACAGACACACATACAGACACACGTACAGACACACATACAGACACACATACAGACACACATACAGACACACATACAGACACAAATACAGACACACATACAGACACACATACAGACACACATACAGACACACATACAGACACACATACAGACACACATACAGACACACATACAGACACACGTAGCAGACACACATACAGACACACATACAGACACACATACAGACACACGTACAGACACACATACAGACACACATACAGACACACATACAGACACACATACAGACACACATACAGACACACGTAGCAGACACACATACAGACACACATACAGACACACATACAGACACACATACAGACACACGTACAGACACACATACAGACACACGTACAGACACACGTAGCAGACACACATACAGACACACATACAGACACACATACAGACACACGTACAGACACACATACAGACACACATACAGACACACATACAGACACACATACAGACACACATACAGACACACATACAGACACACGTAGCAGACACACATACAGACACACGTAGCAGACACACATACAGACACACATACAGACACACATACAGACACACGTACAGACACACATACAGACACACGTACAGACACACATACAGACACACATACAGACACACTTACAGACACACGTAGCAGACACACATACAGACACACATACAGACACACGTACAGACACACGTACAGACACACATACAGACACACATACACATAAACAGGCACGTTTATAAAACTGAAAGCCTTGAGCACATTTTAACTGCTGCATTGACCAATGGAAACAAAGACTTGCGTATGTATAGATGACAAACGTAAAAGACGTGCGTATGTATAGATGACAAACGTAAAAGACTTGCGTATGTATAGATGACAAACTTAAAAGACTTGCGTATCTATAGATGACAAACTTAAAAGACTTGCGTATGTATAGATGACAAACGTAAAAGACTTGCGTATGTATAGATGACAAACGTAAAAGACTTGCGTATGTATAGATGACAAGCTGACTGTTGTGATAGACGCGAACGAGGTGGTACTCACGCGGTAGATGACGTCATTGACGTTGATGTATGCCAGCACCGTGAAGCAGGTGTAATAGCGGTCGTTGATGGCAGGAAACGGTTTGTCCAGCTCCAACTTGATGAAGTAGCGGATGGCACCAAACTCTCCCTCAAACGACGAGGGCAGGCCTTGTGAGGGCAGGGGGAAGCTGAACTTGTACCGGGCTTCACCTGCATCCAGCACGGCTGTGGAGAGGACAGGGGTCAGTGGGTCTAGGTCAGGGGTCAATGGGTCTAGGTCAGGGGTCAATGGGTCTAGGTCAGGGGTCAATGGGCCTAGGACAGGGGTCAATGGGTCTAGGACAGGGGTCAATGGGTCTAGGACAGGGGTCAGTGGGTCTAGGACAGGGGTCAATGGGTCTAGGACAGGGGTCAGTGGGTCTAGGACAGGGGTCGGCACGGGTCATCTGTCTGTCACGGGTTGTCTGTCTTGTGTACGGGTTGTCCGTGTGTGTACGGGTTGTCCGTGTGTGTACGGGTTGTCCGTGTGTGTACGGGTTGTCCGTCTTGTGTACGGGTTGTCCATCTTGTTTACGGGTTGTCCGTGTGTGTACGGGTTGTCCGTGTGTGTACGGGTTGTCCGTGTGTGTACGGGTTGTCCGTGTGTGTGTACTCACTGTTCTGGTCAACTACCCGGATGTTTCTGCTGACGTATGTCTCTAAGGTCATGCTGTCCTCCTCTGTTGACCTCTGGAACAACCTTGACCATTTAGTTAAGGACAGGCCGTAGCAGCCAATGTAAACGCCCTTGACATTGATTTGACCTTCAACCTTAATCACGGCTTGTCCTGAAACCGTTTCTCCAGGTCGGTAAACTTTTTGGTTGCCGTCAAATACAATCGACCAACCCGTGACCTTTCCCATCTGTAGTGGGTAGCACATAGACAAGAGTGGGTAGCACATAGACAAGAGTGGGTAGCACATAGACAAGAGTGGGTAGCACATAGACAAGAGTGGGTAGCACATAGACAAGAGTGGGTAGCACATAGACAAGAGTGGGTAGCACATAGACAAGAGTGGGTAGCACATAGACAAGAGTGGGTAGCACATAGACAAGAGTGGGTAGCACATAGACAAGAGTGGGTAGCACATAAACAAGAGTGGGTAGCACATAGACAAGAGTGGGCAGCACATAGACAAGAGTGGGTAGCACATAGACAAGAGTGGGTAGCACATAGACAAGAGTGGGTAGCACATAGACAAGAGTGGGTAGCACATAGACAAGAGTGGGTAGCACATAGACAAGAGTGGCATCACATAGACAAGAGTGGGTAGCACAAAGACAAGAGTGGGTAGCACATAGACAAGAGTGGGTAGCACATAGACAAGAGTGGTTAGCATAAAAACGTTTTAATAACAAGCTTTTATGTAATAATGCACTAAAAAGTAGAAAATAATTTCCTTTAAATATATAATAATACACGACTATTTAAATAACCGTAAAGAAAAGCGTGGGTCGCATTAGTATCTATTGAATACCTTTACTAATATCTAATACTTAGGAAGATACCCACGCTTTTCTTTATAGTTATTTAAATTGTCGTGTATTATTATATATTTAAAGGAAATTGTTTACCTTTTGCTTTTTAGTGCATTATAACATGAAAGCTTGTTATAAAAACGTTTTTTATGACTTTTTTTTCAGTATTTAAAATTTTTTAAAATTTACAATAGAGTAGCATGACTAAAAACCATTGCGCACCTAATGAACTTGATGACACGTGTTTAAACTATAACAGTGCCGAATAGTTTGATGAGACAGCCTACTAATTTGGACTAAATTGTAATTAATTCATCAAAAATTAATCGGGCAACTAATTAAGTCAAATTTAAGGTCTTGTTGCACTGTCTTTATGTCTTGACCCATGTACAAAATATGAACCAAATCTGTCAGTTAGAAGTGCCCGAAATTTCGATCGGGCGTTTCGATCTAGACAGACAGACTGACGACTGACATGGACAGTGAGTTAAATTTTTTTTCATAAAAAACGTTTTAATAACAAGCTTTTATGTTATAATGCACTAAAAAGTAGAAAGTAAATTATACACTACTATTTAAATTACTATAAAGAAAAGATACTAAAGTGACCCACGCTTTTCTTAAAAGTAATTTAAATAGTAGTGCATAATTTATTTTCTACTTTTTAGTGCATTATTACATAAAAGCTTCTTATTAAAACGTTTTTTATGAAATTTTTTAGTAGGCTACTTTATGTTTTATTTACACTAGAGTTGCATGACTAAAAACCATTTCGCACCTATTGTACGTGTTGACGCATGTCTAATAGCGCGGAATAGTTTCATGAGACAGCCTACTAATTTGGAAAAAAATAATTAATTCATAAAAAATTAATCAGGCAACCAATTAAGTCCAATGTAATGTCATGTTGCATTGTCTTCATGTCTTGACGCACGTACCAACTACGAACCGTATCTGTTCGTTAGAAGTACCTGCAATTTCGCTCGGGCGTTTCGATCTAGACAGACAGAATGACGACAGAGGAAGTGAGTTAAATAAAGGCTTGTAATAAAAGCTTGTAATAAAAAATCAACCGGGAGTGATTTCCCCTAAACTTTCTCGAATATTCTTATATAAAACAACAACAGGGGATGGGAACACGGGCTATAGACATGATTTTTAATCCATTTTAAATACTTAAAGTTTTTAAAATAGAATAAAATCTCGTAGAAAAAAAGAATTGCACAGCAAGTGAACGCCAAATAAATATGCATAATAGTGCGCAATATTATTAGTACTTTATAAATTTACATTAGTTTTTTTGAGAAATGGGAAATAGCGTAAATAAGTACTTCCGGTCAACGGAAATCACTCAAAATTTAACAGAAGGTAGAAAATTATATCTTTTACTTTTGTGTGAAATTTCATGTATCTATCTGAAATAGTACTCAAGTTATAGGCTTTTGAAAAATTCAATGTAGAAAAAGTACCACTTCCGGTTATAGGAAATCGCTCAAAATTTTATACGCATCTACGATTTTGATAAAATACTTATATATCAAATTTCATCAGTCTAGATGTAACGGTACTCAAGTTATCGTGTTTACAGACACACAGACAGACACACACACAGACATACGGACACGATTGCAAAAATATTTTTTTCCGACTCAGGGAGCGATAAAGCGTCGAGATTTATAAAAATCTCGATTTTTTATTTTTGCACGGTTACAAGACTTTCTCTATACTTCGTATATACGAGAAAGTAAAAATCATATAATACGTTTTGATAACAAGCTTTTGTGTAATAATGCACTAAGAGTAGAAAATAAATAATTTCCTTTAAATATATAATACACGACTATTTAAATAACTAATAAAGAAAAGCGTGGGTGAGTTTAGTATCTTTTGGATACCTTTACTAATATCTAATATTTATGAATATTGTCTTCATGTCTTGACCCACGTACCAACTTTGAACTGGATCTGTCAGTAAGAAGTGCCCGTAATTTCGCTTGGGCGTTTCGATCTAAACAGACTGACGACAGACATTTTCTGGACATCCCGTGTTTGCTAACTAACATGATTTGACCGTAGTATTCAACATTTTTGTAAAAATGTAGGCTACCTCTAGCTTACCCCAGTCTTACCTTTGTAACGTATCCTTCACCTGGCGAGAACAATGTTGAACAGAAGTTGAGTCATGGTCTAGATATCACCACACATCTATCTTTATCAGCTGATTAGCCGTGGGCTTCTGATATCTGTCTCTGATATCTGTCGCGAACATTGCGTCGAGACACCTGACACACGCCAGCACGTCGTCATCAATCTTGTCTATGTGTGCTCATCTGAACTAGGTCTTGTGGTCATCTGAACAAGGTCTTGTGGTCATCTGAACTAGGTCTTGTGGTCATCTGAACTAGGTCTTGTGGTCATCTGAACTAGGTCTTGTGGTCATCTGAACTAGGTCTTGTGGTCATCTGAACTAGGTCTTTAGGTCTTGTGGTCATCTGAACTAGGTCTTGTGGTCTGTATGTGTGGTCATCTGAACAAGATCTTGTGGTCATCTGAACTAGGTCTTGTGGTCATCTGAACAAGGTCTTGTGGTCATCTGAACTAGGTCTTTAGGTCTTGTGGTCATCTGAACAAGGTCTTGTGGTCATCTGAACTAGGTCTTGTGGTCATCTGAACAAGGTCTTGTGGTCATCTGAACAAGATCTTGTGGTCATCTGAACTAGGTCTTGTGGTCATCTGAACAAGATCTTGTGGTCATCTGAACTAGGTCTTGTGGTCATCTGAACAAGGTCTTGTGGTCATCTGAACAAGATCTTGTGGTCATCTGAACTAGGTCTTGTGGTCATCTGAACAAGATCTTGTGGTCATCTGAACTAGGTCTTGTGGTCATCTGAACTAGGTCTTGTGGTCATCTGAACAAGACAGTATAGATGACCAGACACTAAAGATGAGAACTACGGCGTTGATGTAATCAAAGTAGGGCGTGTATCGTCCATTAAAACTGATATAAAAGTTTTAGAAAATGTAACTAATGTAACATTTATAAGAATTTAGAAGGGCAAGGTGGCACTTCCTGTAACATGACGTCATTTTTCGATCTAGCAATTTTCAAAATAAAAACTACTTTAAAACAAAGAAAATCAAGAAATTTGTGACAAAACCGCTCGATAATTGATAAGAATATGATACGAAAATTCATAAAAACCTTTTAATAACAAGCTTTTATGTAAAAATGCACTAAAAAGGAGAAAATAAATTATACACTACTATTTAAATAACTATAAAGAAAAGCGTGGGTCACTTTAGTATCTTTTGGATACCTTTACTAATATTTAGGAAGACACCCACGCTTTTCTTTCTAGTTATTTAAATAGTAGTGTATAATTTATTTTCTCCTTTTTACTTTCTCGTATATACGAAGTATAGAGAAAGTCTTGTAATCGTGCAAAAAAAAAAAAAAAAAATCGAGATTTTTGCAAATCTCGACGTTTTACATCTCACTGATACGGAAAAACATAATTTTGCAATCTTGTCCGTATGTCTGTGTCCGTGTGTAAACACGATAACTTGAGTACCGTTACAGCTAGGTTGATGAAATTTCATATATAAGTATTTTATCAACATTGTAGATCTGTATAAACTTTTGCGCGATTTCCGATAACCAGAAGTGGTACTTTTTCTACTTTGAATTTGACCGGAAGTACTAATTTACGCTATTTCCGATTTCTAAAAAAAAAACGCATGTAAATTTATAAAGTACTAATAATATTGCGCACTATTATGCACATTTCATTGGCGTTCACTTGGTGTGCAATCCTTTTGTTCTACGAGATTTTATTATATTTTAAAAACTTTAAGTATTTAAAATGGAGTTACCATCCCCTGTTGTTTTATATAAGAATATTCGAGAAAGTTTAGGGGAGATCACTCCAGGTTTATTTTAATGTGTTTCCATAGCCTTTGCCCAACCAAGAACAAACTACAGCAGATGTTTGATTTTGGAGTTGTCTCTCCTAGAAGAGTGGCTATCCCCAGCTAACGAGCCTCATTTGCCCGAGGATTTGAACTCGAGACATTTCAGTTAAGCATCCACGAGCTTTACCGACTCGACCACGCCGATCCCCTAACATGTAACCAATATGTACTCATTTTTATCATGATTATATGTTGTCCCCACCCACTACCACGACACACACACTAACAAAACACAGGCGAGATCCATTCGCTACGTCAGTAGCACTAAATATATGACTGTTTAGTTTAGGCTTGTAGAAGTTCCCGACCTCTGCCCCGCGATCTAGCCGGGTACCAGACGGTAAGACGACGTCCTGCGTCTGGTGGTGGGGGAAGTAAAGCCTGGATAGAGCCCACGGATGGATAAGCGACCATCATGTAGTGTTTCAAACCAACATCTCAGTGAGACTGATTCAGTCCACAATTGGCCATTTAGTTGGAGTTCACTACGTCGAGACCTCCCTGGCTAATGGGAGTCAAACTCCTGAGCCTGTATATCCGTGTCACGATAGTTATTGAACTGTAATTCAAGTTTTTATTTGGGCATGAGAAAGCTGGAAATGCAGACTAACCTTGAACAAACGTAAATATCCATGAGAATATTATAATGTCGTTACAGTGCTGACGATAAAGACTGGTGGCACTTGTTTGATTATAGACTCAAAAAGAAAACAAAGAATATCAAACCACATTATGTAGGAAATTATCAATAACATACGGAGGTTAAACTAGGCCCAATTAAAACAGTAAGAACGGTAAAAGCGTACAAAACAACAGACCCCCACCTCCATCCTCTTAGGTGTCATTCATTTATGAGGCCCACAAAAAGTTGGATTTCCACAGGCGTCCATTTAAAGAACGTCATCCCTGGCCTGTAAACCCGATATTAACGTTCACTAAAAGTAAAGGCCTATAAATGTTTTTAAAAGTTTGAATCATACAGTATTCAAACCAAATGCATGTCATTTAGATCTGTGTCAGAATTCGACCACTGTTTGTGTTTTTAACTCTAAAATCAACCCAATTTATTGTTATAAGCAAACGCTGTCCGGGCTGGTATTTATACTAAAGTGTGTGCTCGAGTTTGATATTTTGATCAAAAATTGAAATAAACTTGTCATTCAGATATTAAAACATTGGCTTTTACTTTTATAGTAAAACAAAAAACCCAAAGGTTTCACTTTAAAGGGAAATTTACTATGATTGAAAAAAAATATTTGGGGGACCCTAAAAATCGGGGGCCACTGGCCACAGGTCTAATGACAAGTCACATGTCAACTTTCTGCCACAGGTCTAATGACAAGTCACATGTCAACTTTCTGCCACAGGTCTAATGACAAGTCACATGTCAACTTTCTGCCACAGGTCTAATGACAAGTCACATGTCAACTTCCTGTCACAGATCTAATGACAAGTCACATGTCAACTTCCTGCCACAAAGGAAAGAGCAGCCCCCCCCCCCCCAATGCCAATGTCCAGAGATGTAAGATGCGATTTCTGTCAGCCACTAACACAAACATGGAATTCACTTGTTTATTATCTACAATTGTTAAAATACAAAACAGGTTGTGCCATAAAAAAAGATTTGCGTTGAATTATGTATTGTTAAGTACATGCTTTAGAGAAGTTCTCTACAGCCTCAGCTTGATAGAGTTATAGACATGCAAAGAATACATTTAATAGACTTGTTAATGTCACATTATTACACTGTGTTATCACTCGTTTATTTGTTGTGGGTAGGTGTGGATACAGTGGGTAGGTGTGGATACAGTGGGTAGGTGTGGTGTGGACACAGTGGGTAGGTGTGGATACAGTGGGTAGGTGTGGTGTGGACACAGTGGGTAGGTGTGGATACAGTGGGTAGGTGTGGTGTGGACACAGTGGGTAGGTGTGGGTAACTTTTGGGAAAGTTAACTATTTACACTGCTGTCATGGACTTACTAAATGCTATGAAAGAAAATTACTTGAAAATGTAAGCCAGCCTAGCGACGTGTCAGTCCAGAAAAAAAAACAACAACAGCTACAAAGATATTTACAAGAACACATTCAGATTGCACAATTATGTGGCATTAATCAGACATGATGGAATTGACTAGAGAAAATATTGGTCTTAGTGACTTAACACTAGCAGCACTGACTCAACACTACCAGCACTGACTCAACACTACCAGCGCTGACTCAACACTAGCAGCGCTGACTCAACACTACCAGCACTGACTCAACACTAGCAGCACTGACTCAACACTAGCAGCACTGACTCAACACTAGCAGCACTGACTCAACACTAGCAGCACTGACTCAACACTACCAGCGCTGACTCAACACTAGCAGCACTGACTCAACACTACCAGCACTGACTCAACACTAGCAGCACTGACTCAACACTAGCAGCACTGACTCAACACTAGCAGCACTGACTCAACACTAGCAGCACTGACTCAAGCATCAAATATTTACAAAAATACCAGAAGCTCTACATGTGGCTTTATCAGGAAACTTTTTTTTCCTACAATAAAACACGTGGCAGTTTTAATAACAATTTTCTTCATAATTTTTTTTTGTCAAAACAAGTCGCTTGCTTGTGTCATCAACAGATGGTAGAATTCTGCTCAGACGAATGCCGTTTGCTTCGGTATTCTTTTCCTTCTTTGCTGAAAAAAAGAATTGAAATCAACTCAACCTAAAGGTAACAATTACTTTTATGAACTGCATTAGAAAGTTGACTCTTGTCACAATCAGCCTGTTGGACCAATGACTCTTGTCACAATCAGACTGTTAGACCAATGACTCTTGTCACAGACTGTTGGACCAATGACTCTTGTCACAATCAGACTGTTGGACCAATGACTCTTGTCACAGACTGTTGGACCAATGACTCTTGTCACAATCAGCCTGTTGGACCAATGACTCTTGTCACAATCAGACTGTTGGACCAATGACTCTTGTCACAGACTGTTGGACCAATGACTCTTGTCACAATCAGCCTGTTGGACCAATGACTCTTGTCACAATCAGACTGTTGGACCAATGACTCTTGTCACAATCAGACTGTTGGACCAATGACTCTTGTCACAGACTGTTGGACCAATGACTCTTGTCACAATCAGACTGTTGGAGCAATGACTCTTGTCACAGACTGTTGGACCAATGACTCTTGTCACAATCAGACTGTTGGACCAATGACTCTTGTCACAGACTGTTGGACCAATGACTCTTGTCACAATCAGCCTGTTGGACCAATGACTCTTGTCACAGACTGTTGGACCAATGACTCTTGTCACAGACTGTTGGACCAATGACTCTTGTCACAATCAGACTGTTGGAGCAATGACTCTTGTCACAGACTGTTGGGCCAATGACTCTTGTCACAATCAGACTGTTGGAGCAATGACTCTTGTCACAGACTGTTGGACCAATGACTCTTGTCACAATCAGCCTGTTGGACCAATGACTCTTGTCACAGACTGTTGGACCAATGACTCTTGTCACAGACTGTTGGACCAATGACTCTTGTCACAATCAGACTGTTGGAGCAATGACTCTTGTCACAGACTGTTGGACCAATGACTCTTGTCACAATCAGACTGTTGGAGCAATGACTCTTGTCACAGACTGTTGGACCAATGACTCTTGTCACAATCAGCCTGTTGGAGCAATGACTCTTGTCACAGACTGTTGGACCAATGACTCTTGTCACAATCAGACTGTTGGACCAATGACTCTTGTCACAATCAGACTGTTGGACCAATGACTCTTGTCACAATCAGACTGTTGGACCAATGACTCTTGTCACAATCAGACTGTTGGACCAATGACTCTTGTCACAATCAGACTGTTGGACCAATGACTCTTGTCACAATCAGACTGTTGGACCAATGACTCTTGTCACAATCAGACTGTTGGACCAATGACTCTTGTCACAATCAGCCTGTTGGACCAATGACTCTTGTCACAATCAGACTGTTAGACCAATGACTCTTGTCACAATCAGACTGTTGGACCAATGACTCTTGTCACAATCAGACTGACTGACCAATGACTCTTGTCAGACTGACTGACCTCTTGTGATGGCGGGGTTTCCTTAGTGTGGTAGTTGAGATCATGGGACTGATTTTGTCCCTAAAGGTGTGGTAGTTCCTCTCTAGCTCGCGCTGGTATTCCTTTTGTTCATGGGATATCAGAGACTTGTTCTTCTGGAGGGCGTCCCCACACCTAAGTAACAAATGTCACCTTGGTGTTAAACATGTCATCAGATACTAAACAAATGTCACCTTGGTGTTAAACATGTCATCAGATACTAAACAAATGTCATCTTGGTGTTAAACATGTCATCAGATACTAAACAAATGTCATCTTGGTGTTAAACATGTCATCAGATACTAAACAAATGTCACCTTGTTGTTAAACATGTCATCAGATACTAAACAAATGTCACCTTGGTGTTAAACATGTCATCAGATACTAAACAAATGTCACCTTGGTGTTAAACATGTCATCAGATACTAAACAAATGTCACCTTGGTGTTAAACATGTCATCAGATACTAAACAAATGTCACCTTGGTGTTAAACATGTCATCAGATACTAAACAAATGTCATCTTGGTGTTAAACATGTCATCAGATACTAAACAAATGTCACCTTAGTGTTAAACACATCAACAGATACTAAACCCATCTAAATCTATAATGGGCCACGTTCGCACATCTCTCTCTCTCTCTGTCTGTCCGCAAAATATTTTCGTCGGACATCACGTCAGAATCGGCAGCGATATATGAAGAACTTTTTACGGACTTTTGTTGAAAATAATATGTTAGATGTTTTAAATGTATAACCACAATTTTATTTATAGAAGAAAAATAAAAAATAAAGGCGTATTCGAATATAGAGAAACAGTATTATTTATGCAACCGGAAAAGTGTATAAACTTGGGGGTGTGGGGAAATTGCGAGACGCGAAAAGCGAAATGGCGAGGCGGGAAAATGCAAGAAGGGCGCGAAAACGGTCGGTCACGTGACTTTTTTGTCTCGCATTTTACCACAACCCGATACTTACGCTGGGTGGTGTTGAAATGCGAAGATTTCTGCGAAAAATTTACCGCACCCGATTTTCAGTGGTATTTGGTCCAGACTTCAAAGACGTTTCGTTTACATTGTTAAAACTTCCGATTTTTCCGTCGCTTGACATACTGATGATTTGTCAACTCCCCCCCCCCCCCCCATCTTTTGTGTCGACTTAGAATACCACCTTGTTCGAAACCGACGGAAATACCGCCGCCGAAACCGTCTTTGAAGATCGCCGTGCCGCCGCAAACATATTTTGTATTGTTGCATAGAAATGTGTGACGTCACACTATAAAAAAGCAATGTTAGAAAAAGAATTTTAGACGTTTTTCGCGTTTTACAAAACTGTTTTCATAAATTGTAATAGGAATTGATTAAAATACAGAAATAAGACAAGATTTTGGGAAAATATCAATGTTTTAAAAAAAATTCAACTGCAATTTTGAGGGGGGTTGTAGACTGAGGTGTGACGTCATTTTAGTGGGAGGGGGGGGGGTCTGGATTTTTGTGAAAATGTGTGACGGAGGGGAGGGGGTTAAAAATCGTCATTTATGGATGACCCCTTTTAGCTATTAAATGGTAGTTTTGTCCATAGCGGACTTTATTCAGATTATCTACAGACGCACTTTTAAAAAAATTCTGTTCATATTCGTGTTCTGTGTTAGCACAGTATAAATGGGAGTCTAATGAACTGGTGAGTTGGATGTACTATGTGTGAAAGATGGTGTGACGAGGTGTGTTTGATTAATGCTAGGACTGTTTCAGAGGATTTTGTTTGTAAATTTTGTTTGTAATTAAAATTACATAATAAAAAATAAATTACACTTTTAAGAATTGTTTATACTTTTACACTTTTTGCAAGTACAACAATCCATGAATACATGTTGCAGAATATCTCTCCTGCTGACAAAATTATACCAATTCACAATGACACAGCTCACGTTTGTATACACATGAGCGGGCTAGATTTTTAAAATTAATGCCGACTGAAACGAGATTTTCCTCTCGCTAACGAGAGCGGGCGATGACAGTAACGATGTTAGGATTTTTTAATAGATCTAGATCTATCTATCTTCTTAGTATCTATCTATCTATATATATATAATAAAATCTAGATAAAAAATAACAACATACAACACTCGTGTTAAAGGGTATGGCTACATGCTAGTTTATTTTAAAACAAAAAAAAAATAATTTAAATAAATTAAGATGAAATAAGCATGAAAAAAAAAACTTTTTTTTCGCAAAAAGTGTCTCGCTATTTACCCTTGATTCCGCAGGTATGTCTCGCATGATCTTCTCGCATTTTCCCGCCTCGCCATTTCGCTTTTCGCGTCTCGCAATTTCCCCACACCCTTGGGACAAGAACGCATTTAACAATGACGTCGCTTATTGTTTAGACTAAAACAATAAAACAAGAGCACGAACTGATGACGTCGTCTTCCGAGTTTAGAATTTTAAAAAATGAACTATTTCATTCAAATATGATTTAGAAGAGCTATGTACGCTATGAAATGTATACAATACGATTTTCTCGGCCTAAACTTAAAAAAAATTATTTTATCTATTTGGATTCTAGATCTAGAGATTCTAGATCTAGATATTGATCTAGATCTAGATGTTCTAGATCATCTAGATCTAGAGATTCTAGATCATATAGATCTAGAGATTCTAGATCTAGATCTAGATGATCTATAAAGCTAAGTTGTCGGGTGCCCGATAGGGCACTTCCCGGCGCCGCAGGCGCTTCAAATTTGACAGGATCTTGCCTTGGGGCGACAGAACACAGGGGCCGGTTGGCCGAAAAGTCTACGATCTGACCTCGACTGACCGGCGCCTTATATGGGCGAATTAACTAAGCATTCAAATTCTCAATGTTTTCGAAAGCCTAAGCGAAGCTGGGCAGCATGCCTAGTCTCTAATAACCTACTTGCTGTGATAACTAAGATCTAAACTTGAGCAAAATACATGCATTTATCACAGAAATTGTGGTTTTTCTTCTTTCTTTATTATTTCCTTACTGGATCAGTTGCAAATATCAATCAGCATATTCAGTCAAAACAAAGGCCTTTTTCCCCCCATGTTTAACAGATCCCTAAATGTTTTCTAAGCAAGAAACACTTTCAAAAGCACATAAGAGTACTTTTGAATGGGTGGTAGCAAATAGTTCTAAAGCTCCCAGCCCAAATACTTGTGCATGACTAGAGTTAGAGAACTTACTTTTTGAGGAAATCTTTAAAGCACAGTCTAAGCTTGGTGTGGGCCTTAGATGGCAGCTGTTTGCCTTCTGTGATGTCACTCAGAAATACTAGAGCCACCTCAAGTGGTCCCTGTGGGCAGAGAAGGTCAAGGTGAGCACAATTAGGGTAGAGAAGGTCAAGGTGAGGCCAAGGAGGACAGAGAAGGTCAAGGTGAGGACAAGTAGGGCAGAGAAGGTCAAGGTGAGGACAAGTAGGGCAGAGAAGGTCAAGGTGAGGACAAGGAGGGCAGAGAAGGTCAAGGTGAGCACAAGAAGGTCAAGGTGAGCACAAGTAGGGCACTTGAATATGTTAATATATTACATCAATCATTGACTGTTGTACCAATACATCACTCACCTGACTGACTGTTGTACCAATACATCACTCACCTGACTGACTGTTGTACCAATACATCACTCACCTGATTGACTGTTGTACCAATACATCACTCACCTGATTGACTGTTGTACCAATATATCACTCACCTGGTTGACTGTTGTACCAATACATCACTCACCTGGTTGACTGTTGTACCAATACATCACTCACCTGACTGACTGTTGTACCAATACATCACTCACCTGATTGACTGTTGTACCAATACATCACTCACCTGGTTGACTGTTGTACCAATACATCACTCACCTGATTGACTGTTGTACCAATACATCACTCACCTGGTTGACTGTTGTACCAATACATCACTCACCTGGTTGACTGTTGTACCAATACATCACTCACCTGGTTGACTGTTGTACCAATACATCACTCACCTGACTGACTGTTGTACCAATACATCACTCACCTGACTGACTGTTGTACCAATACATCACTCACCTGGTTGACTGTTGTACCAATACATCACTCACCTGGTTGACTGTTGTACCAATACATCACTCACCTGACTGACTGTTGTACCAATACATCACTCACCTGACTGACTGTTGTACCAATACATCACTCACCTGGTTGACTGTTGTACCAATACATCCTTGTAGAACCATCTGTAAAATCTTTGGGTCTGGAGGCTCCTGAGACATGGCTAAAGCAAGTTCTCTTGTCTTCTTCTGGATGTCTTCAATGGCCACCTCTACAGGGGTCAGGATGACCTGACACAACAAAAGGACACACAACTGATATAACTTGCTGCTGCATTCATTCATCATTACATCCTTAGTAGTCTTTACTAGTGGTTTTAACAATTGCATTCAGTGGTGTAGTGTTGCATGCATCCTTGTGGGTGCATCAGTTCACCAGTATTCTATCAATGTTAAAACATGGTGTACCATGTGGACACCAGACCATGTGGACACAAGGGCTGACCATGTGGACACCAGACCATGTGGACACTAAGTTACCTGTTGCCTCTCAATGACATTGACTCTAGTCTTGATGTAGGGAAAGAAATGGTTGGTGGTCAGGATTGTCTTGCGCTTGTATTGTTCATGCAGTTCACCATGAGCTCTGCCGTCCAGTGTGAAGGGTGTGGCATAAATAAACCTCTCTGGAAGAGAAAAATGTTTGACATGACAGTGTGACATGAGAGTATGACATGACAGTTTGACATGACAGTGTGACATGACAGTTTGACATGACAGTGTGCTAAAACCATTACTTCCTTTAAACCTTTCTTGTTTGAAAGCTAGAAAAGCACTCACTCAGCTTATAGTTTTTATCAAAGTAAGTTATTCTTTCTTTGTACTCATACATGTCAAAGTAGGGCTCCACATAGGTGATCTGGATGTAAGCCTGGGGACAGGAAAACTTTTTACAGCAAACAGCAGACAAGGTTTGACTAGCTTGAGACACACAAGCAAACTTGGCTGACATGGATGGGATGACATTTGACTGTTGGATGTCAGGACATTTGTATGCTTGATGTGATGACATTTGTATGCTTGATGTGATGACATTTGTATGCTTGATGTGATGACATTTGTATGCTTGATGTGATGACATTTGTATGCTTGATGTGATGACATTTGTATGCTTGATGTGATGACCATGACGACCATTGCTTAAGACATGGGTTCCCAAACTGGGGGTCATATGAGGGATTCTGGGGGGGGGGGGGGGGGTCGCCAACTGGTAGGCTAAACCCTGGTAATGGAAAACAAAAGAAATATTTAGAAGAATATCAGTAATTCGGCTTTATTAACATCACTGGAAATGGATTAAAGAAGAAACAATGTGCACTGTGCTAGGTTGTTTTCAGTCATGAATCTATGAAACCTTCAAAACTGCAATGTCATCTTGAGACGAGTCAATCCGAACACTTTTGTCGGCATGAACCTAGTTGCAAATGTCAGAGGCCTGATCGAATAGGAAGTTTCTCAACAAATCCAGCATGTTGAAGATGGTAAAATTAATTCTTGGGGATTCTAGTGCAGTAAAGTGCAACAGATATCTCTACCTAATAATACTATTCAGCAGCTTATAGCAGACATGTCCGTAGATGTTAAAGAACAATTTTTTAATGAAATCAAGCTTTCACCATTGTTTGCTTTTTAAGTTGATGAATCAACAGACGATAGTTCGTGTATGCGGTTGCTTGTCTTTGTGAAATATATCAATTCGGATGATAGCAAAGAAGAGATGCTATTTTGTGAAGATATCATGGAGAAAATAAAAAAGTTTTTTGAAACTGGATGATTAAAACGGGAAAACAACTGCAGGGTTTGTTTGGATGGTGCACCATCTATGTTTAGGTCATACCAAAACGTGAAATTGGTTGCCTTTTGAGTTTTAGTTCCTTTTGTGTCTACATATCTTTGTGAGTATAGATTTTGGACACTATTCTCCAATTGAAAACAAAGAAACAAATTAAACGTTGAGAATGCCATGAGGTTGGTGTTAACAAAACCTCAACCGCCAGTGCTCAGACGGTTAATAGCATGTCATTTTACTCATCGTATTCAAACAATTATCAAGAATAGTTCATATTGAAAGTCTACTAGAAAATCTTATTTTAGTGCTTATTAATGTCCTTACTAATTTCGACTTTTAAATTCTATGGGGGTCCCAGGTCATTTACTTTTTATAAAAGGGGGTCGCCACTCAAAAATGTTTGGGAACCACTGGCTTAAGATAACTGGTTGGACTGCTGGCTTCAACTAACCTTCTCTGGATCCAGTTTGTCTTTCTCCACTGTGTTCGAGTCTTTAACAATCTCGACAAACTCATGACCAAACCTCTCACCATAGAAACTCTGAAAACACATCTTAATTCATGACCAAACCTCTCACTGTGATGACGCAATGTTGCGTCGAAGCCAGGTAGATAGCAGAAATAGGCTTTAGCGTGTTGGTCAGAGGTAGACCAATGAAAATTCAGAGACTGACCGGTCACGTGGTATGGTCAGCTGACCACTGAGGCGTGGGGCAGTAGAGCGATAGGCAGAGGGTTGTTAGGTAGCGGCAGAGACGGCCGAGGAATGTAGACAGTTAGGAGTTCATGATTAGCTAGCGAGGTAGAAGGTGTGAGATTGTAGAATGTAGAGAACAGTTAGTGTTAGGATTGGTCGTAGTAGTAGGTAGCATGTGGTATGAACAGTCAGTAGTAGTAATAAATAGTACAGTGTAGATCAGTTAGGTAGAAACTTGAACATATATATCATTTTAATAAAGAACAATTATAGTTGAACTTGAACTGTGTGTTGTTGGATACATTCGTTACCGCCTTCTTAAAAATCCACCCTCACAACTGGTGGAGCGCGGGTCGAGTGAGGGAAAGAACGCATATCAGCTATTCATGACGGAGTACGACTGGTGTGCGGCTTTCTTCAACTCAACACAACAGCGGGTCTCTTCAACCGGAGCGAGTTTGGATTAACAACACAAGGAAACAGTCAACATGTCCAAAAAGATAAGTACCTTCCAAAAATTTTTTAAACGTTTGGGTTTAGACTTGTGCTGGATATTTGGTGCCAGCGGTTTTTCTGCCTCCTTCTTATCTATTTCTTCAACCACACTACCCTTAAAAATGCCTCCATTGTACGAAGTGGGCACTAAAACTGAGCTCAAGTCAGGCCTAGAAGAGTCAGGTAGAATTGATGACTTGTTGCTATACACAAATGTTCAGAATACAGTTAAAATGGAACACAAAACAAGAACTATTGAGGATCCAGATATTCTGGATGAATTGATTATTAGGCTTGGACGATACACGACAACAGAAAATCGAGACTGGTTATTAACTGTTAAAGAATTTGACGTAAAAACTCTAGATGATCCAGATGCTATGGAAGATTTGATCAATAGAATTGTAGATTACAAGGTATTCGGAGATCCAGATTCCTTGTTGACTGAAGAAGAATATGATGCAAAGATAGATGCCGAGTTAGCAGAGAAACAAAGAGAAGCAGAAACATATATTGCCGGACTTAAAGAAGAAACAGAAAGAATTCGTAAAGAAAGAGAAAAATTGAGAGAACTTTGCCAAGCCAAACAAGAAACGGTGCAAAGTTTAGATACGAATAATAACAACCAGATAGCCGAAACAACATTTTACTATTCCTACGATTCAGATTCAGATGACACGTTCAGTGAAGCAAGCGAAATACCTACTACAAAAAGTGAAACACCACATACACTCCAAAAACATTATACGGCAAATCACACCATTCAGATTAACTACAGTCAACAAAAACACAATTACAGTGTCAGATGCTACTATTGTAATAGAACAGGCCACAAACAAATAAATTGCAGAATACGATATTATGATAGACGCCAACAAGATGCACAACGCAACAGACCAAAATATAGACAGATAAATAGAAAAGCTTTTATGTCATCGTTTACAGAAGCCAGTAGAAGAACAGACATATTTACATCAAAAGTCAATAACAGATACGCCACATCAATTAGGGATACACTATGCTCCACAGTGGCAGTACGTAACACATTCGTACAACACCATCAATACACAGGCAGAACACAACTTGTCCACAGCTCAAGAGGCAGCACATATGTTTGGCCAACAGCCATAGTAACCATAGCCACACCCTCAGCGTGTAAAACAGTTGAAGCAGCTGTTTTCAAAAACGGGCCATACGATATGATATTAGGCAACATTACAGGAGTGAAGCAATTTAATGTAGAATTTATGAACCACAAGCAACAAATAAACAAGCAGCCCAGTATTCGGGACAAAGAACAAGTAGACACAAAAGTAGACGAATTGCATTTCAAAACGGACAAGTTGATAGAAAAAGTTAACGAGGTTATTGATGATCATTCTAGAAAGACTACCGAGATTGGTGCAGATGTTCTTAACTTAGGGCTGCAGAACGAAACAGTCAGTAATAGATTGCTGAGATTAGAGAAATCAGTAAACAATGAATCAGAGGAATATGTAACAAGGAATTATATAGCAGACAAACAGTACGGTTACTCCTGGTCAGCCTTAGACCAGATGACCCCATCAACACACCTACACAAACACAAGTATAGTAATCATAGACCACGTGAAAGCTCACAACACCTTTGTACACACCGAGCCCCAGCCTATCGGTCATAGTGTGGTATATTAATGCCTGGATAGAATTTGACCCGGACCGCCCCCACACATGATTTTGAACAACGGACATAATACTAAAGTCAAGTCGAGTTTTTTTTTTTTCTGTTAATCTAAGTCGCCGAGAAATCGGCGTGAAGTCAAAGAAGTTATTGAAGTCAGTCAAGTCAGTCAATAAGTTGTTGAAGTCGTAGTTGAGGTCATAGTGTCTATAGTGACGTAGTTGAAGTCATGTTGCAGTCAAAGAAAAGTCTTTGAAGTCATATTGAAGTCGTTGAAGTCAAAGTGAGTCTTTGAAGTCATATTGAAGTTGTTGATGTCAAAGTGGAGTCTTTGAAGTCATATTGAAGTTGTTGAAGTCAAAGTGAAGTATTTGAAGTCATATTGAAGTCGTTGAAGTCAAGGAAAAGTCATTGAAGTCAAAGTGAAGACGTTTAAGTCGTCGAAGTTTAAGTCAGTCAGTGAAGTCTTTTAAGTTGAATTGAAGTCAGTCAGTGAAATCTGTCGTCTAGGTCAAGTTAGTCGGCAAATGGAAGTAGTTGAAATCGTCGAAGTAAAGTTAATTGTGAATGGGAAATAAGTCGTAAATTGAAGTCAGTGAAGTTACTGAAGTCAGTTAAAGTGAAATAAGTCAAGTTACTGAAGTCAAAGGTGAAGTCAGTCATTAAGTCAAGCCAGCCAGTTTTTGTCAGAAGTCAGATAGTGAGAGCTGCTCCACTATATGATTACGTGTTCAAATGTTATTTAAAACGGCACGATTATTATATACACTCACATGTCTATTCTTTTTGTGAAGCTATTTCTAAGCTCTAGTAGTGTTTACGTCTATTGACTTTATTAGGCTTTACGGATTGTTGTTAGATTAGAGTGTACTGATTTTTTTTATTTGGTTATATGTTGTAATGTTATTTTTTTATGGTTTTTATGCCGCCAGACAAATGTTCAGCACGTATAAAATTGGGATTGAGTTTTTTAATGGAAGGTACCTCTGTCTGAATACTTGTCTGCGCGGGCAATAAAAAGTCCACGTAAAACCATTGCTCATGGTCTCGTAATACAATTTCAGACCCACCAGCGCTATTCAGAATGAGACGAGATGTAGCAGACACTTCAAAGAATGCCGCCACCTGAAGCCCTGATTACGTTGAATTACCTGGACAGCGAACAGCCCTGCTGAACAGAGAATTGCCCTGGTCAAGACAGCGGACGCATCGCCACCGCTTCGCACCCGCACTGGGGTTGAATAACAGACCGCCAGCTACGTACACCTACGTCGGCACATACAAAGGGTAGACGACCCATCGTCCAAGTTCCCAGCGTCGGAACGTTACGTCATTGTTCGCCACCGCATCAGACAGCTCCAGTTCATCGCATAACCACTCTACGTGGACGTCTCAACCAGCGTTGAGATGAGTTTGTTGCGTCATCACATTGACCAACGAAAGTTACGCCTACACCCGCCTCACGGGAATTTACATCAAAACTCGCCACAACCCACCCACCACAGAAGAACGCCAGCAATTACATAACACTTACACATACACTTACACTGCTCGCAGAGCCCGTTCAACCAGTTACACATTCTACTAAGATTAGCTCAAAGCCAGTACACGACAACCTAACCAGAACTGAGTTACACATGATTAGATTCAATCAAACCATAACATAGACATACATTATCAAGCAGAGACACCACAGACGTCAGGATACTTACACAAAAACTAGAACAATGAGCAATGACATTTTTTTTTCAGGAACACAGACACAAGATTTTATGTTTTTGTAAACTGTGCTGTCCCATTTTGTATTTGATTTATATGATTGATGTTAGGGATAGAATAGAGTAGTAAGACAGATAGTTGTTGATGTATTAGATTAGTAGCAGACGCTGAAAAATATAATTTGTCAGCTACAGAAAGGGAGGGGGATATGTGATGACGCAATGTTGCGTCGAAGCCAGGTAGATAGCAGAAATAGGCTTTAGCGTGTTGGTCAGAGGTAGACCAATGAAAATTCAGAGACTGACCGGTCACGTGGTATGGTCAGCTGACCACTGAGGCGTGGGGCAGTAGAGCGATAGGCAGAGGGTTGTTAGGTAGCGGCAGAGACGGCCGAGGAATGTAGACAGTTAGGAGTTCATGATTAGCTAGCGAGGTAGAAGGTGTGAGATTGTAGAATGTAGAGAACAGTTAGTGTTAGGATTGGTCGTAGTAGTAGGTAGCATGTGGTATGAACAGTCAGTAGTAGTAATAAATAGTACAGTGTAGATCAGTTAGGTAGAAACTTGAACATATATATCATTTTAATAAAGAACAATTATAGTTGAACTTGAACTGTGTGTTGTTGGATACATTCGTTACCGCCTTCTTAAAAATCCACCCTCACACTCACCATAGACACTCTGAAAACAGATCTCAATTCATGACCAAACCTCTCACCATAGACACTCTGACAACAATTTCTCAGCTACTAGAAATGCCATGTACAAGTGTGTTTACCTCTAGGCGATGTGAAATCTCTGGTAGTTTTGTGATCATGTGCTCCTTGTAGACAAACTCCTCACCATTTAGATCCCCAAACTTGCTGCCATAGAAGCCCACACGGAAGTACGTGCCAAAGATACGCTTGCCCTCTTGACGCGTGACATTAGTAAATGCTTCATACAACTTTTGATGGACATGGGCCAGTTTTTTGTAGTCGCGGTTTTGTTCATAGATGGGGATCATAAGTTTGTAGACCTCATTCACAGCTTCAAACATACTACCCTAGGGAGAAATGTAAAGTAGGTTTAAATATGTTTACATAGGAATATAGGTTTAAATATGCTACTCTAGGTAGGAATATAGGTTCAAATTGATAGAAATTGGTCCCAGTAAGTTGACATAACTTGCAAGAAATGATGGGTCCCCCTAAGTTGACATAACTTGCTAGAAATGTTGGGTCCCAGTAAGTTGACATAACTTGCTAGAAATGATGGGTCCCCCTAAGTTGACATAACTTGCTAGAAATGTTGGGTCCCAGAAAGTTGACATAACTTGCTAGAAATGATGGGTCCCCCTAAGTTGACATAACTTGCTAGAAATGATGGGTCCCCCTAAGTTGACATAACTTGCTAGAAATGATGGGTCACAGTAAGTTGACATAACTTGCTAGAAATGTTGGGTCCCCCTAAGTTGACATAACTTGCTAGAAATGATGGGTCCCCCTAAGTTGACATAACTTGCTAGAAATGATGGGTCCCCCTAAGTTGACATAACTTGCAAGAAATGATGGGTCCCCCTAAGTTGACATAACTTGCTAGAAATGATGGGTCCCCCTAAGTTGACATAACTTGCTAGAAATGTTGGGTCCCCCTAAGTTGACATAACTTGCTAGAAATGATGGGTCCCCCTAAGTTGACATAACTTGCTAGAAATGATGGGTCCCCCTAAGTTGACATAACTTGCTAGAAATGATGGGTCACAGTAAGTTGACATAACTTGCTAGAAATGTTGGGTCCCCCTAAGTTGACATAACTTGCTAGAAATGTTGGGTCCCCCTAAGTTGACATAACTTGCTAGAAATGTTGGGTCCCCCTAAGTTGACATAACTTGCTAGAAATGTTGGGTCCCCCTAAGTTGACATAACTTGCTAGAAATGATGGGTCACAGTAAGTTGACATAACTTGCTAGAAATGTTGGGTCCCCCTAAGTTGACATAACTTGCTAGAAATGTTGGGTCCCCCTAAGTTGACATAACTTGCTAGAAATGTTGGGTCCCCCTAAGTTGACATAACTTGCTAGAAATGTTGGGTCACAGTAAGTTGACATAACTTGCTAGAAATGTTGGGTCCCCCTAAGTTGACATAACTTGCTAGAAATGTTGGGTCCCCCTAAGTTGACATAACTTGCTAGAAATGATGGGTCCCCCTAAGTTGACATAACTTGCTAGAAATGATGGGTCACAGTAAGTTGACATAACTTGCTAGAAATGTTGGGTCCCCCTAAGTTGACATAACTTGCTAGAAATGTTGGGTCCCCCTAAGTTGACATAACTTGCTAGAAATGATGGGTCCAACTAAGTTGACATAACTTGCTAGAAATGATGGTTATGTTGGGTAGACTAAGACCAGGCTCATGAATTGTCAGAGATGTATTTAGACAAGCTTCGTCCCATCAAATGGTAACCTACTAAATAGTAGCAGTTGGACAAAAACTACTGCATTCACATTTTTGATTGATTTGATTATCACGTATCAGAGTAAGCTAAGAAAACACAGGGAGCTTGAAAATAACCAGGTGGTATTGTAAATGTGAAATAACACAAGGTTAGTTTCTAGTAGATATTGTTGGTCTGTCTCTCCTACAAAACACACAGAGAGAGAGAGAAGCTGGAGTGTCCCAGTGATTAAAACACTCTCTAGATCTTGTCATCACCTGTAGTGTGCAAGTCTCTCAGCTGTTGATGTCAAACTTACCATGTTAAAAGAACTGGCCGCCTGCTCTAAGAGTCCAACCAAGCCGTTCTCAGTGAAATACATTCCAGTACAGATGCCCTCTTCATCAGGGGAGACCACGTCATCAGACACAGCGCTCTCTTCTAGCACGTTAGGGGTGATTTTCTGAAAGTCAATGTCAGTCTTGTAGCACATGCAGCCACTTATAGAACTCAGTCATGTCAGCAGTCATGTTTAGAACTCAGTCAGCAGTCACTTATAGAACTCAGTCAGCAGTCAGTTATAGAACTCAGTCATGTCAGCAGTCACTTCTAGAACTCGATCATGTACTGAGCTAGCCAGAGTTTTACACAAGGTGTCCCACCTGAAAAGCAGCACAGCCAACAGGTAGATAGGGCTTGTCCTCCAACATGTTCAGGTACTCAGCCACTAGACCAGCAGCATGGACCAGACACTGGGCAGCCTCCGCATGGTTCCCTCTCTGTCAGACAACATCAATGTGCTCATACATTTATCATAGGCACAGTCTATAGCTGTAAACTTCAGCACATGACCCCCTTCCCCTAGTCTAAACTTTAGCACATGATCCCTAGTCTAAACTTCAGCACATGACCCCCTTCCCCTAGTCTAAACTTTAGCACATGACCCCCTCCCCCTGGTGTAAACTTTAGCACATGACCCCCTTCCCCTAGTCTAAACTTCAGCACATGACCCCTAGTCTTAACTTCAGCACATGACCCCCCTCCCCCTGGTGTAAACTTTAGCACATGACCCCCTTCCCCTAGTCTAAACTTTAGCACATGACCCCTGGTGTAAACTTTAACACATGACCCCCTTCCCCTAGTGTAAACTTTAGCACATGACCCCCTCCCCCTAGTCTAAACTTTAGCACATGACCCCCCTTCCCCTAGTGTTAACTTTAGCACATGACCCCCTGTCCCTGGTCTAAACTTTAGCACATGACCCCCTTCCCCTAGTGTAAACTTTAGCACATGACCCCTGGTGTAAACTTCAGCACATGACCCCCTCCCCCTGGTGTAAACTTTAGCACATGACCCCTGGTGTAAACTTTAGCACATGACCCCCCTCCCCCTGGTGTAAACTTCAGCACATGACCCCCTTCCCCTGGTGTAAACTTCAGCACACGACCCCCTCCCCCTGGTGTAAACTTCAGCACATGACCCCCTCCCCCTGGTGTAAACTTCAGCACATGACCCCCCCCCCCCCTAGTCTAAACTTTAGCACATGACCCTCTTCCCCTGGTGTAAACTTCAGCACATGACCCCCTCCCCTAGTCTAAACTTTAGCACATGACCCCCTCCCCCTGGTGTAAACTTCAGCACATGACCCCCTCCCCCTAGTCTAAACTTCAGCACATGACCCCTGGTGTAAACTTTAGCACATGACCCCCTTCCCCTGGTGTAAAACTTCAGCACATGACCCCCTTCCCCTAGTCTAAACTTCAGCACATGACCCCCTCCCCCTAGTCTAAACTTTAGCACATGACCCCTGGTGTAAACTTCAGCACATGACCCCCTTCCTTAGTCAGGGCCCATAGCCAAATCCCAAAAGAAAATTCAAGGCTTTTTCAAGGTTTTCAAGGTGATTTTGGGGGGAATTTCAAGGTATAAACTACCACTAACGGGCATTACAATGAGGGTGATGTATGTTTTTTGCACACACAATTTTTGAAATAATGTTGGTGTGATTACAAAATTATCTAAGTCAGGAGATTGTCTGAGAGTCCAGCATAATCCCTTTTGCAATCAGTATCTTTGGTGTCAAATGACACTCCTCCAACTTCTATTTTCAGAAAAACCTCTTTCAACACTGGCTTGACCATGTGACAGAAGCAATAGATCTCTAACAATTTTCCAAATGTTCACATAAGAAATTTTGCTACCAAGCTGTTCTATGAAAAAAATGTCCAGCCTATCATGTTCTCAATTAGATTTAGATAGACAACCATTTAGAGTACATGTATCTATGAATGTTGAAAATTGAAACAGAACTTGGTCACACTCAGCTGATTCAGTTTCCATTTGTTGACTAGGATGTGAAGAATTCCCTTCATTTTTTGTGTGAACTGGCTCTATTTTTAAACATTTGCATTAGGCTAAGTCTCTCACTAATGACTAAAGTAATGGAGATTTCAAAAAAAAAAAATTGATGAAAATCCTATCAAAGTTGTCTTACAATCAGATTTGAAATTGAGAATTTGAAGCTCAATTGCTTTTTTTTATTTTTTCTAGAGACTTTATTAGAGAGTCAGCAACAAACCCAACTTTTGTCAATGTCAAGTGCTAATCAGAATCAGGTCATTATACATAAAAGGAAGCATTGGTTCGTCTGTCTGATAGTCCTTTAAAAAGGACTCTGCACATATATAGAAACAAAAAAAAAAAAAACAACCTAGCTATGCTTGTAGAAATTATCCTGCTTAATGTCACAAATGATCTCACGCTTTTTAAAAGATTATTACCTCTCCCCCCCCCCCCAGTCACACATCACAAAAAGCCAGGCCCCGCCCTCTAAAATGACGTCACACCTCAGCCTATAACCCCTCCCACCCCCCCCCCCCCCCCCCTTGATTGCAGTTCAATTTTTCTTAAAATAGGATTTTTTTCCCAAAATCTTGTCTGAACTCTGTCAAAATAGAGTATTTTAATCAATTCCTTTTACAATTTATTAAAACAGTTTTCTAAAATGCTAAAATTCGTTTTCTGACATTGCTTTTTAATAATGCAAAAGTGTGATGTCACACGATCTGACCCCCCCCCCCCATCCCCTCATCACACACCGTCACACGATTACGGATCCCCCCTCCCCCTACGAGTGTGACGTCATTTATGGACGACCCCCAATGTCCCCACCTATGATATACATGATGACGTAAAGAAATATCGTGGAAGTTTTAAGTTAGTTCATATCGCGGAATAACAGAATTAAGTTGTTTTTTTTTAAAACAATTTCCAAGTAACTACGCTAGTAATACTCATGTCAGAGATGTAGCCGCCCGACAAAGTGAAAAGCGGATTTTTTTTTTACAAGCGGATGGGAGGGGGCAGTGACAGCGGCAATTTTCTCAAACACGGTAATTCGAGGCTTCTTAAACATTTCAAGGACGTTTTACCACAGTAAAAAGCAATTAGATCTAGACCCTGCTAGATGGTGTAACTAAATTATAGCAGACCTACATATTTTGTTCAATGACCTAAAACGATGCAGATATAGTTTTTGTTTTCGCTTTAATCTAGCAGTAAGCCCAATATTAAAGATAACCATGTTAAAATTAGATAAACAGCGCTTGTAGAACTGCCTTGACCGTGAGACACTACTGTGCTCGCGCGTGGTCTCGTGTCGTAGGTCTTACGGTCAGCGCGACCTTGAAGTGAGAGGCGGTAAAAAGTGTCCGTAAAGTTGAGTGAAAACAGCACATAGTCCTTCAAATTATTTTTCTTTTCTTTTGATAAATACACAATTTTTTTTACGTCGGCGCAAAATCTTTCCTTTTTTTTAAGAAGACAATCGGCGATGCTAATGAGCTGTGGTAATGTTAGGATTTAGTTTTTTTTAATTACGTAGCCTAGCGGTAGCCCATTGATGACGTCACGTAATTAATGCGAATTTTACCCCAACCTCTATCGTCATAAATAACCAGACAGCCACGTCAAGAATGACATCAAAAAGTTTTGTCTACAGCCTCACCCATCTGATACAGTCAATGTGTATTTGGTCCATAGCCCACGTGAGATTGACGATTACGTCATTTGCTATTGGTTTTTTTAATGAACGTGATAAATACGCCTATTGGTATTAGGAAATCTTGTTGGTTAATAGTTAAAAATCTAGATCTAGATGCACGACTATATTAATTATTAATATACTGCGAGGTCACTGTAAGTTGAGATAGACCTAGAAGACCTTCTAAGGTCGCAGTGACCGAAAGATCTGCTATCGTGGGGTACACAAAGAACCGTGATTGATCTAGGTTCGTAAAAAACGTGTCTTCTCGCACATCTAAAACAACAGAACACAATAACTCGATAAATTATATCTCGCTATTTACCCGTAATTCCGCAGCTACGTTTCGCCCTTTTGTGTTTAACCCACAACGAGAAAATTTTATTTAAATAAATAGAAACCTACGCTCGCATAGTTCAGGCTATTCTTTTTTTATTTAAACCTAAGGCTTATTTTCTTGAAGAAAAAATATTAGTTCTAGATGTAGGTTTAATTATAATCGAGATAATTTCCATGCGCGACCAGAATTTTAATGATTTAGGCCACATTCCAATTTTTTTCTTTACGGACATCACCGATCAGGAGACAATAGACCACTCGCGGGGTCAATAAAGTTCACAATATAAATAGAGCCAACGACTGCCAAGATATTGTCGGGAAGGGATTTGGGGGGCGGGGGGCGTCGATTATTATGATTGAAGATGTTTGAAACCATAGAACCGGATAACACGGAAATTTAACACAAGAAAAAAAAAAGGTCGACACTAAATCGATTTTGATGTTTACTGTGGGCTTTTGCGTAACATTTGCGGCCTAATTCCGCAACAGGGGTGTCAAAATCGAAAAATTACGGACAAAACCGTACAAGTAGGTAGGCCCTAACAGAAAACAATGAATCTAGATCTAGAATCTAGTAACTCGGTCGTAAACGGTCACGGAGATATCCGAAAAACGATGCTAAATTTAGCCCTCGGCTATCGTTTACGTCACGATCTAGAATCTAGGTTAGGAAGAGCCTATGCAAAACTGAGGTCATACCGCGAGGCTCAGCGAAGGAGAGGGTTGGAAATAGACTCCGAAGTTAACGCAGACCCACGGCAAAAAAAAAAATAAAGGCAGAAAAAGTTTAGATCCATCAGAATTGAATTTTTAAAAAAAATTCGATTTACGCACGGTTTTCAAGGTTTACCTATAAAATTCAAGGGGTTTTGCTCATTTTTGGGGAAATTCAAGGGTTTTTCAAGGCCTTGAGATGTTTTTTGGAATTCAAGGGTTTTTCAAGGATTCAAGGTCCGCTACGGACCCTGAGTGACTTAGTCTAAACTTCAGTACATGACCCCTGGTGTAAACTTTAGCACATGACCCCCTTCCCCTGGTGTAAAACTTCAGCACATGACCCCCTTCCCCTAGTCTAAACTTCAGCACATGACCCCCTCCCCCTAGTCTAAACTTTAGCACATGACCCCTGGTGTAAACTTCAGCACATGACCCCGTTTCCTAGTCTAAACTTCAGCACATGACCCCCGCCCCCTGGTGTAAACTTCAGCACATGACCCCCTCCCCCTGGTGTAAACTTCAGCACATGACCCCCTGTCCTTGGTCTAAACTTAAGCACATGACCCCCTGTCCCTGGTGTAAACTTTAGCACGCCCCCTCCCCCCCTTACCTTGCTGTGATCTCTGGCCATATTCTGTAGCCAGGTGAGCCTGAGATCGGGAGAGTTCTGGTAACCTTTGGCTATCCTGTACATGAGATCTAGCAGCATCTCAGGATCTTCAGCAAACTCCTTCATCTTGACTGTGTCTGACAGGATCATGTGCAGGTTGAACACCAGATCTCTCACCTGAGACAGTACTTTATTATAGGCATCTACATACAAGGCCATTCTCAGCGGGTTATGGATGTGGAGACAGTACTTTATTATAGGCATCTACATACAGGGCCATTCTCAGCGGGTTATGGATGTGGAGACAGTACTTTATTATAGGCATCTACATACAGGGCCATTCTCAGCGGGTTATGGATGTGGAGACAGTACTTTATTATAGGCATCTACATACAGGGCCATTCTCAGCGGGTTATGGATGTGGAGACAGTACTTTATTATAGGCATCTACATACAGGGCCATTCTCAGCGGGTTATGGATGTGGAGACAGTACTTTATTATAGGCATCTACATACAGGGCCATTCTCAGCGGGTTATGGATGTGGAGACAGTACTTTATTATAGGCATCTACATACAGGGCCATTCTCAGCGGCTTATGGATGTGGAGACAGTACTTTATTATAGGCATCTACATACAAGGCCATTCTCAGCGGGTTATGGATGTGGAGACAGTACTTTATTATAGGCATCTACATACAAGGCCATTCTCAGCGGGTTATGGATGTGGCATGCTATTTTAATGTGGCACTGGTCAAACACAGGACCAAATAAAGGTCAGCCTCCATGATGAGGGGTTGACAAATTAGTTCAGTCATTTCTCAGAACTATGAGCAACTCAAATATATAATGTGTATCAGTGACAAGTATAAAATGTGTATCAGTGGCAAGTATAAAATGTGTATCAGTGACAAGTATAAAATGTGTATCAGTGGCAAGTATAAATTGTGTATCAGTGACAAGTATAAAATGTGTATCAGTGACAAGTATAAAATGTGTCTCTAGTGAAAATGAATGTGTAACCCACCTGCTCTCTAAATGATGTGTTCTCCAGATCTTGATCAGCCTCAGCATAGGTGAGAATTGTCTTGAGAGACTTCCTGAGGAACTCTTCATTGAAAGTCTGGTTCTGCCCAACCAGCGAACTCAGGGACATCGTTACCTGCATCTTGACGCGGGCAAAGTTCTGGGGAACACAGCTCAATAAAGTTGCTGCTCATGGATTCTACTCTCAATTCACATTTCTAATGAATAAATGACTTACGTTTCCGAGCTCAAAGTTTTGACGCATCAGTAAGTAGAGGGATGCGGAGGCTTGAGAGCGTGTGACAGAGATGGGGGAGCTGCAGTGGCGCAGCAGTCTCAGACACAGTTCAGCACATTGCTCCGTCTCTTCTTCAAATAACAGGTCCAAAAACTGAGGGAAATATATGACAAGAACAGTAGATGCCAGCAACAAAAACAGTAGATGCCAGTAGCAACAAAAACAGTAGATGCCAGTAGCAACAAAAACAGTAGATGCCAGTAGCAACAAAAACAGTAGATGCCAGTAGCAACAAAAACAGTAGATGCCAGTAGCAACAAAAACAGTAGATGCCAGTAGCAACAAAAATAGTAGATGCCAGCAACAAAAACAGTAGATGTCAGTAGCAACAAAAACAGTAGATGCCAGCAACAAAAACAGTAGATGCCAGTAGCAACAAAAACAGTAGATGCCAGTAGCAACAAAAACAGTAGATGTCAGCAACAAAAACAGTAGATGCCAGTAGCAACAAAAACAGTAGATGCCAGTAGCAACAAAAACAGTAGATGCCAGTAGCAACAAAGACAGTAGATGTCAGTAGCAACAAAAACAGTAGATGTCAGTAGCAACAAAAACAGTAGATGCCAGTAGCAACAAAAACAGTAGATGTCAGCAACAAAAACAGTAGATGCCAGTAGCAACAAAAACAGTAGATGTCAGCAACAACAAAAACAGTAGATGTCAGTAGCAACAAAAACAGTAGATGCCAGTAGCAACAAAAACAGTAGATGCCAGCAACAAAAACAGTAGATGTCAGTAGCAACAAAAACAGTAGATGCCAGTAACAACAAAAACAGTAGATGCCAGCAGCAACAAAAACAGTAGATGCCAGTAGCAACAAAAACAGTAGATGCCAGCAGCAACAAAAACAGTAGATACCAGCAACAAAAACAGTAGATGTCAGCAACAAAAACAGTAGATGCCAGTAGCAACAAAAACAGTAGATGTCAGTAGCAACAAAAACAGTAGATGTCAGCAACAAAAACAGTAGATGTCAGTAGCAACAAAAACAGTAGATGTCAGTAGCAACAAAAACAGTAGATGTCAGTAGCAACAAAAACAGTAGATGCCAGCAACAAAAACAGTAGATGTCAGCAACAAAAACAGTAGATGCCAGTAGCAACAAAAACAGTAGATGCCAGCAGCAACAAAAACAGTAGATGCCAGCAGCAACAAAAACAGTAGATACCAGCAACAAAAACAGTAGATGTCAGCAACAAAAACAGTAGATGTCAGCAACAAAAACAGTAGATGCCAGCAACAAAAACAGTAGATGTCAGTAGCAACAAAAACAGTAGATGTCAGCAACAAAAACAGTAGATGCCAGCAACAAGAGGAAAAATAAGTCCAGCCCTATTTACCTTGGTGACCAAAGCCCTCTGGGTAGAGAAGAGATGCTGCAGCACAGCTGAGCTTTGGTTGAGGGCCAACATGTGCAGCAACACCTTCAGCGTGGAGCCCAGTAATGGCTGGAGCAGCTCACAATTTTGGGCAATCTAAAATTTGGTTCAGACTAGAATCACAAGGGTAACCACACAATTTTGGGCAATCTAAAATTTGGTTCAGACTAGAATCACAAGGGTAACCACACAATTTTGGGCAATCTAAAATTTGGTTCAGACTAGAATCACAAGGGTAACCACACAATTTTGGGCAATCTAAAATTTGGTTCAGACTAGAATCACAAGGGTAACCACACAATTTTGGGCAATCTAAAATTTGGTTCAGACTAGAATAACACACACAATGACTTACCTGTATGATGAGTTCTAGACTGACACCTGGGTCAGCTAACTTACCTGTATGATGAGTTCTAGACTGTCCAGACAGATCATGCTGACCTCTGCTGCAAGGCTGCTCTCATCCTGAGCTTCTAGTTCATGTTCCAGAGGTCTTGGACTGCGGATACATTGACATGTGTTACAAGGGTGTAGGCTCCATTGGTCATGGCTCTGGGGTTCAATACTTTTTCTCTCTTTACATATACATGCATATAAAAACACCCACACCTCTACCATTCCCTACAAGCTCTTGCCACTGTTGTGTACATTACTCTCTAAAAATCTTACAAGTTTTCTAGGAAGGTATCATCAGCACATTACCAATGGTTATTTTTGGACTGCATGTTTCAGTTACCTGTCTGTTAACTCCACTGAATGCCTCCACTGTACCTGGTCTTTACGCCACCTCAGTCTTGAACCTCCACTCTCAGGTGCGGGGTTGGGGGGAGGGGTTTGGGCACCACCAAGACCTGAGGTCAAAAGGCAAAAATATTTAAAAAACAAAACCACTAAAAACACTAGACCAGAAAGTGGGACCAAACAAAAACAGAAAGTGAGACCCCAACTAACCAGAGAGTGAGCTATGAGAATTCTGGCGCCGTCTCATCATCATCTCTGTCCTAGCATTTCCTGTTCCCAAAATGGCTTCCTCCAGTCTAGATTTCATGTCCACACTTTTCTTCAATGTTTGCTGGGAGCACTGGGCCACCATCCGTTTACCCTAAGGCCATACAAGCATGGGTTAGCTCAAGGCTTTGACTACAAGACTCAACTAGCACTCTAACCTGTTGGAATCATCACACAGACTGGCTATTTTCTCATGTTTGGCCATGGTTTGGCCATCCATCTGTACCAGAGGACCCAGTCACACATCAGGACCCAGTCACACATCAGGACCCAGTCACACATCAGGACCAGAGGACCCAGTCACACATCAGGACCAGAGGACCCAGTCACACATCAGGACCAGAGGACCCAGTCACACATCAGGACCAGAGGACCCAGTCACACATCAGGACCAGAGGACCCAGTCACACATCAGGACCAGAGGACCCAGTCACACATCAGGACCAGAGGACCCAGTCACACATCAGGACCAGAGGACCCAGTCACACATCAGGACCAGAGGACCCAGTCACACATCAGGACCAGAGGACCCAGTCACACATCAGGACCAGAGGACCCAGTCACACATCAGGACCAGAGGACCCAGTCACACATCAGGACCAGAGGACCCAGTCACACATCAGGACCAGAGGACCCAGTCACACATCAGGACCAGAGGACCCAGTCACACATCAGGACCAGAGGACCCAGTCACACATCAGGACCAGAGGACCCAGTCACACATCAGGACCAGAGGACCCAGTCACACATCAGGACCAGAGGACCCAGTCACACATCAGGACCAGAGGACCCAGTCACACATCAGGACCAGAGGACACAGTCACACATCAGGACCAGAGGACCCAGTCACACATCAGGACCAGAGGACCCAGTCACACATCAGGACCAGAGGACCCAGTCACACATCAGGACCAGAGGACCCAGTCACACATCAGGACCAGAGGACCCAGTCACACATCAGGACCAGAGGACCCAGTCACACATCAGGACCAGAGGACCCAGTCACACATCAGGACCAGAGGACCCAGTCACACATCAGGACCAGAGGACCCAGTCACACATCAGGACCAGAGGACCCAGTCACACATCAGGACCAGAGGACCCAGTCACACATCAGGACCAGAGGACCCAGTCACACATCAGGACCAGAGGACCCAGTCACACATCAGGACCAGAGGACCCAGTCACACATCAGGACCAGAGGACACAGTCACACATCAGGACCAGAGGACCCAGTCACACATCAGGACCAGAGGACCCAGTCACACATCAGCACCAGAGGACCCAGTCACACATCAGGACCAGAGGACCCAGTCACACATCAGGACCAGAGGACCCAGTCACACATCAGGACCAGAGGACCTAGTCACACATCAGGACCAGAAGACCCAGTCACACATTAGGACCCAGTCACACATCAGGACCAGAGGACCCAGTCACACATCAAGACCCAGTCAAACATCAGGACCCAGTCACACATCAGGACCAGAGGACCCAGTCACACATCAGGACCAGAGGACCCAGTCACACATCAGGACCAGAGGACCCAGTCACACATCAGGACCAGAGGACCCAGTCACACATCAGGACCAGAGGACCCAGTCACACATCAGGACCAGAGGACCCAGTCACACATCAGGACCCAGTCACACATCAGGACCAGAGGACCCAGTCACACATCAGGACCAGAGGACCCAGTCACACATCAGGACCAGAGGACCCAGTCACACATCAGGACCAGAGGATCCAGTCACACATCAGGACCAGAGGACCCAGTCACACATCAGGACCCAGTCACACATCAGGACCAGAGGACACAGTCACACATCAGGACCCAGTCACACATCAGGACCAGAGGACCCAGTCACACATCAGGACCAGAGGACCCAATCACACATCAGGACCCAGTCACACATCAGGACCAGAGGACCCAGTCACACATCAGGACCAGAGGACCCAGTCACACATCAGGACCAGAGGACCCAGTCACACATCAGGACCAGAGGACCCAGTCACACATCAGGACCAGAGGACACAGTCACACATCAGGACCAGAGGACCCAGTCACACATCAGGACCAGAGGACCCAGTCACACATCAGCACCAGAGGACCCAGTCACACATCAGGACCAGAGGACACAGTCACACATCAGGACCAGAGGACCCAGTCACACATCAGGACCCAGTCACACATCAGCACCAGAGGACACAGTCACACATCAGGACCAGAGGACCCAGTCACACATCAGGACCAGAGGACACAGTCACACATCAGGACCAGAGGACCCAGTCACACATCAGGACCAGAGGACACAGTCACACATCAGGACCAGAGGACCCAGTCACACATCAGGACCCAGTCACACATCAGGACCCAGTCACACATCAGGACCAGAGGACCCAGTCACACATCAGGACCAGAGGACCCAGTCACACATCAGGACCAGAGGACCCAGTCACACATCAGGACCAGAGGACCCAGTCACACATCAGGACCAGAGGACCCAGTCACACATCAGGACCAGAGGACCTAGTCACACATCAGGACCAGAGGACCCAGTCACACATCAGGACCAGAGGACCCAGTCACACATCAGGACCAGAGGACACAGTCACACATCAGGACCAGAGGACCCAGTCACACATCAGGACCAGAGGACCCAGTCACACATCAGGACCCAGTCAAACATCAGGACCCAGTCACACATCAGGACCAGAGGACCCAGTCACACATCAGGACCAGAGGACCCAGTCACACATCAGGACCAGAGGATCCAGTCACACATCAGGACCAGAGGACCCAGTCACACATCAGGACCAGAGGACCCAGTCACACATCAGGACCAGAGGACCCAGTCACACATCAGGACCAGAGGACCCAGTCACACATCAGGACCAGAGGATCCAGTCACACATCAGGACCAGAGGACCCAGTCACACATCAGGACCAGAGGACCCAGTCACACATCAGGACCCAGTCACACATCAGGACCAGAAGACACAGTCACACATCAGGACCAGAGGACCCAGTCACACATCAGGACCAGAGGACCTAGTCACACATCAGGACCAGAGGACCCAGTCACACATTAGGACCCAGTCACACATCAGGACCAGAGGACCCAGTCACACATCAGGACCCAGTCAAACATCAGGACCCAGTCACACATCAGGACCAGAGGACCCAGTCACACATCAGGACCAGAGGACCCAGTCACACATCAGGACCAGAGGATCCAGTCACACATCAGGACTAGAGGACCCAGTCACACATCAGGACCAGAGGACCCAGTCACACATCAGGACCCAGTCACACATCAGGACCCAGTCACACATCAGGACCAGAGGACCCAGTCACACATCAGGACCAGAGGACCCAGTCACACATCAGGACCAGAGGACCCAGTCACACATCAGGACCAGAGGATCCAGTCACACATCAGGACCAGAGGACCCAGTCACACATCAGGACCAGAGGACCCAGTCACACATCAGGACCCAGTCACACATCAGGACCAGAAGACACAGTCACACATCAGGACCAGAGGACCCAGTCACACATCAGGACCCAGTCACACATCAGGACCAGAGGACCCAGTCACACATCAGGACCAGAGGACCCAGTCACACATCAGGACCAGAGGACCTCGTCACACATCAGGACCAGAGGACCCAGTCACACATCAGGACCAGAGGACCCAGTCACACATCAGGACCAGAGGACCTAGTCACACATCAGGACCAGAGGACCCAGTCACACATCAGGACCAGAGGACCCAGTCACACATCAGGACCAGAGGACCCAGTCACACATCAGGACCAGAGGACCCAGTCACACATCAGGACCCAGTCACACATCAGGACCAGAGGACCCAGTCACACATCAGGACCAGAGGACCCAGTCACACATCAGGACCAGAGGACCCAGTCACACATCAGGACTAGAGGATCCAGTCACACATCAGGACCAGAGGACCCAGTCACACATCAGGACCAGAGGACCCAGTCACACATCAGGACCAGAGGACCCAGTCACACATCAGGACCAGAGGACCCAGTCACACATCAGGACCAGAGGACACAGTCACACATCAGGACCAGAGGACCCAGTCACACATCAGGACCAGAGGACCCAGTCACACATCAGCACCAGAGGACCCAGTCACACATCAGGACCAGAGGACCCAGTCACACATCAGGACCCAGTCACACATCAGGACCAGAGGACCCAGTCACACATCAGGACCAGAGGACCCAGTCACACATCAGGACCAGAGGACCCAGTCACACATCAGGACTAGAGGATCCAGTCACACATCAGGACCAGAGGACCCAGTCACACATCAGGACCAGAGGACCCAGTCACACATCAGGACCAGAGGACCCAGTCACACATTAGGACCCAGTCACACATCAGGACCAGAGGACCCAGTCACACATCAGGACCAGAGGACCCAGTCACACATCAGGACCCAGTCACACATCAGGACCAGAGGACACAGTCACACATCAGAACCAGAGGACCCAGTCACACATCAGGACCCAGTCACACATCAGGACCAGAGGACCCAGTCACACATCAGGACCAGAGGACCCAGTCACACATCAGGACCAGAGGACCCAGTCACACATCAGGACCAGAGGACCCAGTCACACATCAGGACCAGAGGACCCAGTCACACATCAGGACCAGAGGACCCAGTCACACATCAGGACCAGAGGACCCAGTCACACATCAGGACCAGAGGACCCAGTCACACATTAGGACCAGAGGACCCAGTCACACATCAGGACCAGAGGACCCAGTCACACATCAGGACCAGAGGACCCAGTCACACATCAGGACCAGAGGACCCAGTCACACATCAGGACCAGAGGACCCAGTCACACATCAGCACCAGAGGACCCAGTCACACATCAGGACCCAGTCACACATCAGGACCAGAGGACCCAGTCACACATCAGGACCAGAGGACCCAGTCACACATCAGGACCCAGTCACACATCAGCACCAGAGGACCCAGTCACACATCAGGACCAGAGGACACAGTCACACATCAGGACCAGAGGACCCAGTCACACATCAGCACCAGAGGACCCAGTCACACATCAGGACCAGAGGACCCAGTCACACATCAGGACCCAGTCACACATCAGGACCAGAGGACCCAGTCACACATCAGCACCAGAGGACCCAGTCACACATCAGCACCAGAGGACCCAGTCACACATCAGGACCAGAGGACCCAGTCACACATCATGACCAGAGGACCCAGTCACACATCAGGACCAGAGGACCCAGTCACACATCAGGACCAGAGGACCCAGTCACACATCAGGACCAGAGGACCCAGTCACACATCAGGACCAGAGGACCCAGTCACACATCAAGATCAATGTGTCTGGTGGTGATACATGACCAATGTGTGGTGGTGATACATGACCAATGTGTGGTGGTGATACATGACCAATGTGTGTGGTGGTGATACATGACCAATGTGTCTGGTGGTGATACATGACCAATGTGTTTGGTGATACATGACTGTCTGGTGGTGATACATGACCAATGTGTCTGGTGGTGATACATGACCAATGTGTCTGGTGGTGATACATGACCAATGTGTCTGGTGGTGATACATGACCAATGTGTCTGGTGGTGATACATGACCAATGTGTCTGGTGGTGATACATGACCAATGTGTCTGGTGGTGATACATGACCAATGTGTCTGGTGGTGATACATGACCAATGTGTTTGGTGATACATGACCAATGTGTCTGGTGGTGATACATGACTAATGTGTGGTGGTGATACATGACCAATGTGTCTGGTGGTGATACATGACCAATGTGTCTGGTTTGTGATACATGACCAATGTCTGGTGGTGATACATGACCAATGTGTCTGGTGGTGATACATGACCAATGTGTCTGGTGGTGATACATGACCAATGTGTCTGGTTTGTGATACATGACCAATGTGTCTGGTGGTGATACATGACCAATGTGGTTGGTGGTGATACATGACCAATGTGTTTTTGGTGATACATGACTGTCTGGTGGTGATACATGACCAATGTGTAAGGTGGTGATACATGACCAATGTGTCTGGTGGTGATACATGACCAATGTGTTTTTGGTGATACATGACTGTCTGGTGGTGATACATGACCAATGTGTAAGGTGGTGATACATGACCAATGTGTCTGGTGGTGATACATGACTAATGTGTCTGGTGGTGATACATGAGAGTTGTCTAAAAGATTTATGTGGGTGTCTTTCTGTAAACAGAACTAATCTTGAATATGTTATTCATATGTTAAATGTTGAAATAATTTTTTTTTTTAAAAACAGGTACTTTCCCAAAAAAAAAAAAAATCACAGTCCAACTAAAGAGAGAAAACAAGAAAACCAGGGCGGGGTTAAACAAAAAACGTTTTTGCTTCTAATAACAGCTTGAAAGCTAAGCTGTGAATGTTTGGACACAGCTGCCCATATCTACTGTCACATGAAACAACAAAAGCACATATGGTCACATACAGTCTTCCAAAGATTTTAGTTACAAGCGGGGAATAAATGATCTGGTCAAAAAAAGCTGCCAGCCACAAGTTTCCAGCAAGCAAATAAAAGATGGAGCATGCTCTTGTGTTGGTAACAGAAAACTTTAGGTCAGTGCTGGCCTCACTCTTAAACACATATTTGGGTAACATGGGGAGGGGGGAAAGGAAAGGAAAGAGAGCATGATACGTTGCGAATTTTCAGAAAAAATATATGAAATTGATTTGAAAATATGAAAGGCCTTTCATTGATAAATGAGATATTTGATGATGCATATGATGAAGCATTCAGTGGGTGCAATAGGCAGGTCATAGATGTGGGTAAAAGTTGATTTAGTCCTGACATTTCTTATCATGCTCTCAACTAGAACAAAACCAAGGGTTAGGTATTGAATGGCCAGACCATTTAGTCAAATTTGTCAAGCCAAAACAAAAAAGGACACAAAGAAAAGTTTGCCACTTAGTCAAAGATGTGAGCCAAAAGAAAAAGGAGTTTGTCTGAAGCCTGCCCTGCCTACCTGCTGAGCAGGTGAATCCTCTTTACTGTTGGTCCTGGTCAACAAGTGACTTCCTCCTCTCAGAAAGTCCACAGACTTGCGCTGTATCCCCTCCCACAGCTGCTCATGCAGGGACTGTGATTTGGGCAGTGTCTGACTTTTATGGCGGGGCAGGCCCAGGGTGGGGCTGGGACTCCCTCTGTCCCCTCCACCCCATTCTTCAAGGGTCTCATCTGACCAGGTCCTGCGCCTCAACTTCTCTAGTGAAGGCATCGCCCACCTGGCCTAAAGATGTGATCAAGGGACACAAAGCTAGTGTTACTGGCTAGCCAAGAGACTTGCTACAAGACAACAACTTGTTAGAACCAATACAAACGTGTCAGTGTAGGGCTAGACTAAGGAAGCAACCAACCAAGCCAATGTTACAAGAGTATTTTAGTCAGGTTTATACAGGTCAGATTACTAAAGAAGGGTAAGACTTTGTCAGTTAGGAGACACAGTGGTGGCATGCAGCTTAATGGTGTCAGACAACAGTGGTGGCATGCAGCTTCATGGTGTCACACAGTGGTGGCATACAGCTTTATGGTGTCAGACACAGTGGTGGCATGCAGCTTCATGGTGTCACACAGTGGTGGCATGCAGCTTCATGGTGTCACACAGTGGTGGCATGCCAGTATAACAGCTTCATGGTGTCACACAGTGGTGGCATGCAGCTTCATGGTGTCACACAGTGGTGGCATGCAGCTTCATGGTGTCCACAACAGTGGTGGCATGCAGCTTCATGGTGTCACACAGTGGTGGCATGCAGCTTCATGGTGTCACACAGTGGTGGCATACAGCTTTATGGTGTCACACAGTGGTGGCATGCCAGTATAACAGCTTCATGGTGTCACACAGTGGTGGCATGCAGCTTCATGGTGTCACACAGTGGTGGCATGCAGCTTCATGGTGTCACACAGTGGTGGCATGCAGCTTCATGGTGTCACACAGTGGTGGCATGCAGCTTCATGGTGTCACACAGTGGTGGCATACAGCTTTATGGTGTCAGACACAGTGGTGGCATGCAGCTTCATGGTGTCACACAGTGGTGGCATGCCAGTATAACAGCTTCATGGTGTCAGACAACAGTGGTGGCATGCAGCTTCATGGTGTCACACAGTGGTGGCATGCAGCTTCATGGTGTCAGACACAGTGGTGGCATGCAGCTTCATGGTGTCACACAGTGGTGGCATGCAGCTTCATGGTGTCACACAGTGGTGGCATGCAGCTTCATGGTGTCACACAGTGGTGGCATGCAGCTTCATGGTGTCAGACACAGTGGTGGCATGCAGCTTCATGGTGTCACACAGTGGTGGCATGCAGCTTCATGGTGTCACACAGTGGTGGCATGCAGCTTCATGGTGTCACACAGTGGTGGCATGCAGCTTCATGGTGTCAGACACAGTGGTGGCATGCAGCTTCATGGTGTCAGACAGTGGTGGCATGCAGCTTCATGGTGTCACACAGTGGTGGCATGCAGCTTCATGGTGTCAGACACAGTGGTTGCATGCAGCTTCATGGTGTCAGACAGTGGTGGCATGCAGCTTCATGGTGTCACACAGTGGTGGCATGCAGCTTCATGGTGTCAGACAGTGGTGGCATGCAGCTTCATGGTGTCAGACACAGTGGTGGCATGCAGCTTCATGGTGTCAGACAGTGGTGGCATGCAGCTTTATGGTGTCACACAGTGGTGGCATGCAGCTTCATGGTGTCACACAGTGGTGGCATGCAGCTTCAAAGATACTTAAAAAGATTTTCCCAAAAATGTAACTGGTCGGCACAAGAAAACAACCCATTCAAAATGTGGTCGGGAAATAATATGGCACTAGCTAGTATATTTGCCCAAGTCAAATTATATGATTTATTTTGCTAGTTGTCTTTTAAACACAAGTCAGACACCTGGGGTGATCCAAAAATGGGCTGTAAGAACATTGCTAAAGTCCCAGACCAAATTGACAAACATGAAAACTTTGAAAGTCACAAGATTGCAGAGAGAGAACTTTTAATTACACAACTCAGACTTTATAAAGAAAGAACCATAATATGTGACATTTTGACATCAGAAAAGAAGGAAATAGAAAAAAGCCTGGGTGCTCACAATGGAAACTGATTATTGGTCTTATATTACAGAATATAAACCTATCTTTTAAGCGCATTTTTTTTTCATTTGCTAATTTTTTGTAATTTTTTAATATAATAAAAGTTTCTTTTCTCCCTTAAAAACAACATTTTAATATGAGTTTTATTAACAGAATGACTCATTAAATTTTTTTTTTTTAAATCTATTATTGACTGATTCAGGTGGATTAGATGTGTGAGCTGGTGGTAGGTCAATTAATGGAGGGGGTCAAGTGAGGGGGGTGGTATGTCTATTAATAAAGGGGGTCAAGTGAGGGGGGTGGTATGTCTATTAATGGAGGGGGTCAAGTGAGGGGGGTGGTATGTCTATTAATGGAGGGGGTCAAGTGAGGGGGGTGGTATGTCTATTAATGGAGGGGGTCAAGTGAGGGGGGTGGTATGTCTATTAATGGAGGGGGTCAAGTGAGGGGGGTGGTATGTCTATTAATGGAGGGGGTCAAGTGAGGGGGGTGGTATGTCTATTAATGGAGGGGGTCAGGTGAGGGGGGTGGTATGTCTATTAATGGAGGGGGTCAAGTGAGGGGGGTGGTATGTCTATTAATGGAGGGGGTCAAGTGAGGGGGGGGTGGTAGGTCAATTAATGGAGGGGGTCAAGTGAGGGGGTGGTAGGTCAATTAATGGAGGGGGTCAAGTGAGGGGGGTGGTAGGTCTATTAAGGGGGGTGGAATGGAGGGGGTCAAGTGAGGGGGGTGGTAGGTCAATTAATGGAGGGGGTCAAGTGAGGGGGGTGGTAGGTCAATTAATGGAGGGGATCAGGTGAGGGGGGTGGTAGGTCAATTAATGAAGGGGGTCAAGTGAGGGGGGTGGTATGTCTATTAATGGAGGGGGTCAAGTGAGGGGGGTGGTAGGTCAATTAATGGAGGGGGTCAAGTGAGGGGGGTGGTAGGTCTATTAATGGAGGGGGTCAAGTGAGGGGGTGGTAGGTCAATTAATGGAGGGGGTCAAGTGAGGGGGGTGGTAGGTCTATTAAGGGGGGTGGAATGGAGGGGGTCAAGTGAGGGGGGTGGTAGGTCAATTAATGGAGGGGGCCAAGTGAGGGGGGTGGTAGGTCAATTAATGGAGGGGATCAGGTGAGGGGGGTGGTAAGTCTATTAATGGAGGGGGTCAAGTGAGGGGGGTGGTAGGTCAATTAATGGAGGGGGTCAAGTGAGGGGGGTGGTAGGTCTATTAATGAAGGCGGTCAAGTGAGGGGGGTGGTAGGTCAATTAATGAAGGCGGTCAAGTGAGGGGATTTTAGTTCCATCAATTGTTCGTCATTACAAACAGAAAATACTTCTTAAATGATCATTCTACAAACCAAATGTATTTTCTATTCTTTTATAACAAGTTTGTATTTCATAATATTCAAACAGCAAGTGTCTCAGGAGTTTAATACATGTGAACACATGCACTACCTCAGATAGTTTCCCCCACTGAACAAGGTAGAAAGAACATCCAACTACAACTGCTGTCCTGCCACATGACCAGCCTACAGAATGGTTGCTCACAAGCAGAGAACATATGTCATGGTACCAATCATCTCTCTATTCCACACTGGCATGTGGCATGCAAGTTGTTGAAGAAACTGTCTTACCTTGTACTCAAAATTTGAGACAGCTAAAAACAGAACTTGTAGAAGATCTGCCAGTTTAGCTATGGGCAAGTCAGACCACCAAGATTTCAACTGAGACTGCTTGGCATTCTTTAACACCCAGAGAAAACACATGAGGAGGCTTCGGGTAGACTCCAGACTTAGGGGGGTCTTACGCGCCTGTCAACATCAGTAAACAAATCTTTACTACCAGATCTGGCAAGGACATCTTGGTGGATGTGTGAAGTGTCTGGTGGATGTGTCAGGTGTGTGGTGGATGTGTCAGGTGTGTGGTGGATGTGTCAGGTGGATGTGTCAGGTGTGTGGTGGATGTGTCAGGTGGATGTGTCAGGTGTGTGGTGGATGTGTCAGGTGTGTGGTGGATGTGTCAATTTGTGTGGTGAATGTGTCAGGTGGATGTGTCAGGTGTGTGGTGGATGTGTCAGGTGTGTGGTGGATGTGTCAAGTGTGTGGTGGATGTGTCAAGTGTGTGGTGGATGTGTCAGGTGTGTGGTGGATGTGTCAGGTGTGTGGTGGATGTGTCAGGTGTGTGGTGGATGTGTCAGGTGTGTGGTGGATGTGTAAGGTGTGTGGTGGATGTGACAGGTGTGTGGAGGATGTGTCAGGTGTGTGGTGGATGTGTCAGGTGTGTGGTGGATGTGTCAGGTGTGTGGTGGATGTGTCAGGTGGATGTGTCAGGTGTGTGGTGGATGTGTCAGGTGTGTGGTGGATGTGTCAGGTGGATGTGTCAGGTGTGTGGTGGATGTGCCAGGTGTGTGGTGGATGTGTAAGGTGTGTGGTGGATGTGACAGGTGTGTGGAGGATGTGTCAGGTGTGTGGTGGATGTGTGAGGTGTGTGGTGGATGTGTCAGGTGTGTGGTGGATGTGTTAGGTGGATGTGTGAGGTGTGTGGTGGATGTGTCAGGTGTGTGGTGGATGTGTCAGGTGGATGTGTCAGGTGTGTGGTGGATGTGTTAGGTGGATGTGTCAGGTGTGTGGTGGATGTGTCAGGTGTGTGGTGGATGTGTTAGGTGGATGTGGCAGGTGTGTGGTGGATGTGTTAGGTGGATGTGTCAGGTGAGTGGTGGATGTGTCAGGTGTGTGGTGGATGTGTCAGGTGTGTGGTGGATGTGTCAGGTGTGTGGTGGATGTGTCAGGTGTGTGGTGGATGTGTCAGGTGTGAGGTGGATGTGACAGGTGGATGTGTCAGGTGTGTGGTGGATGTGTCAGGTGTGTGGTGGATGTGTCAGGTGTGTGGTGGATGTGCCAAGTGGATGTGTCAGGTGTGTGGTGGATATGTCCGGTGTGTGGTGGATGTGTCAGGTGAGTGGTGGATGTGTCAGGTGTGTGGTGGATGTGTCAGGTGTGTGGTGGATGTGTCAGGTGTGTGGTGGATGTGTCAGGTGAGTGGTGGATGTGTCAGGTGTGTGTTGGATGTGTTAGGTGGATGTGTCAGGTGTGTGGTGGATGTGTTAGGTGGATGTGTCAGGTGTGTGTTGGATGTGTTAGGTGGATGTGTCAGGTGTGTGTTGGATGTGTTAGGTGGATGTGTCAGGTGTGTGGAGGATGTGTCAGGTGTGTGGTGGATGTGTCAGGTGTGTGGTGGATGTGTTAGGTGAGTGGTGGATGTGTCAGGTGTGTGTTGGATGTGTTAGGTGGATGTGTCAGGTGTGTGGAGGATGTGTCAGGTGTGTGGTGGATGTGTCAGGTGTGAGGTGGATGTGACAGGTGGATGTGTCAGGTGTGTGGAGGATGTGTCAGGTGTGTGGTGGATGTGTCAAGTGTGTGGTGGATGTGTCAGGTGTGTGGTGGATGTGTCAGGTGTGTGGTGGATGTGTCAGGTGTGTGGTGGATGTGTCAGGTGTGTGGTGGATGTGTAAGGTGTGTGGTGGGTGTGACAGGTGTGTGGTGGATGTGTAAGGTGTGTGGTGGATGTGTCAGGTGTGTGGTGGATGTGTCAAGTGTGTGGTGGATGTGTCAAGTGTGTGGTGGATGTGTCAGGTGTGTGGTGGATGTGTCAGGTGTGTGGTGGATGTGTCAGGTGTGTGGTGGATGTGTCAGGTGTGTGGTGGGTGTGTAAGGTGTGTGGTGGATGTGACAGGTGTGTGGTGGATGTGTAAGGTGTGTGGTGGATGTGTAAGGTGTGTGGTGGATGTGTCAGGTGTGTGGTGGATGTGTCAGGTGTGAGGTGGATGTGACAGGTGGATGTGTCAGGTGTGTGGTGGATGTGTAAGGTGTGTGGTGGATGTGTCAGGTGTGTGGTGGATGTGTAAGGTGTGTGGTGGATGTGTCAGGTGTGTGGTGGATGTGTCAGGTGTGAGGTGGATGTGACAGGTGGATGTGTCAGGTGTGTGGAGGATGTGTCAGGTGTGTGGTGGATGTGTCAGGTGTGTGGTGGATGTGTCAGGTGTGTGGTGGATGTGTCAGGTGAGTGGTGGATGTGTCAGGTGTGTGGTGGATGTGTCAGGTGTGTGGTGGATGTGTCAGGTGAGTGGTGGATGTGTGGTGGATGTGTGAGGTGGATGTGTGAGGTGGATGTGTCAGATGTGTGGTGGATGTGTCAGGTGTGTGGTGGATGTGTCAGGTGTGTGGTGGATGTGTCAGGTGAGTGGTGGATGTGTCAGGTGTGTGGTGGATGTGTCAGGTGTGTGGTGGATGTGTCAGGTGAGTGGTGGATGTGTGGTGGATGTGTGAGGTGGATGTGTGAGGTGGATGTGTCAGGTGTGTGGTGGATGTGTCAGGTGTGTGGTGGATGTGTCAGGTGTGAGGTGGATGTGACAGGTGGATGTGTCAGGTGTGTGGAGGATGTGTCAGGTGTGTGGTGGATGTGTCAGGTGTGTGGTGGATGTGTCAGGTGTGTGGTGGATGTGTCAGGTGAGTGGTGGATGTGTCAGGTGTGTGGTGGATGTGTCAGGTGTGTGGTGGATGTGTCAGGTGAGTGGTGGATGTGTGGTGGATGTGTGAGGTGGATGTGTCAGATGTGTGGTGGATGTGTTAGGTGGATGTGTCAGGTGTGTGGTGGATGTGTGAGATGTGTGGTGGATGTGTGAGGTGGATGTGTCAGGTGTGTGGTGGATGTGACAGGTGGATGTGTTAGGTGTGTGGATGTCAGGTGTGTGGTGGATGTCAGGTGTGTGGTGGATGTGTCAGGTGTGTGGTGGATGTGTCAGGTGTGTGGTGGATGTGTCATTTATGTGCTTTCAATTGGCTTGTAATGCTGGTTTCAAATGGTTCTAAATTTTTGTTGCCATAAAGCATATTTTCCAACCAAAATTGAACATTTTTTAACATTTGTGTAATAAGTACAAAATGACTTACAAACAAATAATTCCTAATAATATAATTTATCAAAGATTTTTTAAAAATGTGGATTAGTAATATCAGAGTGTTGTGGTGATCGGGGTTCTTATATTATCTATTATAAATACTACTCTATACACCATAGACTAATATTGTGTATTTTATAATGGAAAACAATGCTGGTGCTGTTTGTTTTACTCTCCCTGGCCATTCTGAATGACTTCAAGGAGAGGTTGAGGGTGTTTTTTTTAATATTTAAATTTATAAAACAATTCAAAGTGACTTTTCAATGGCTTATATTCAATACAAAAATATAAAAGTGAGTGTAATCGACGGTTCCCAAACAGCTTTAAGATTATAAAATGTAACTATAATTTAATAGCTTGCCATTTGTTTTTAAAAATATTTTTTCCCCAAAATTGAGTATGATTCCACAGACTACCTATTGCTAAATGTGGCATGCTACAAAACAATGCTAATGCTCATACAACCTTTGAGCCATCCCCTGAGTCTTCATGGCTTTGTGCAACTGTAGAGGATGAGTGGATGCGATTAACTACGTTTGAGCCAGCTATTGCCATAGCAACCCTCTGATTGATTTTGTCACCCTCCTCATCAGACATCATGGAGCCAATGCCCTGTTGTGGTAAAAAAAAATTGTGTGGTTTTATAGCATTTAATTAAAGATCATAGATATTTCCAATTTTTAGCATTTTCAGTAACTAAACAAATTTTGAAAAAAAAAGAGCCAAAAGCATTTTGTATTTTTCTCATTTTCACCCAGAAAATATCAAAAACATGACATAACTAGGTCGTTCTGTCTTCAAAAGTAAAAGTTTATCAAAGTATTTCTAGGGAAAAGTTTTGAACATGGGGTTGTAGAAATTAAAGTAACTACCCATGATATAGTCAATGAAAGTTTGTCTGATAAATTTAAACCAGGTGTCCAATAGTTGTCAATAAATAATAATGTAGACTTCAAGAAAAAATAATTTATCTGCCTATGCACATTTTATGACATTAATTCTTAAAATATTACATTTTTAAGCTTTAACTTTTTTTTTTTGTAAACATGCCTACCCTGTCAGATAAAAGTAGGAACAGTCATGCCTAAAAAGAGGAATTCGTAGCCAAAAAGAGGAACATACTTTACTAAGTAAAAAAGTAAAAATTTAGTCTAATGACATTAATAGGCTTCTAGTTATATATAACTAGTCTCTAGGCTACATTTTAATACTGCTTAATGTCAGCTTACATTAAAAAAATAGTTAACCAATAACCTGAGACACACCCCAAGCCCCCACCCCTCCCAATAAAAACCATAGCTTTGACATAACCTTAATGATTTGATTATTTATGCCTTGCTATGTTCTAGGCTATATGAACAATAAATGCTGAAGGCTTTGTATGTAATATAAAATATAGGTTAAGAGCTAAGACCTAGATCTACCTAGTAAAAGTCCTAGTTACTTCTAAGTTCTTCATAATAGTAGTTACTAGACTAGATCTAGTTAGTTACAACTTAATTACAAACAGGATATATCAGTAATGTTACTAGACTACTTTTAGGCCAATAGATCTACTATCTAGATCATGGGTCGGCAACCTTTTGAGATGAAAGAGCCATATGTTATAATTTTCAAAATTTCCCACTAATAAAGAGCCACTAACATTTTTTTTTCAATATTTTATTATTTGATTTGGATTAGGTAAATAAATTTGATTTATTTAAAAAAATAGTTTTAAATATGAAAAAATATTTGTTCACATAAAAACACACTTATTTTGCCAGAATAATGAAATTAATAATTAAAAAACAAAAATATAGAACTATATATGCTATAGCAGGCCTCAACATAGCAAACTCAATCTAAATGGTTTTGATGTTGTTTTGATTACCTGTGTATCTGTTGCTTTTGTCCTTCCGTTCTCACCAGGCTTATCTCCACCCCATTGAACGCAGGGTAAACTCGTACCCCACCGTCCAGTACCCAGCTCGACCGTAGGAGGCTAATAACTAAAAAACTACGTCACTCAAGTGAAATTCATGATTACTGGCAGATAGGGATATGCATTCTGAACAAAATAACATTCCCCATTAATGATATTCGAAAAAGTCGGCAATTGGGCAGTGGCAAGCATCGAATTATTGCCACGGGGCTGTCCATGGCACGGCTGTGGGGCTGGGCCTGGTGCCCAAGCAACTGTCAGCTGTACGTATACTTTCTACTTCACCTATTCTCACTGTTCTATTGTGAGTTTTTTAAATTCTGTTTAAACTTGTGTTTCTTTACAGTATAATTTTGTTATGAGTTTTGAAAATGAAATAATATAACTATTAATATTTGTGCACAGAGCTAAAGAACCGCAGGTTGCCGACCCCTGATCTAGATCATGGAAATTAGCATGTTAGTCATGATTTTATTGTATTTTTCTCCCTACATGTTATTTAAGGTATAATTTAAATCTACAATTCAATTGCAAATACTACAAAGAACGTTAAAAAGCTAGATTGTCCACATTATCTATTAGTATAGTAGATCTAGTATTAGATGATACTTGTAAATATTGTAAGTAAACTAGGAAACGGAAACGTGTTCCAAAGGTAAATAATCGCTTTTCCCTGACTTTTTTTCAATTTGATTTGTTACTTTTCTTTACTGATTATTTTAAAAAAAAAACAGAACAAACTTTGACGGAAACGGGACGGAGAAACGGGACAAGATTTTTTAAAAAAAGGAACAATTCCTCTTTTGGTGTGACGGTAGGCATGTTTGTTGCTGTGATGTGAAAATAGAAACAAGTTTATTGATGCAATAGCTCCTCACTAAACCTGGATATTATTTACACACAACAGCATCATTTTGTACACAAAATTAAATAAAATAAGATCATATAGGTAGTATGAGACTTAGGTAAAGCTAACCAAAAGTAAAGGAGGGATAGGCTGGAGCTACCAAAATAGAATCACATAATATAAAAAATTTTTTTAGCTGATGGGGTCACTATGTTGGGTGTCTACCAGTGGGGTAGTTGTAGGGGTCACCCCACCAGAGGTTTGTCTACTATTCCTACATAGTTTGAGCCTAAAAAGAATGTACCTTTATTTTGTTTTCCAGCCCAGGATCGTGAAGTTGAGGCAAGGCCTCTAGCACTATAGCTATGACTGGCAGGTAAAGAGTAGCTAAACGGCTTTTGATCTCTGGGTCAGTGTAACGAATGTCAAGGTCATGGTTGTAAAGGATGTTTCGAAGAACACTTATAGCTCTTTGGTGGATCACAGGATTACTGTAAAACAAATATTTATTGTCATAATTAATTCCTCAAAAAATTTATTGCCCCATGGCATATATATATATATATATATATATATATATATATATATATATATGGAAAATGTGTCCCCCCAGTCTGTCCTATCCACCTACCTGGCATCAAAGGATATAGATAGGTCAGACAATATCAACCCAACCAGGTAATGCTGGCTACAGAAGTGGGGACTCAAGCTGTAATACACTGCTTTTGATTTGCCAACCTAAAATTGGAAGGGTTTTTTTCATACACTTTCTGGGCTATCATAAATGTTAAATATGGCCAACACAAACTTTGAACATGGCCGACACAGACTTTAAACATGGCCAACACAGACTTTGAACATGGCCAACACAGACTTTGAACATGGCCAACACAGACTTTGAACATGGCCAACACAGACTTTAAACATGGCCAACACAGACTTTAAACATGGCCAACATGGACTTTGAACATGGCCAACACAGACTTTAAACATGGCCAACACAGACTTTAAACATGGCCAACACAGACTTTGAACATGGCCAACCCAAACACAAGCATGCTCCTGATGTAAAAACTGACCAATGTGGTGCTTGAAGTCACTGAGCTGCGTGAGCTTATGCTGCTGGTGGGGGAGTGAAGTCCACTTGGGGTCAGTGGTGTGCCAAAGGCCAAGTTGAGTGGCAGGAAGTGTTCATGGCTGCATATGATCCTGAGGAAGTCTAGCCTGAGCAGCATCAGACTTGTCGTGTCTGACAGCATCTTCATCTTTATGGACAGCTGGAATATAGGGGCTTCAATGGCTACAGGCAACTTTGGCTAACCGGCTAACTAATGTGACTCAGCTAACTGGCTAACTAATGTGACTCAGCTAACTGGCTAACTAATGCGACTCAACTAACTGATGTGACTCAACTAACTGGCTAACTAATGTGACTCATCTAACTGGCTAACTGATGTGACTCAGCTAACTGGCTAACTAATGTGACTCATCTAACTGGCTAACTAATGTGACTCAGCTAACTGGCTAACAAATGTGACTCAACTAACTAATGTGACTCAACTAACTGGCTAACTAATGTGACTCAGCTAACTGGCTAACTAATGTGACTCAGCTAACTGGCTAACTAATGCGACTCAACTAACTGATGTGACTCAACTAACTGGCTAACTGATGTGACTCAACTAACTGGCTAACTAATGTGACTCAGCTAACTGGCTAACTAATGTGACTCAGCTAACTGGCTAACTAATGTGACTCAGCTAACTGGCTAACTAATGCGACTCAACTAACTGATGTGACTCAACTAACTGGCTAACTGATGTGACTCAACTAACTGGCTAACTGATGTGACTCAGCTAACTGGCTAACTAATGTGACTCAGCTAACTGGCTAGCTAATGTGACTCAGCTAACTGATGTGACTCAACTAACTGGCTAACTAATGTGACTCAACTAACTGGCTAACTAATGCGACTCAGCTAACTGATGTGACTCAACTAACTGGCTAACTGATGTGACTCAAATAACTGGCTAACTAATGCGACTCAACTAACTGGCTAACTAATGCGACTCAGCTAACTGATGTGACTCAGCTAACTGACTAACTGATGTGACTCAACTAACTGGCTAACTGATGTGACTCAAATAACTGGCTAACTAATGCGACTCAACTAACTGGCTAACTAATGTGACACAACTAACTGGCTAACTAATGTGACTCAACTAACTGATGTGACTCAACTAACTGGCTAACTAATGTGACACAACTAACTGGCTAACTAATGTGACTCAGCTAACTGATGTGACTCAACTAACTGGCTAACTGATGTGACACAACTAACTGGCTAACTAATGCGACTCAGCTAACTGATGTGACTCAACTAACTGGCTAACTAATGTGACTCAACTAACTGGCTAACTAATGTGACTCAGCTAACTGATGTGACTCAACTAACTGGCTAACTAATGTGACTCAACTAACTGGCTAACTAATGCGACTCAGCTAACTGATGTGACTCAACTAACTGGCTAACTGATGTGACTCAACTAACTGGCTAACTGATGTGACACAACTAACTGGCTAACTAATGTGACACAACTAACTGGCTAACTAATGCAACTCAGCTAACTGATGTGACTCAACTAACTGGCTAACTGATGTGACTCAACTAACTGGCTAACTGACGTGACACAACTAACTGGCTAACTGATGCAACACAACTAACTGGCTAACTAATGCGACAGCTAACTGGCTAACTGATGCAACACAACTAACTGGCTAACTGATGCTACACAACTAACTGGCTAACTAATGCGACAGCTAACTAACTAACTAATGCGACTCAGCTAACTGGCTAACTGATGCGACTCAACTAACTGGCTAACTGATGCAACACAACTAACTGGCTAACTAATGCGACAGCTAACTAACTAACTAATGCGACTCAACTAACTGGCTAACTGATGCAACACAACTAACTGGCCACTGGCCAACAGAACTAACTGACCACTGGCCAACAGAACTAACTGGCCACTGGCCAACACAACTAACTGGCCACTGGCCAACAGAACTAACTGGCCACTGGCCAACAGAACTAACTGGCCACTGGCCAACAGAACTAACTGGCCACTGGCCAATACAACTAACTGGCTAACTGATGCAACACAACTAACTGGCCACTGGCCAACACAACTAACTGGCCACTGGCCAACAGAACTAACTGGTATGACATAATAAAGTGAGTCCACATTAGACATTAGTACTGGCCAATAGGGAGAGAGTCTAGTTCACATGACACAGCTAAGTTGTTTCAAGTAAAGCTAGTTATCTGTTCTACTCTTCATGTCAAGCAAGGCCACTTTTTCTGGTTAAAACCAGGTCTGGCCACTTGGTTCAACCACTTCTACTGGTTAAAACCAGGTCTGGCCCCTTGGTTCAACCACTTCTACTGGTTAAAACCAGGTCTGGCCACTTGGTTCAACCATTATATATTTATTTCAGTTACACTTCTAGATTTAAATCAACGTACCTCCATTTTCTATTTTTAGCTCTCAAAATCATGGCTGGGTTTATTTTTATAATATTTTTTTTTAAATCATGTCACAATTTATGCTACTTCCCAGTAACAATGAGCAACACTCATCTCTGAGACGTTGATGAAATTTAGCATACATTTTTAAAGCTCCACACATAGTTCAAAGTTGCGTCCCTAATCTTAGGATGAAGGGAGTAAGAAATGCACTAAAAGGTTTGAAGGACATCTTACTGTTCTACAGTAGTGACGTATCAGCTGGAAGACAAAGCCGCGGTCCATCAGAGACAGTAAGTCGTGCAGAAAAAAGGCTAGGCTGTTATTCAGCCCTTTAATTAATGGAGGCTCCTGTAGGACAAAAGGCAGCTTTAATTTGTGTTTTTTATCAACTGAGAATAGAAGGAATAAATCAAGTGTGAAGTAGGCAGATTTAAAAATGTTTCCACCTGACATACCTTAATGTAGCGGTCACCTATGTCCTTGATAATGTTGGTGACCAGTGAGTGGACATCATCAACAAAATGATCAGGGAAGCGCATTTGTCGAGGCACACAAAGTTTATCCACCTGATCCAGGTGTTCAGCCATAGCCTTCACCTGAACAAAAGTTTACAGGTAACCACAGCCCACACTTCTCATACACTGACCCATACCTCTCATACACTGAACCACAGCCCACACTTCTCATACACTGACCCACAGGTAACCACAGCCCACACTTCTCATACACTGACCCATACCTCTCATACACTGACCCACAGCCCACACCTCTCATACACTGACCCACAGGTAACCACAGCCCACACTTCTCATACACTGAACCACAGCCCACACTTCTCATACACTGAACCACAGCCCACACTTCTCATACACTGAACCACAGCCCACACTTCTCATACACTGAACCACAGCCCACACTTCTCATACACTGAACCACAGCCCACACTTCTCATACACTGACCCACACCTCTCATACACTGACCCACAGCCCACACCTCTCATACACTGACCCACACCTCTCATACACTGACCCACAGGTAACCACAGCCCACACTTCTCATACACTGACCCACACCTCTCATACACTGAACCACAGCCCACACTTCTCATACACTGACCCACACCTCTCATACACTGACCCACACCTCTCATACACTGACCCACACCTCTCATACACTGACCCACAGCCCACACTTCTCATACACTGACCCACACCTCTCATACACTGACCCACACCTCTCATACACTGACCCACAGCCCACACCTCTCATACACTGACCCATAGCCCACACTTCTCATACACTGACCCACACCTCTCATACACTGACCCACAGCCCACACCTCTCATACACTGACCCACAGCCCACACTTCTCATACACTGACCCACACTTCTCATACACTGACCCACACCTCTCATACACTGACCCACACCTCTCATACACTGACCCACAGCCCACACTTCTCATACACTGACCCACACTTCTCATACACTGACCCACACCTCTCATACACTGACCCACACCTCTCATACACTGACCCACAGGTAACCACAGCCCACACCTCTCATACACTGACCCACACTTCTCATACACTGACCCACACCTCTCATACACTGACCCACAGCCCACACCTCTCATACACTGACCCATAGCCCACACTTCTCATACACTGACCCACACCTCTCATACACTGACCCATAGCCCACACTCCTCATACACTGACCCACACCTCTCATACACTGACCCACAGCCCACACCTCTCATACACTGACCCACAGCCCACACTTCTCATACACTGACCCACACCTCTCATACACTGACCCACAGGTAACCACAGCCCACACCTCTCATACACTGACCCATACCTCTCATACACTGACCCACACCTCTCATACACTGACCCACACCTCTCATACACTGACCCACAGCTCACACCTCTCATACACTGACCCACAGATCACACCTCTCATACACTGACCCACAGGTAACCACAGCCCACACCTCTCATACACTGACCCATACCTCTCATACACTGACCCACAGCCCACACCTCTCATACACTGACCCATACCTCTCATACACTGACCCACAGCCCACACCTCTCATACACTGACCCACAGATCACACCTCTCATACACTGACCCACAGGTAACCACAGCCCACACCTCTCATACACTGACCCATACCTCTCATACACTGACCCATACCTCTCATACACTGACCCACAGCCCACACCTCTCATACACTGACCCACAGATCACACCTCTCATACACTGACCCATACCTCTCATACACTGACCCACAGCCCACACCTCTCATACACTGACCCACAGATCACACCTCTCATACACTGACCCACAGGTAACCACAGCCCACACTTCTCATACACTGACCCATACCTCTCATACACTGACCCATAGCCCACACTTCTCATACACTGACCCACACCTCTCATACACTGACCCACGGCCCACACCTCTCATACACTGACCCACAGCCCACACTTCTCATACACTGACCCACACCACTCATACACTGACCCACAGGTAACCACAGCCCACACCTCTCATACACTGACCCACAGCTCACACCTCTCATACACTGACCCACAGATCACACCTCTCATACACTGACCCACAGGTAACCACAGCCCACACTTCTCATACACTGACCCACACCTCTCATACACTGACCCACAGCCCACACCTCTCATACACTGACCCATAGCCCACACTTCTCATACACTGACCCACACCTCTCATACACTGACCCATAGCCCACACCTCTCATACACTGACCCATAGCCCACACTTCTCATACACTGACCCACAGCCCACACTTCTCATACACTGACCCACACCTCTCATACACTGACCAACAGCCCACACCTCTCATACACTGACCCACAGCTCACACCTCTCATACACTGACCCACAGCCCACACTTCTCATACACTGACCCACACCTCTCATACACTGACCAACAGCCCACACCTCTCATACACTGACCCATAGCCCACACTTCTCATACACTGACCCACACTTCTCATACACTGACCAACAGCCCACACCTCTCATACACTGACCAACAGCCCACACCTCTCATACACTGACCCACAGCCCACACCTCTCATTCACTGACCCATAGCCCACACTTCTCATACACTGACCCACACTTCTCATACACTGACCCACACCTCTCATACACTGACCCACACTTCTCATACACTGACCCACACTTCTCATACACTGACCCACAGCCAGCACACACCTCTCATACACTGACCCACAGCCCACACTTCTCATACACTGACCCACACTTCTCATACACTGACCCACACTTCTCATACACTGACCCACACTTCTCATACACTGACCCACACCTCTCATACACTGACCCACATCCCACACCTCTCATACACTGACCGATAGCCCACACTTCTCATACACTGACCCACACTTCTCATACACTGACCCACGCTTCTCATACACTGACCCACACCTCTCATACACTGACCCACAGCTCACACCTCTCATACACTGACCCACAGCCCACACTTCTCATACACTGACCCACACTTCTCATACACTGACCCACACTTCTCATACACTGACCCACACTTCTCATACACTGACCCACACCTCTCATACACTGACCAACAGCCCACACCTCTCATACACTGACCCATAGCCCACACTTCTCATACACTGACCCACACTTCTCATACACTGACCCACACTTCTCATACACTGACCCACACTTCTCATACACTGACCCACACTTCTCATACACTGACCCACACTTCTCATACACTGACCCACATCTGGGGGTCGGCGTGGTCGAGTCGGTAAAGCTCATGGTTGCTAAACCGAAAAGTCTCGAGTTCGAACCCTCGGGCAGATGAGGCTCGTTAGCTGGGGACAGCCACTCTTCTAGGAGAGACAACTCCAAAATTAAACAACTGCTGCCTTGTAGTTTGTTCTTGGTTGGACAAAGGCTATGGAAGCAAATCCAAAAAAAAAAAAGAAAAGCAGGCTGAAATCGGAGTCAATGGCCTCAATGGCGCAAAACCAGTTGACACGTACCGCTTAATTGTGTTGGAGGCGTGGTCGAGTCGGCAAAAAGCTCATGGTTGATAAATTCGAACAAAGGCTCGAGTTCAAACCCACTGGCAGATAAATCTTGATCCCCTCCAACACTAATAATTAAGAACAAAGAAGAAGAAGAAGACCCACATCTCTCATACACTGACCCACACCTCTCATACACTGACCCATAGCCCACACCTCTCATACACTGACCCACACCTCTCATACACTGACCCACAGCCCACACTTCTCATACACTGACCCACACCTCTCATACACTGACCCACACCTCTCATACACTGACCCATAGCCCACATCTCTCATACACTGACCCACAGCTCACACCTCTCATACACTGACCCACAGCCCACACCTCTCATACACTGACCCATAGCCCACACTTCTCATACACTGACCCACACCTCTCATACACTGACCCACACCTCTGATACACTGACCCACACCTCTCATACACTGACCCACACCTCTCATACACTGACCCACACCTCTCATACACTGACCCACACCTCTCATACACTGACCCACACCTCTCATACACTGACCCATACTTCTCATACACTGACCCACACCTCTCATACACTGACCCACACCTCTCATACACTGACCCACACCTCTCATACACTGACCCACACCTCTCATACACTGACCCATAGCCCACACTTCTCATACACTGACCCACACCTCTCATACACTGACCCACACCTCTCATACACTGACCCACACCTCTCATACACTGACCCACACCTCTCATACACTGACCCACACCTCTCATACACTGACCCACACCTCTCATACACTGACCCACACCTCTCATACACTGACCGACAGTTCTCATACACTGACCCACACCTCTCATACACTGACTCAAAAACTTCACTGACCATAAGCTCAAAGAAAAACCATGCATTTTTCAAAGCTAATTCTCTTGTTGAGCCACTGGACACCACCCACTGGAGGGCTAACTCTTCATGGACAAGCTGAAACCACAAACAAAATTCTTAAACTTAGTTGTATGGTGTGTGGGTGTAGCATGGTTGTATGGTGTGTGGGTGTAGCATGGTTGTATGGTGTGTGGGTGTAGCATGGTTGTATGGTGTGTGGGTGTAGCATGGTTGTATGGTATGTGGGTGTGGCATGGTTGTATGGTGTGTGTGAGTGGGTGTAGCATGGTTGTATTGTGTGTGGGTGTAGCATGGTTGTATGGTGTGTGGGTGTAGCATGGTTGTATGGTATGTGGGTGTGGCATGGTTGTATGGTATGTGGGTGTGGCATGGTTGTATGGTGTGTGGGTGTGGCATGGTTGTATGGTATGTGGGTGTGGCATGGTTGTATGGTATGTGGGTGTGGCATGGTTGTATGGTATGTGGGTGTGGCATGGTTGTATGGTATGTGGGTGTGGCATGGTTGTATGGTATGTGGGTGTGGCATGGTTGTATGGTATGTGGGTGTGGCATGGTTGTATGGTATGTGGGTGTAGCATGGTTGTATGGTATGTGGGTGTAGCATGGTTGTATGGTGTTTGGGTGTAGCATGGTTGTATGGTATGTGGGTGTGGCATGGTTGTATGGTATGTGGGTGTGGCATGGTTGTATGGTGTTTGGGTGTAGCATGGTTGTATGGTATGTGGGTGTGGCATGGTTGTATGGTATGTGGGTGTGGCATGGTTGTATGGTGTTTGGGTGTAGCATGGTTGTATTGTGTGTGGGTGTAGCATGGTTGTATGGTGTGTTGGTGTACTATGGTTGTATGGTGTGTGGATGTAGCATGGAGTTTAGTAAGACAGAAGAAACAAACACATTTAAATTCAATTAGATTATTACTAAAGTAGTCAGCAGTATATTATGACTGGCATTACTGGAAATATATGGAACAATGATAGAAATAACCTGCAACCACATTGGGTAAAGAGTAACCATATGTGGTAGAGAAAAACCACATTTGGGAGAGAGTAATCACATTCACTGCCCTTCTTCCCAGTGTAGCCCCATTCACTGCCCTTCTTCCCAGTGTAGCCCCATTTACTGCCCTTCTTCCCTGTGTAGCCCCATTCACTGCCCTTCTTCCCTGTGTAGCCCCATTCACTGCCCTTCTTCCCTGTGTAGCCCCATTCACTGCCCTTCTTCCCTGTGTAGCCCCATTCACCAATCACTTGCCTTTTTCCCTCTGACTTTGGGCATGTTCTGTGATGGCTCCTCTACTCGCATGCTTCCAGTGCGATCTAACGGTCGATCTGGAAGTTTGTAGATTGAAATAAAAACATTTGTATAAGCTTATGCTAAGTTTGTAGATTGAAATAAAAACATTTGTATAAGCTTATGCTAAGTTTGTAGATTGAAATAAAAACATTTGTATAAGCTTATGCTAAGTTTGTAGATTGAAATAAAAACATTTGTATAAGCTTATGCTAAGTTCACGCTGGCTATTTGCTTGTTTGTGACTTTCAGGCAAATCTTTGTTTTATATACATTTGTCTCTCAAGACACCAAAAGAATTTGTAGATTTTAATCTAATTAGAAATTAAATTAATCATTGAAAATTAATTAAGAGATGACTATATTCAATAACAGAAGAGAACAAGATAAAGTACTAGGCGACAGCGGTTAACTTGTTAACAGATGGTTTCAAACAAAAAACCTGACTGACTTAGAGAGGGCAAATAAATGTCCTGTATAGAATGCAACCTACCGATAGAATTTGACAGCCAGTATCTTTAGTCATTTGTACTGTCATTTTCATTAAGGACAAGTATCACTCCAATTTATCACAGAAAACACTTTTTTCTCTTTTGTATATCCCAGTATATCCCACTAAATGAACCTTTTATAAACATTTTCTACCAATTTTTATTACTTTCTCGTAAACAGAAAGTATTGTAATCGTGCAAAAGAAAAAAAATTTCAACTTTCCAGTAAAAATTAATTAATTAAAATAGACAATAATTAAGTTTTGAAAAGAATCAGTAGACCTACTTTTTTTTGTACATGTAACTATTTTAATTAATTAATTTTTACTAGAATGTGAATGATAAAAACTAAAGTAAAAATCTTTTAAACAATAAGCTTTTGAATGCACTGTAACAGGAAAAGAAAATCAAGTTGATTGTAAAGCTAGAGAGAGGAAAACTTACTAAACGTAAACTCCATGTCTGGTGAGGTGGGTGTAGCTATAGAGAGGAAAACTTACTAAATGTAAACTCCATGTCTGGTGAGGTGGGTGTAGCTATAGAGGAAAACTTACTAAATGTAAACTCCATGTCTGGTGAGGTGTAGCTAGAGAGGAAAACTTACTAAACGTAAACTCCATGTCAGGTGAGGTGGGTGTAGCTAGAGAGGAAAACTTACTAAACGTAAACTCCATGTCTGGTGAGGTGTAGCTAGAGAGGAAAACTTACTAAACGTAAACTCCATGTCAGGTGAGGTGGGTGTAGCTAGAGAGGAAAACTTACTAAACGTAAACTCCATGTCTGGTGAGGTGGGTGTAGCTATAGAGGAAAACTTACTAAACGTAAACTCCATGTCTGGTGAGGTGGGTGTAGCTATAGAGGAAAACTTACTAAATGTAAACTCCATGTCTGGTGAGGTGGGTGTAGCTATAGAGGAAAACTTACTAAATGTAAACTCCATGTCTGGTGAGGTGGGTGTAGCTAGAAAGGAAAACTTACTAAACGTAAACTCCATGTCTGGTGAGGTGGGTGTAGCTAGAAAGGAAAACTTACTAAACGTAAACTCCATGTCTGGTGAGGTGGGTGTAGCTATAGAGGAAAACTTACTAAACGTAAACTCCATGTCTGGTGAGGTGGGTGTAGCTATAGAGGAAAACTTACTAAACGTAAACTCCATGTCTGGTGAGGTGGGTGTAGCTAGAGAGAGGAAAACTTACTAAACGTAAACTCCATGTCTGGTGGGTGTAGCTAGAGAGGAAAACTTACTAAACGTAAACTCCATGTCTGGTGAGGTGGGTGTAGCTATAGAGGAAAACTTACTAAACGTAAACTCCATGTCTGGTGAGGTGGGTGTAGCTATAGAGGAAAACTTACTAAACGTAAACTCCATGTCTGGTGAGGTGGGTGTAGCTATAGAGAGGAAAACTTACTAAACGTAAACTCCATGTCTGGTGAGGTGGGTGTAGCTATAGAGAGGAAAACTTACTAAATGTAAACTCCATGTCTGGTGAGGTGGGTGTAGCTAGAGAGAGGAAAACTTACTAAACGTAAACTCCATGTCTGGTGAGGTGGGTGTAGCTATAGAGAGGAAAACTTACTAAACGTAAACTCCATGTCTGGTGAGGTGGGTGTAGCTAGAGAGGAAAACTTACTAAACGTAAACTCCATGTCTGGTGAGGTGGGTGTAGCTAGAGAGGAAAACTTACTAAACGTAAACTCCATGTCTGGTGAGGTGGGTGTAGCTATAGAGGAAAACTTACTAAATGTAAACTCCATGTCTGGTGAGGTGGGTGTAGCTAGAGAGGAAAACTTACTAAACGTAAACTCCATGTCTGGTGGGTGTAGCTAGAGAGGAAAACTTACTAAACGTAAACTCCATGTCTGGTGAGGTGGGTGTAGCTAGAGAGGAAAACTTACTAAACGTAAACTCCATGTCTGGTGAGGTGGGTGTAGCTAGAGAGGAAAACTTACTAAACGTAAACTCCATGTCTGGTGGGTGTAGCTAGAGAGGAAAACTTACTAAATGTAAACTCCATGTCTGGTGAGGTGGGTGTAGCTAGAGAGGAAAACTTACTAAACGTAAACTCCATGTCTGGTGGGTGTAGCTAGAGAGGAAAACTTACTAAACGTAAACTCCATGTCTGGTGAGGTGGGTGTAGCTAGAGAGGAAAACTTACTAAACGTAAACTCCATGTCTGGTGAGGTGGGTGTAGCTAGAGAGGAAAACTTACTAAACGTAAACTCCATGTCTGGTGAGGTGGGTGTAGCTATAGAGGAAAACTTACTAAACGTAAACTCCATGTCTGGTGAGGTGTAGCTAGAGAGGAAAACTTACTAAACGTAAACTCCATGTCTGGTGAGGTGGGTGTAGCTAGAGAGGAAAACTTACTAAACGTAAACTCCATGTCTGGTGAGGTGGGTGTAGCTAGAGAGGAAAACTTACTAAACGTAAACTCCATGTCTGGTGGGTGTAGCTAGAGAGGAAAACTTACTAAACGTAAACTCCATGTCTGGTGAGGTGGGTGTAGCTATAGAGAGGAAAACTTACTAAACGTAAACTCCATGTCTGGTGAGGTGGGTGTAGCTATAGAGAGGAAAACTTACTAAACGTAAACTCCATGTCTGGTGAGGTGGGTGTAGCTATAGAGGAAAACTTACTAAACGTAAACTCCATGTCTGGTGAGGTGGGTGTAGCTAGAGAGGAAAACTTACTAAACGTAAACTCCATGTCTGGTGAGGTGGGTGTAGCTATAGAGGAAAACTTACTAAACGTAAACTCCATGTCTGGTGAGGTGGGTGTAGCTATAGAGGAAAACTTACTAAACGTAAACTCCATGTCTGGTGAGGTGTAGCTAGAGAGGAAAACTTACTAAACGTAAACTCCATGTCTGGTGAGGTGGGTGTAGCTATAGAGGAAAACTTACTAAACGTAAACTCCATGTCTGGTGAGGTGGGTGTAGCTAGAGAGGAAAACTTACTAAACGTAAACTCCATGTCTGGTGAGGTGGGTGTAGCTATAGAGAGGAAAACTTACTAAACGTAAACTCCATGTCTGGTGAGGTGGGTGTAGCTATAGAGGAAAACTTACTAAACGTAAACTCCATGTCTGGTGAGGTGGGTGTAGCTAGAGAGAGGAAAACTTACTAAACGTAAACTCCATGTCTGGTGAGGTGGGTGTAGCTATAGAGAGGAAAACTTACTAAACGTAAACTCCATGTCTGGTGAGGTGGGTGTAGCTATAGAGGAAAACTTACTAAACGTAAACTCCATGTCTGGTGAGGTGGGTGTAGCTATAGAGAGGAAAACTTACTAAACGTAAACTCCATGTCTGGTGAGGTGGGTGTAGCTAGAGAGGAAAACTTACTAAACGTAAACTCCATGTCTGGTGGGTGTAGCTAGAGAGGAAAACTTACTAAACGTAAACTCCATGTCTGGTGAGGTGGGTGTAGCTATAGAGGAAAACTTACTAAACGTAAACTCCATGTCTGGTGAGGTGGGTGTAGCTAGAGAGGAAAACTTACTAAACGTAAACTCCATGTCTGGTGAGGTGGGTGTAGCTATAGAGGAAAACTTACTAAACGTAAACTCCATGTCTGGTGAGGTGGGTGTAGCTAGAGAGGAAAACTTACTAAACGTAAACTCCATGTCTGGTGAGGTGGGTGTAGCTAGAGAGAGGAAAACTTACTAAATGTAAACTCCATGTCTGGTGAGGTGGGTGTAGCTAGAGAGGAAAACTTACTAAATGTAAACTCCATGTCTGGTGAGGTGGGTGTAGCTAGAGAGAGGAAAACTTACTAAACGTAAAACCCATGTCTGGTGAGGTGGGTATAGCTAGAGAGGAAAACTTACTAAACGTAAACTCCATGTCTGGTGAGGTGGGTGTAGCTAGAGAGAGGAAAACTTACTAAACGTAAACCCAATGTCTGGTGAGGTGGGTATAGCTAGAGAGGAAAACTTACTAAACGTAAACTCCATGTCTGGTGAGGTGGGTGTAGCTAGAGAGGAAAACTTACTAAACGTAAACTCCATGTCTGGTGAGGTGGGTGTAGCTAGAGAGGAAAACTTACTAAACGTAAACTCCATGTCTGGTGAGGTGTGTGTAGCTAGAGAGGAAAACTTACTAAACGTAAACTCCATGTCTGGTGAGGTGGGTGTAGCTAGAAAGGAAAACTTACTAAACGTAAACTCCATGTCTGGTGAGGTGGGTGTAGCTATAGAGGAAAACTTACTAAATGTAAACTCCATGTCTGGTGAGGTGGGTGTAGCTAGAGAGGAAAACTTACTAAATGTAAACTCCATGTCTGGTGAGGTGGGTGTAGCTAGAGAGGAAAACTTACTAAACGTAAACTCCATGTCTTGTGAGGTGGGTGTAGCTATAGAGGAAAACTTACTAAACGTAAACTCCATGTCTGGTGAGGTGGGTGTAGCTATAGAGGAAAACTTACTAAACGTAAACTCCATGTCTGGTGAGGTGGGTGTAGCTATAGAGGAAAACTTACTAAACGTAAACTCCATGTCTGGTGAGGTGGGTGTAGCTAGAGAGGAAAACTTACTAAACGTAAACTCCATGTCTGGTGAGGTGGGTGTAGCTATAGAGAGGAAAACTTACTAAACAAAAACTCCATGTCTGGTGAGGTGGGTGTAGCTATAGAGGAAAACTTACTAAATGTAAACTCCATGTCTGGTGAGGTGGGTGTAGCTAGAGAGGAAAACTTACTAAACGTAAACTCCATGTCTGGTGAGGTGGGTGTAGCTAGAGAGGAAAACTTACTAAACGTAAACTCCATGTCTGGTGAGGTGGGTGTAGCTATAGAGGAAAACTTACTAAACGTAAACTCCATGTCTGGTGAGGTGGGTGTAGCTAGAGAGGAAAACTTACTAAACGTAAACTCCATGTCTGGTGAGGTGGGTGTAGCTATAGAGAGGAAAACTTACTAAACGTAAACTCCATGTCTGGTGAGGTGGGTGTAGCTAGAGAGGAAAACTTACTAAATGTAAACTCCATGTCTGGTGAGGTGGGTGTAGCTAGAGAGAAAAACTTACTAAACGTAAACTCCATGTCTGGTGAGGTGGGTGTAGCTAGAGAGAGGAAAACTTACTAAACGTAAACTCCATGTCTGGTGAGGTGGGTGTAGCTAGAGAGAAAAACTTACTAAACGTAAACTCCATGTCTGGTGAGGTGGGTGTAGCTAGAGAGGAAAACTTACTAAATGTAAACTCCATGTCTGGTGAGGTGGGTGTAGCTATAGAGGAAAACTTACTAAACGTAAACTCCATGTCTGGTGAGGTGGGTGTAGCTATAGAGGAAAACTTACTAAACGTAAACTCCATGTCTGGTGAGGTGGGTGTAGCTAGAGAGGAAAACTTACTAAACGTAAACTCCATGTCTGGTGAGGTGGGTGTAGCTATAGAGAGGAAAACTTACTAAACGTAAACTCCATGTCTGGTGAGGTGGGTGTAGCTATAGAGGAAAACTTACTAAATGTAAACTCCATGTCTGGTGAGGTGGGTGTAGCTAGAGAGGAAAACTTACTAAACGTAAACTCCATGTCTGGTGAGGTGGGTGTAGCTAGAGAGGAAAACTTACTAAACGTAAACTCCATGTCTGGTGAGGTGGGTGTAGCTATAGAGGAAAACTTACTAAACGTAAACTCCATGTCTGGTGAGGTGGGTGTAGCTAGAGAGGAAAACTTACTAAACGTAAACTCCATGTCTGGTGAGGTGGGTGTAGCTATAGAGAGGAAAACTTACTAAACGTAAACTCCATGTCTGGTGAGGTGGGTGTAGCTAGAGAGGAAAACTTACTAAATGTAAACTCCATGTCTGGTGAGGTGGGTGTAGCTAGAGAGAAAAACTTACTAAACGTAAACTCCATGTCTGGTGAGGTGGGTGTAGCTAGAGAGAGGAAAACTTACTAAACGTAAACTCCATGTCTGGTGAGGTGGGTGTAGCTAGAGAGAAAAACTTACTAAACGTAAACTCCATGTCTGGTGAGGTGGGTGTAGCTAGAGAGGAAAACTTACTAAACGTAAACTCCATGTCTGGTGAGGTGGGTGTAGCTAGAGAGAGGAAAACTTACTAAACGTAAACTCCATGTCTGGTGAGGTGGGTGTAGCTAGAGAGAAAAACTTACTAAACGTAAACTCCATGTCTGGTGAGGTGGGTGTAGCTAGAGAGAGGAAAACTTACTAAACGTAAACTCCATGTCTGGTGAGGTGGGTGTAGCTAGAGAGAAAAACTTACTAAACGTAAACTCCATGTCTGGTGAGGTGGGTGTAGCTAGAGAGGAAAACTTACTAAACGTAAACTCCATGTCTGGTGAGGTGGGTGTAGCTAGAGAGAAAAACTTACTAAACGTAAACTCCATGTCTGGTGAGGTGGGTGTAGCTAGAGAGAGGAAAACTTACTAAACGTAAACTCCATGTCTGGTGAGGTGGGTGTAGCTAGAGAGAAAAACTTACTAAACGTAAACTCCATGTCTGGTGAGGTGGGTGTAGCTAGAGAGGAAAACTTACTAAACGTAAACTCCATGTCTGGTGAGGTGGGTGTAGCTAGAGAGGAAAACTTACTAAACGTAAACTCCATGTCTGGTGAGGTGGGTGTAGCTAGAGAGGAAAACTTACTAAACGTAAACTCCATGTCTGGTGAGGTGGGTGTAGCTAGAGAGGAAAACTTACTAAACGTAAACTCCATGTCTGGTGAGGTGGGTGTAGCTAGAGAGGAAAACTTACTAAACGTAAACTCCATGTCTGGTGAGGTGGGTGTAGCTAGAGAGAAAAACTTACTAAACGTAAACTCCATGTCTGGTGAGGTGGGTGTAGCTAGAGAGGAAAACTTACTAAACGTAAACTCCATGTCTGGTGAGGTGGGTGTAGCTAGAGAGAAAAACTTACTAAACGTAAACTCCATGTCTGGTGAGGTGGGTGTAGCTAGAGAGGAAAACTTACTAAACGTAAACTCCATGTCTGGTGAGGTGGGTGTAGCTAGAGAGAAAAACTTACTAAACGTAAACTCCATGTCTGGTGAGGTGGGCGTGTTGCCTGCAAGGTCAGGGTTGCTGGAGCTGCGCTGGTAGTTAGTCTTGGAAACAGGAAGAGAGGAGGGGCGTCCAAGTGTGGCATAACCCTGGGTGTGGGGGCTGCCAATGTTGGGGGAGGACCCTGGAAAATACTTCTTTTTTCTTGGTGCTGCCACATTTTATATACATTTCAAAATGTCCACATATCTGTGGTCTATTAAATAAATATCTAAAGTAATGCTTGTCAAAGCAATATTTGAGATAAGTTTTGTTTTCTCACAGGAATTTATTACCTTTGTGAATGTTGAGATTAATAACATTAGTACAGTTTTAAACAAAATTAATGCTCTTGGTATTGGCATCATTCTCCAAACTAAAACTTTGCCAACACTCAACCTTTATTGCCTGCATTTAATCTAGCCATTTATTTAACATTTGTTTACTTGACTTGAAAGCATGTCTTTAATCTAGTCATTTATTGGCCTCTGAAATAACTTTACAAAATGGAAATGTGACTTGGAATGTGTGCTTTTTTTTTGTCAACTTTTTTAACAATGTTGTACACATTTTAGGTCTTAGAATTAAAATCAATGTGTGCTTTTTTTTGGTCAACTTTTTTAACAATGTTGTACACATTTTAGGTCTTAGAATTAAAATCAATGTGTGCTTTTTTTTGGTCAACTTTTTTAACAATGTTGTACACATTTTAGGTCTTAGAATTAAAATCAATGTGTGCTTTTTTTTGTCAACTTTTTTAACAATGTTGTACACATTTTAGGTCTTAGAATTAAAATCAATGTGTGCTTTTTTTTTGTCAACTTTTTTAACAATGTTGTACACATTTTAGGTCTTAGAATTAAAATCAATGTGTGCTTTTTTTTTGTCAACTTTTTTAACAATGTTGTACACATTTTAGGTCTTAGAATTAAAATCAATGTGTGCTTTTTTTTTTGTCAACTTTTTTAACAATGTTGTACACATTTTAGGTCTTAGAATTAAAATCAATGTGTGCTTTTTTTTTTTGTCAACTTTTTTAACAATGTTGTACACATTGTAGGTCTTAGAATTAAAATCAATGTGTGCTTTTTTTTGTCAACTTTTTACTTTCTCGTATATACGAAGTATAGAGAAAGTCTTGTAATCGTGCAAAAAAAAAAAAATCGAGATTTTTGCAAATCTCGACGTTTTACATCTCACTGATACGGAAAAACATAATTTTGCAATCTTGTCCGTATGTCTGTGTGTCTGTGTGTGTGTGTGTCAGTGTGTAAACACGATAACTTGAGTACCGTTACAGCTAGGTTGATGAAATTTCATATATAAGTATTTTATCAAAATCGTAGATCCGTATCAACTTTTGAGCGATTTCCGATAACCTGAAGTGGTACTTTTTCTACTTTGAATTTTTCAAAAGCCTATAACTTGAGTACTATTTCAGATAGATAAATGAAATTTCACATGTAAGTAAAAGATCTAATTCTCTACCTTCTGTCAAATTTTGAGTAATTTCCGTTGACAGGAAGTACTTATTTACGCTATTTCCGATTTCTCAAAAAACGCATGTAAATTTATAAAGTACTAATAATATTGCGCACTATCATGCACATCTTTATTTAGCGTTCACTTGGTGTGCATTTCTTTTTTCTACGAGATTATATTCTATTTTAAAAAATTTGAGTAATTAAAATGGATTAAAAATCATGTCTAGAAGTCTATATCCCGAGTTGCCATCCCCCATAGTGTTATATTAGAATATTCGAGAAAGTTTAGGGGAGATCACTCCCGGTTTATTTAACAATGTTGTACACATTTTAGGTCTTAGAATTAAAATCAATGTGTGATTTTTTTTTGGTCAACTTTTTTAACAATGTTGTACACATTTTAGGTCTTAGAATTAAAATCAATGTGTGCTTTTTTTTTGTCAACTTTTTTAACAATGTTGTACACATTTTAGGTCTTAGAATTAAAATCAATGTGTGCTTTTTTTTTGTCAACTTTTTTAACAATGTTGTACACATTTTAGGTCTTAGAATTAAAATCAATGTGTGCTTTTTTTTGTCAACTTTTTTAACAATGTTGTACACATTTTAGGTCTTAGAATTAAAATCAATGAGTGATTTTTTTTGGTCAACTTTTTTAACAATGTTGTACACATTTTAGGTCTTAGAATTAAAATCAATGTGTGCTTTTTTTTTGGTCAACTTTTTTAACAATGTTGTACACATTTTAGGTCTTAGAATTAAAATCAATGTGTGCTTTTTTTTTTGTCAACTTTTTTAAGAATGTTGTACACATTTTAGGTCTTAGAATTAAAATCAATGTGTGCTTTTTTTTTGTCAACTTTTTTAACAATGTTGTACACATTTTAGGTCTTAGAATTAAAATCAATGTGTGCTTTTTTTTTTGTCAACTTTTTTAACAATGTTGTACACATTTTAGGTCTTAGAATTAAAATCAATGTGTGCTTTTTTTTTGTCAACTTTTTTAACAATGTTGTACACATTTTAGGTCTTAGAATTAAAATCAATGTGTGCTTTTTTTTGTCAACTTTTTTAACAATGTTGTACACATTTTAGGTCTTAGAATTAAAATCAATGTGTGCTTTTTTTTGTCAACTTTTTACTTTCTCGTATATACGAAGTATAGAGAAAGTCTTGTAATCGTGCAAAAAAAAAAAATCGAGATTTTTGCAAATCTCGACGTTTTACATCTCACTGATACGGAAAAACATAATTTTGCAATCTTGTCCGTATGTCTGTGTGTCTGTGTGTGTGTGTGTCAGTGTGTAAACACGATAACTTGAGTACCGTTACAGCTAGGTTGATGAAATTTCATATATAAGTATTTTATCAAAATCGTAGATCCGTATCAACTTTTGAGCGATTTCCGATAACCTGAAGTGGTACTTTTTCTACTTTGAATTTTTCAAAAGCCTATAACTTGAGTACTATTTCAGATAGATAAATGAAATTTCACATGTAAGTAAAAGATCTAATTCTCTACCTTCTGTCAAATTTTGAGTAATTTCCGTTGACAGGAAGTACTTATTTACGCTATTTCCGATTTCTCAAAAAACGCATGTAAATTTATAAAGTACTAATAATATTGCGCACTATCATGCACATCTTTATTTAGCGTTCACTTGGTGTGCATTTCTTTTTTCTACGAGATTATATTCTATTTTAAAAAATTTGAGTAATTAAAATGGATTAAAAATCATGTCTAGAAGTCTATATCCCGAGTTGCCATCCCCCATAGTGTTATATTAGAATATTCGAGAAAGTTTAGGGGAGATCACTCCCGGTTTATTTAACAATGTTGTACACATTTTAGGTCTTAGAATTAAAATCAATGTGTGCTTTTTTTTTGGTAAACTTTTTTAACAATGTTGTACACATTTTAGGTCTTAGAATTAAAATCAATGTGTGCTTTTTTTTTTGTCAACTTTTTTAAGAATGTTGTACACATTTTAGGTCTTAGAATTAAAATCAATGTGTGCTTTTTTTTGTCAACTTTTTTAACAATGTTGTACACATTTTAGGTCTTAGAATTAAAATCAATGTGTGCTTTTTTTTTTGTCAACTTTTTTAACAATGTTGTACACATTTTAGGTCTTAGAATTAAAATCAATGTGTGCTTTTTTTTGGTCAACTTTTTTAACAATGTTGTACACATTTTAGGTCTTAGAATTAAAATCAATGTGTGCTTTTTTTTTGTCAACTTTTTTAACAATGTTGTACACATTTTAGGTCTTAGAATTAAAATCAATGTGTGCTTTTTTTTGTCAACTTTTTTAACAATGTTGTACACATTTTAGGTCTTAGAATTAAAATCAATGTGTGCTTTTTTTTGTCAACTTTTTACTTTCTCGTATATACGAAGTATAGAGAAAGTCTTGTAATCGTGCAAAAAAAAAAAATCGAGATTTTTGCAAATCTCGACGTTTTACATCTCACTGATACGGAAAAACATAATTTTGCAATCTTGTCCGTATGTCTGTGTGTCTGTGTGTGTGTGTGTCAGTGTGTAAACACGATAACTTGAGTACCGTTACAGCTAGGTTGATGAAATTTCATATATAAGTATTTTATCAAAATCGTAGATCCGTATCAACTTTTGAGCGATTTCCGATAACCTGAAGTGGTACTTTTTCTACTTTGAATTTTTCAAAAGCCTATAACTTGAGTACTATTTCAGATAGATAAATGAAATTTCACATGTAAGTAAAAGATCTAATTCTCTACCTTCTGTCAAATTTTGAGTAATTTCCGTTGACAGGAAGTACTTATTTACGCTATTTCCGATTTCTCAAAAAACGCATGTAAATTTATAAAGTACTAATAATATTGCGCACTATCATGCACATCTTTATTTAGCGTTCACTTGGTGTGCATTTCTTTTTTCTACGAGATTATATTCTATTTTAAAAAATTTGAGTAATTAAAATGGATTAAAAATCATGTCTAGAAGTCTATATCCCGAGTTGCCATCCCCCATAGTGTTATATTAGAATATTCGAGAAAGTTTAGGGGAGATCACTCCCGGTTTATTTAACAATGTTGTACACATTTTAGGTCTTAGAATTAAAATCAATGTGTGCTTTTTTTTTGGTCAACTTTTTTAACAATGTTGTACACATTTTAGGTCTTAGAATTAAAATCAATGTGTGCTTTTTTTTTTGTCAACTTTTTTAAGAATGTTGTACACATTTTAGGTCTTAGAATTAAAATCAATGTGTGCTTTTTTTTGTCAACTTTTTTAACAATGTTGTACACATTTTAGGTCTTAGAATTAAAATCAATGTGTGCTTTTTTTTTTGTCAACTTTTTTAACAATGTTGTACACATTTTAGGTCTTAGAATTAAAATCAATGTGTGCTTTTTTTTGGTCAACTTTTTTAACAATGTTGTACACATTTTAGGTCTTAGAATTAAAATCAATGTGTGATTTTTTTTGGTCAACTTTTTTAACAATGTTGTACACATTTTAGGTCTTAGAATTAAAATCAATGTGTGCTTTTTTTTGTCAACTTTTTTAACAATGTTGTACACATTTTAGGTCTTAGAATTAAAATCAATGTGTGATTTTTTTTGGTCAACTTTTTTAACAATGTTGTACACATTTTAGGTCTTAGAATTAAAA